ATTTCTTAAGCCATTTGTAAATCAAATCCATGTTGCCTTTACTTGTTTTTACTTCAACTGCGTGGCCTTTAAGCCTTCAAATAATTTTTGTCTCTGTTTCAATACCGTTGATTTGCATTACGTATTTGATACCTTGTTTTGTTTTTGTTTGATGCACAAATTAAAAAGATTAATATAGTCGCGTGCCGTCGGCTGCGTTCTTGGTCCTTTGGCGGCTTTCTGGGCTGGTCGCTGGTTGTTTTACATGATTTAAAATAAAATTCTGCTTTGTGCTTTATTTTTGTAATATCCAACTCATCACTTTTTCTTCATATCCAAAGAAAATACAATTTTTGAAATGTTCTATTTTTATGTTTTCTCGCTTTTCACTTTTCTTTAATTTCCGGTGTAAACATTTTGATTTTTTAAAATTCCTGATAGTTTTCTTCTTATATTATCTTGTTATTGTCGCCTCCGTTTTCCTACTTAAATCTTATTATTTCTTTCTGTATCACCTAGTACATTTTCCTTATCATTTAATAGACCATATTTATCAGTGTTTGGGCGTTTTACTTTTAAAACTTAGCGTTTTCTTTTTGTAACACCCTGTATACTAATTTCCCGTGATGTCAAGTGGGGAAAGATGTATGTTATCCCATTTAAACATAGGATTTTCCTTTAAATTATTGTAGTTTTCTTTTTGTAACACCCTGTATTAAGGTTTCCCGTAGTGGGTTTGTCAAAAGGGGAAAGATATATATCATCCTACTTAAACTTAGGATTTTCTTTTAAAATATTGTAGTTTCCTTTGTTGACTGTGATTTTAGATATGTAGTTTTCTACTTGATTTTTGCATTTTCTCTTTAAATGTTATTATATTGCATTTGGAATCTCTATTCTGTATAATAGTTTTCCATAATTGTCGCGAAAATTATGCAAAATTTATTAGTATTATATGTCTTTCTTTGTTATTTTTTACCCTTGGTACTTGTATGCATGTACGTGGCTAAACTGCTCTTCTAACTTGATTCAAAACGGCGGCGCGTATATTGTTTAACATTATATTTTACATGTTTTCATTGTATACATGTTTCAATAAAGAAATGTTAAAAGTGACTGTGCTTCCTATGATTTGTGTGTACCCCTTCTATCATTTCAGGAACAGGTCTCTAAGAGAGTTCCCTCTCTCAGGGGATGATCCCCACTATAAAAATTGTTATGGTATCCTGTGTGATTTGTGTGCTCCTTCTTTCATTTCAGCTACAGGTCAGAACTTGTAAGAATATTTTTAAGTGTCACCTCTCTTGAGGCGACTTAAAACTTAGAAATATTTGAACAAGACCTTATAAAGATTGTCCTTATAAGGAGTTCCCTCTCTCTGGGGATGATCCCCCACCATAAAAATTGTTGATATGCCTAAGAATTCTGGGGATGAAGCGCAGAGACATCGTAGCTGTAGGTTGGGCCGGGAGCAATGGACGCATCGAAGTAGTGAGACTGTCTAACGACACGCCGCCAAAAAATATAAAAACCTGATCCACTCCTGTTCTCTCTCTTCCTTGTATTTCCTCTTCTCTTCTCTCTACTCTACCACTACTTACTTCCTTTTCTTCTATGTTCTTTGTTTCTCTATTCACTTACATTTCTTATTGCCTTCACTTGTATTGCAATTTCTCTTATATTTCATTTGAGTTTACATATGCCAATGCCAACCCAAATTACACCTGTAATTTTTATATTTGAGAAAAATGCCTTCTATAACTGGGGATCGAACCATCGATCTACGATATAGCAACATGTGCTGCTCACCTGAGAGCCACGCGGCTTTCTTATCAAATCTTATTGGTTTCTTCTATTTATGTTTTCATATCTTACAGTACAATAAAACAACAGCATACATATTCTACACTATACTACAGTGCAACATGATTTAATACTACTCCTGAAAACGACTAAGTGAACACTAGAGACACATTGTTTACAAGAATGTAAAATTTCCTTAAAAATATTCTTTATTGACCAAACATTTACAATTATTATAAAGCAATAACATGGTAACTGTAAGACTTAAAACGTTAAATAAAAATGAAGTTTTATTAGATGATACTTACTCCTTTGTTCTTCTATCTATAAAGAACCAAAGCGCACAAACACGTTTCCGCAAATAGAATGTAGAGTTGATAATACGCACTTCTTTACTATTCCACACGGAGATTCCAAATGTACTCACTTGTACTCATGCCAAACACATAAATTTAACTTGAACTCCAGTAAGTATCCATAGTCACGGGAACATATCCGACGGACTCCACGCGCACATCTCAAAAAATCACTTAAATATTTCGTTGTGCGCGTCACCACGTTTGATTAATGAAGAAAACACGTGCGCACCACGCAACAGCACTCAACTGACTAAGCCGAACTATAGAAGCCAGAGAATTGATAACCGACCTGCAGTTGGAGGGGTATTCTTCTATTTGCATTCGACAGAAATGTGATTAGAAATATGATATCAAGTTTGAGATGAAGTTCACAAAAAAATTATTTGGCAAAAAGATTTTTAATTAACAAATAGCAGTTTCTAGGTTTTCCCTAGTATTAAACCCAAATGTTAAATTTTGACAATGCTAAACAACTAGAACACTTAGAAACATAAACTAATGCTTGTCCTACGACATCGGCTTGGCCCGCTAGATACCTCAACCGAAAATTAGAGCATTCGAAGCCTAAGTATTCAAATTTTGTTACTTCAGGTTTTGTTAAACATAACAGTTGTGTATAAAAGTGACGTACGCGCCGCAACTCAGCGCACTAAAAACAAGATGAATTTAAACCAAATCGATGAAAGCGCCATCTGGCCGCGGCGAAACAAAACAAAATAGATAGCTGATACGCGCGCACTCTGGGTGTGGCGGAACAAAACTAACATCGCCGACTAGAGCCATCTAGTTTTGAGACTTTGAAATAAATCATCTAGAAATCTGCAATGCATCTGCTTATAACATATTAAAAAAAAAACTAATTTAAATCACTTTCCATGGTATGAAGGATTAAAATTTACGAAAATGATAAACAAATTCAATTCTTTCAATTTGATAAAAAATATCGGTGTCTTAGAACATTTTGTCCGCTCGCTAGGCACTTAAACAACCAAAAATTAGTACATCGATGTCCCAAAAAAATTTTACGGGTTTCTCGTGTGCTAATCACATAAATTACTTATGAAACGGATAAACAAAATTAACACTTACAATCTGAAGAAAAAATCGTTTTTCTAGGATATTTCATTCGCCCGCTAGCCACCTAAAACAAGAAAAAATTAGCACATGAAAGCACAAAAATTACATTTTTGCAAGTTTCCCGTGTGCTAATCACACAAATTACATATGAAAATTATAAACAAATGCAATACTTACCATCTGATAAAAGAATCGATGACCTAGAACATTTCATTCGCCCGCTAGACACCTAAAACTACAAAAAAATTAGCAAATCGAAGCACAAAAATGACATTTTTGCAGGCTTCCCTTGTGCTAATCACACAAATTACTTATGAAAATTATAAACAAATGCAATACTTACGCTCTGATGAAAGAATCGTTGTCCTAGGACATTCTGATCGCCTGCTAGATACCTAAAACAACAAAAAAGCACATTGAAGCACAAAAATTACATTTTTGCATGTTTCCCGTGTGCTAATCACATAAATTACATATCAAAATTATAAACAAATTCAATACTTACAATCTGATAAAAGAATTGTTGCCATATGACATTTTGTTCGCCTGCTAGACACCTAAAATAACAAAAAAATAGCAAATCGAAGCGCAAAAATGGCATTTTTGCAGGTTTCCCGTGTGCTAATGACAAAAAATAACTCAAAAAAATGATAAACAAATTCAATACTAACAGCCTGATTAAAACATAGTTGTCCTAGGACATTTTGATTGCCTGCTAAACACCTAAAAAAACAAAAAAATCAGCACATCAAAGCACAAAAATGACATTTTTGCAGGTATCCCGTGTGCTAATTACACAAATTACCTATGACAATGATAAACAAATTCAATACCTACAATCAGATGAAACAATCATTGTCCTATGACATTCTGATCGCCTGCTAAACACCTAAAAAAATAAAACTTAGCACATAGAAGCACAAAAATTACATTTTTGCAGGTTTTCCGTGTGCTAGTCACACAAATTACCTATGAAAATGATAAACAAATTCAATACTTACAATCTGATGAAAGAATAGTTGTCCCAGGATGTTTTGATCGCCTGCTAAACATCTATAACAACAAAACATTTGCACAAAAATGACATTTTTGCAGGTTTCCCGTGTGCTAGTCACACAATTTACCTATGAACATCATAAACAAATTCAATACTTACAATCTGATGAAAGAATCGTTGTCCTAGGATAATGTAATCGTCTGCTAAGCACCTAAAAAAATAAAAAAATCAGCACATCAAAGCACAAAAATGACATTTTTGCAGGTTTCCCGTGTGCTAATTACACAAATTACCTATGAAAATGATAAACAGCACATTGTCCTAGGAATTCTGATCGCCTGCTAAACACCTAAAAAAATAAAACATTAGCACAAAGAAGCACAAAATTTTTTGCAGGTTTTCCGTGTGCTAATCACACAAATTACCTGTGAAAATGATAAACAAATTCAATACTTACAATCACATGAAACAATCGTTGTCCTAGGATCTTCTGATCGCCTGCTAAACACCTAAAAAAATAAAACATTAGCACATAGAAGCACAAAAATTACATTTTTGCAGGTTTTCCGTGTGCTAGTCACACAAATTACCTATGAAAATGATAAACAAATTCAATACTTACAATCAGATGAAACAATCATTGTCCTAGGATATTCTGATCGCCTGCTAAACACCTAAAAATACAAAACATTAGCACATCGAAGCACAAAAATTACATTTTTGCAGGTTTTCCGTGTGCTAATCACACAAATTACCTATGAAAATGATAAACAAATTCAATACTTACAATCAGATGAAACAATCGATGTCCTAGGATATTCTGATCGCCTGCTAAACACCTAAAAATACAAAACATTAGCACATCGAAGCACAAAAATTACATTTTTGCAGGTTTTCCGTGTGCTAATCACACAAATTACCTGTGAAAATGATAAACAAATTCAATACTTACAATCTGATAAAAGAATTGTTGCCATATGACATTTTGTTCGCCTGCTAGACACCTAAAATAACAAAAAAATAGCAAATCGAAGCGCAAAAATGGCATTTTTGCAGGTTTCCCGTGTGCTAATGACAAAAAATAACTCAAAAAAATGATAAACAAATTCAATACTAACAGCCTGATTAAAACATAGTTGTCCTAGGACATTTTGATTGCCTGCTAAACACCTAAAAAAACAAAAAAATCAGCACATCAAAGCACAAAAATGACATTTTTGCAGGTATCCCGTGTGCTAATTACCCAAATTACCTATGACAATGATAAACAAATTCAATACCTACAATCAGATGAAACAATCATTGTCCTATGACATTCTGATCGCCTGCTAAACACCTAAAAAAATAAAACTTAGCACATAGAAGCACAAAAATTACATTTTTGCAGGTTTTCCGTGTGCTAGTCACACAAATTACCTATGAAAATGATAAACAAATTCAATACTTACAATCTGATGAAAGAATAGTTGTCCCAGGATGTTTTTATCGCCTGCTAAACATCTATAACAACAAAACATTTGCACAAAAATGACATTTTTGCAGGTTTCCCGTGTGCTAGTCACACAATTTACCTATGAACATCATAAACAAATTCAATACTTACAATCTGATGACAGAATCGTTGTCCTAGGATAATTTAATCGTCTGCTAAACACCTAAAAAATAAAAAAATCAGCACATCAAAGCACAAAAATGACATTTTTGCAGGTTTCCCGTGTGCTAATTACACAAATTACCTATGAAAATGATAAACAAATTCAATACTTACAATCACATGAAACAATCATTGTCCTAGGATATTCTGATCGCCTGCTAAACACCTAAAAAAATAAAACATTAGCACAAAGAAGCACAAAAATTACAATTTTGCAGGTTTTCCGTGTGCTAATCACACAAATTACCTGTGAAAATGATAAACAAATTCAATACTTACAATCACATGAAACAATCGTTGTCCTAGGATCTTCTGATCGCCTGCTAAACACCTAAAAAAATAAAACATTAGCACATAGAAGCACAAAAATTACATTTTTGCAGGTTTTCCGTGTGCTAGTCACACAAATTACCTATGAAAATGATAAACAAATTCAATACTTACAATCAGATGAAACAATCATTGTCCTAGGATATTCTGATCGCCTGCTAAACACCTAAAAATACAAAACATTAGCACATCGAAGCACAAAAATTACATTTTTGCAGGTTTTCCGTGTGCTAATCACACAAATTACCTATGAAAATGATAAACAAATTCAATACTTACAATCAGATGAAACAATCGATGTCCTAGGATATTCTGATCGCCTGCTAAACACCTAAAAATACAAAACATTAGCACATCGAAGCACAAAAATTACATTTTTGCAGGTTTTCCGTGTGCTAATCACACAAATTACCTGTGAAAATGATAAACAAATTCAATACTTACAATCAGATGAAACAATCGATGTCCTAGGATATTCTGATCGCCTGCTAAACACCTAAAAATACAAAAAAATAGCACATCGAAGCACAAAAATTACATTTTGCAGGTTTTCCGTGTGCTAATCACACAAATTACCTATGAAAATGATAAACAAATTCAATACTTACAATCAGATGAAACAATCGATGTCCTAGGATATTCTGATCGCCTGCTAAACACCTAAAAATACAAAACATTAGCACATCGAAGCACAAAAATTACATTTTTGCAGGTTTTCCGTGTGCTAATCACACAAATTACCTGTGAAAATGATAAACAAATTCAATACTTACAATCAGATGAAGCAATCGATGTCCTAGGATATTCTGATCGCCTGCTAAACACCTAAAAATACAAAACATTAGCACATCGAAGCACAAAAATTACATTTTTGCAGGTTTTCCGTGTGCTAATCACACAAATTACCTATGAAAATGATAAACAAATTCAATACTTACAATCAGATGAAACAATCGATGTCCTAGGATATTCTGATCGCCTGCTAAACACCTAAAAATACAAAACATTAGCACATCGAAGCACAAAAATTACATTTTTGCAGGTTTTCCGTGTGCTAATCACACAAATTACCTATGAAAATGATAAACAAATTCAATACTTACAATCAGATGAAACAATCGATGTCCTAGGATATTCTGATCGCCTGCTAAACACCTAAAAATACAAAACATTAGCACATCGAAGCACAAAATTACATTTTTGCAGGTTTTCCGTGTGCTAATCACACAAATTACCTGTGAAAATGATAAACAAATTCAATACTTACAATCAGATGAAACAATCGATGTCCTAGGATATTCTGATCGCCTGCTAAACACCTAAAAATACAAAACATTAGCACATCGAAGCACAAAAATTACATTTTTGCAGGTTTTCCGTGTGCTAATCACACAAATTACCTGTGAAAATGATAAACAAATTCAATACTTACAATCAGATGAAGCAATCGATGTCCTAGGATATTCTGATCGCCTGCTAAACACCTAAAAATACAAAACATTAGCACATCGAAGCACAAAAATTACATTTTTGCAGGTTTTCCGTGTGCTAATCACACAAATTACCTGTGAAAATGATAAACAAATTCAATACTTACAATCAGATGAAGCAATCGATGTCCTAGGATATTCTGATCGCCTGCTAAACACCTAAAAATACAAAACATTAGCACATCGAAGCACAAAAATTACATTTTTGCAGGTTTTCCGTGTGCTAGTCACACAAATTACCTATGAAAATGATAAACAAATTCAATACTTACAATCAGATGAAACAATCATTGTCCTAGGACATTCTGATCGCCTGCTAAACACCTAAAAAAATAAAACATTAGCACATCGAAGCACAAAAATTACATTTTTGCAGGTTTTCCGTGTGCTAATCACACAAATTACCTGTGAAAATGATAAACAAATTCAATACTTACAATCAGATGAAGCAATCGATGTCCTAGGATATTCTGATCGCCTGCTAAACACCTAAAAATACAAAACATTAGCACATCGAAGCACAAAAATTACATTTTTGCAGGTTTTCCGTGTGCTAGTCACACAAATTACCTATGAAAATGATAAACAAATTCAATACTTACAATCAGATGAAACAATCATTGTCCTAGGACATTCTGATCGCCTGCTAAACACCTAAAAAAATAAAACATTAGCACATAGAAGCACAAAAATTACATTTTTGCAGGTTTTCCGTGTGCTAATCACACAAATTACCTGTGAAAATGATAAACAAATTCAATACTTACAATCAGATGAAGCAATCGATGTCCTAGGATATTCTGATCGCCTGCTAAACACCTAAAAATACAAAACATTAGCACATCGAAGCACAAAAATTACATTTTTGCAGGTTTTCCGTGTGCTAATCACACAAATTACTTATGAAAATGATAAACAAATTCAATACTTACAATCTGATGAAAGAATCATTATCCGATGATATTTTGTTCGCCTGCTAGACACCTAAAACAACAAAAAATTAGCACATCGAAGCACAAAATTGACATTTTTGCAGGTTTTCCATGTGTTAATCAGACAATTTGGTAAATGCATCGTTGTCCTAGGACATTCAGACGCCCGTTAGAAACTTAAAACAACAAATAATTAGCACATCGAAGTACAAAAATGACATTTTTGCAGGTAAAAAAAAAATATTTGACGGTTATTTTGAGGTCGGTACTACCAAAATTTCGCGGGAATGTAGGGGCGCATCTTAAAAACGAACTCTTGTAATATCAGAAAATAAAGAAATAACTAAAATATCACTTAGGAATTGCGTGATATGACCCGTTTTCCAAGTTTTAAAAAATGCAATAGTGGGACCAAGTTTAGCGGACATTTTAAGGTAGTTAAGGCTGAACTTCGTGGATGCTATAAAGTACATTGTCTAAAACCATTCTTGCGCTACTAGAATCTGAAGAAAAAATGAAAATATCACGAAGGGTTCCTGAAAAATTACCCGTTTTCCACCAAAAGTTCTTTGAAAATGCAAAAATGTACAAAGTTCGGTGGTAATTTTAGGTAGGGCAAAATATGCATCGTCCAAAGCCATTCTTGCGCTATTAAAATCCGAAGAAAAAATAGAAATATCACAAAGGATTCCCGAGATAAGACCCGTTTTACAAAACTTTTGATAAATGTGAAAAAAGAGCAAACTTCCGCGGTCATTTTGAGGTACGTAGAGGAGAGTAGGGTAATAAGAGTCAGCGGGTAATGGGAGTCACCCACACATCCACGAAACAGTACTTCCGAGTAACGCGTAAACGGCGTCCCTACCCCCGCTCTGGCCCCCCAGTGCCACCCCCGACAAATCACGCCAATCACCTAATGAGGTAATGTCGGTTATGTAGGTAACGACGGGTAAATTAGAATGAAAAATATAAATGAATTTATCAGCTTATAAATTAAAAACTTAAAAAAAAATTATAAACTTACGAATTGTTGTGTGCATCAGTCACCAGGGCACAGCAAGTGCTGTAACTACAAGAAAAGAAGTAGAAACAAGGAACAAGATTTAAGAATAATATATTCATACATCATAGAAAAAATACAATAAGTGTTGTTGAACTATACTTACACAAGGATAATGATGAATAAATCTACATTTAGCGACCGGCATCTACCACATCTATCATCTACGATCTAATATCTACCACTTTTGTAAAATAATCTACATTAAACACGCAAATAATAAATAACATAACTAGAGTAGTTACAATTAAATAGTCAATTAATGATCGAATATAATACAATCCCTACTAATATTATAAATGCGAAAGTCCTGATGTTTGTTACACTTTCACGCAAAATCCACTTAACCAATAATCATGAAAATTTGTACACATATTCTTAGTGGTCCCCGAATGGTTATAGGCTACTTTATATTTAATAAAAAAATTATTTTTTAAATAAAATAAAGAAATTGTTTAGCCAATAATACCTCTGCATCTGGCTATTTGTCTATTTTAACGCCATCTAGCATTCCAGCAATGAAGCTCAAACCTAAGTACTATAGTACCATCACACTGTATTACCGACGGCTACGTCAACATCAAATCCAATTGACTACACTATGGAGACTGTACACTATACTTCCATAGACTATACTTTCAGCCATTTTAAACTTCCCGCCATTCTATTTCATTGTTACTTCTTCTGTGACAACAGGCGCGTACGGAAGCAACTTCATTAATTTAGATATTCGCGAGTGAAGCAGCGGGTTAAAGCTAGTATAATATAAAGCAGAAGTCCGAAAACACAATACGAGTCGATCAAAACACGTCTAGATCAACCAGCGACCGGCAAGAAACTGGCTGCAAACCATCGATAGTGCATGCCGTAGCCTAGCAAGCAATAACGCGACAGTTTACGATAAGAAAGCAAGAGATGCGCAGAGCCGGCGAATCGATGGCACGCGACCTTGTGCACGAATTGCAATAGGCACGATTTCAACGACACTCAGAAATCTCATGCGTTGCATTCTACGCGGCGGAAGCGATAAGAAAGTAAATTGTGTTCAAAACAAACACAATTCTCTTGCCGATTACGCACGTTTGCCGATAAATATAGAAAGAAACAATACAATTCTATTTTATGATTTTTAGTTCATGCTAGTGCCATCTCTGAATGATGCCGATAGAAGTCCCGGAATTTAGATTATTAATATTAATTGAAGATTTTACATTAACTATTAAAGTGATGTTCTACAACTATTATATAAGTTAAGTAAATCCTACAAATTAATATAATTAGTATCTCGATATTTTTTGCCCTTATGATTTCGATTTATTAACATGATATTATGAATAAAGCGATATTAGATACCACATACACATGATTTATAGGTACATTTTACATTTGCCTAAATTATCATTAGTTCCCTTCAAAATATAATAATATTAAACGTAAAGTTTGCATTCAATATAAAATGTCAGAAGGGGAACGACAAGGGTTAAGTTAAGTTCAACTTAACAATGCTTGGTGGCAACTTTAACTCAATTGCAAACGTTGCACAGGCATTCCAGGTCATGATCAATATTATAATATCGACTCATTTCCAAAATGCGAGGAGCATCGTACAATTTAGTAACAGTTTCCAGGATTTTTCAATAAGTACTTCAAATCTCACTCTCCCGCAATATGTAAATCCCAAGTCATGTGTTAGCGGCGATCACTATGTAATCACTGACCCGCTTGACAATCACCACGCCTATATTAATTATTGTATAGCAATAAATAATCAGTACACATTTAAAGGAATTATCTTTCTGGGAAACGAATCCATTGACGATTACAAATTCGACAAATTTTCAATGAGAACAGTGCCGATTTATGCAGCTCATTCAATTTTTATTAAATTAGTCAACAATGACTTTGTCATTAGCGCTTTTGATAACTGGGAATTAAACTCATATAGTGTCTTAAATCTATGGAGCATTTTAACAAATAAGTTTGAAAATGACAATATTGATGAGTTTTTTTTCTAATAAAAGACGAAAACGTCTTGGTGGAGTGGTGAACATTGCTGCTGTAGCAGACCAAGTTCCAGTTATCCTTACAGGTATTTCTTTAAACGAATCATGTATATTGCAGCATTTAAAAAGTGTTCTTTTTTAGACGAGTCGATGGGATCTGAGATTATTATGATGTTCGAGTGTGGAAAGTCTATGAATATGACCACAATTATCCGCCATGAAGGAACACCAGTGGTACCTCTATTTATTTAAGGTAAAAGAGCATTTAGCAATTCTGCTTTGATCTTTATTTAATGTATGTTTGTAGGATTTTTTGGATTTCCAGGTAGAGGTACTACATATCCGGTCACAATGATGAATTTGAGTTTTCTGACACCTAAACCAAAGACTCTTATTAAATGGTTGGAATTACTTCAAGTGTTTGAAGTTAAACTATGGATATTAATCTTTTCCGGCTATATTCTAATCGGAAGTTTCTTTTGGATTGAAAATATTGTTAATCACAATGCAAATTGTCCTCAATTTTTAGCACTTACAGGTCTCTTTCTCCTTCATTCACTAAATCATCAAAAAATACCGCGCAATGTTCGAACACGCTGTTTAATAGTGACAGTATTGATTATGGCAGTGTTGATATTATCCATGTTTTCTTCTGGTATTGTTAAAAGTATGATGACTGTTAGTTACGAGGGCGAGGTGCGAACTATTGAACAACTTGCTGATTTAAAATTAATGCTGGAATGGAAAAATAACCCTTTTCGTACTTCTGACCGTAATTCGCTCACAGAAGCTGAAGTGCGCGCATTCTCACGATGGTCACTAGATAACTACAAGTTACCTTATTATGAAAAAGCCATAGCACACTATGTTACAATTACAAGGCGTATGTCTTTTTCTGTACATTTGTAATTTAGTTCCTAAACTCCTAAACAATTTTTAGTATCCACCTCTTTGAGCCAGGACTTTGTGGATAGTCTCCCATTTGTACAAACAATGGATTACTTTTTAAAAATCATATAGTGCTATAGGCATATCCAGTTATGAATATTTATTGTACATTCCGTTTTTAAATAAATTTATATTGAGATGCAAGGATCATGGTTTGATGATTAAATGGGAATGGGATACGTTCAGATATGAAAATAGCATGGCCACATTAATTGAATATTTGGACACTCGTGTGCCACCGAGTAAGCCTACCCAGTTGCAGTTTGATCACCTGCGTGCCGTATTTGGTTGGGATTATTGGCATTTGCGTTTGAAAAGTTATTGATGATGTTGATTCATAGCACATGCTATGCTTAAAATAGATGTGAACCATGTAATCAACAACATTGTATTTTACTTCCAAAGATGTAAAATGTAAATTAAATTTTGTAATTTATAATGATTATTATTATTATTTCGGCGCTGGCACAGCCGTCGGACTCGTAGTGTCTTTTTTATTCAAGGTTATATACAGGATGTTATGGTAGTGTTTTAAGTGTGCAGGGTCGGCTTTATTGTTACGTGCAAGTCTGCAGGGTAGTATTAAGTACGTGCCGTACTCTTAACCGGCCCCTTCTACCACCCCCCACCCCCATAAATATTACCAAACAAGGTAGCCTACCTAAGCAGCACGCAATAAAGTTCGTTTAATTACATGCCTTAAAGTAACATATAGTAAACTAAAAAAAACTTACGGAATAATCAGGATAGCGGTACGAGATAAATCTCCATGATCCGTGGCAGTTGTGTTGTTTGTTGTATCACTATCAGTTTGATTATTGTTCTCATTGTTGTCACTACAATTATTTTCATGGTAACTTGGATCAACATTAAAATCATCACTAGTAGTTGTTTGTTCCTCTACAAATTTTGAAGCTTCTTTTCGACACGAACTGCACAATAAATAATTACCATCTAATCCTAACGTTACATTCATCATGTCAGTCGCTCGACGTAAACCCTTCTTTTTTAAATGTGATTCAATCTTAAATGGATTACAACATCGATCGAACGGTTTTATTGGTGCCATAATGTTTTGATGAATACACCAATTATGTGAATGAATATTACAATTAATAGAGATTATTATAATTAAAATAATTAGGCTTTCAAACAAGAATAAATCAGAATAGTGTTCATGAACTCTCTTTGAACACAACACACACAAGATTTAAAAGTTATGTTTTAGGTTATAAATCAAAACATACTAGTGTATGGCTAGTAGTAACAAACTGTAGCTAAGTCTATAATTGTCACTACCTTACCGATCCTATATCGATATGTTAAAATTTGAATTTTAGTCATTACAATCGTAGATAAGCCAATAAATTGAATTTCGAAAAGATCACAACTTTACTGAAAAATGTGAATATTTCATAGTTTTGATCATTTAAAAACTATTTGTGTATTTTTTCAAAAAAAAAACATTCAAAAACAAAAATTTACACAAAAGAAAAAACGATACATAAAGGTCAACATTGGAAGAAGTTATGGTTACTTGGAAATAAAAGCCATTTTTTTGAAAGCTTCATAACTTTTTCGAGATTAGGGAAAAAAATCTCAAAAAGTTGAAAAGAATGGAAAAGTTTCAGCTAAGTATAAAGTGGTCCGGGTCAAAAGTGGTCGATTTGGCATAGAATACCCCATATAGTATATTTATTTATTTGTCAAATTGATCTCACTGGATATAAGACTGTCTTTCATTTTTGCTGTACATCAAAATTCATTGACGTTCAGTATGGGATTAATAATTCTGATGAGAATGATTGTTTAAATGTATTTAATACAAAATACTACTATAACCAAGTACTTATGTTGAAATTAGCATAGCAATGGAAATCATTTGCTAAATTATTTTTATGCCCTGGATTAAAATTTGTTTTTTCTAATGATAAAAGTCTATGAGCCATTTCACCCATTACTGCACCTATAAAAACACAATTAAATATTAAACTGTTCAATTTCAAACAAAAATGAGGCAACTCACCAGTACATAATATTATTTTATTCTTGGCTAATAATTTTATAGTTGCTGCAGTTTTTATTAAGCATTCATCTGATAAAAATGGAGGATCAGCAATAACTAAATCATAATATTCCTTCCTATTTGAAGGGATACTTAAAGGTGCTTTATAATCATAAAATGTAAAATCTTCTCCATGTATGGCAAACCTTTTGTCAAATTCATAGAGATGAACTAAATCAAATAAAAATAAAATGTATCAAATGTGATATTTCAAACTACTTAAAAAAAACTTACTTATATGGTTTTCAGTGCTATTTAATTTCATTTTCTTGTAAAGTGATGGGCATGATAACAATGCAATATTACCAGATGGCCCAACACTTTCCAAAGCAATCTTTACAAGTGTTTGAATTGTTGCTGAATCATACCAAAATTGACTTAATTGCTAGACATAAATAAACAATCATGTTAATTTTAATTTTAAGCACTTCATGTGTACTGAAAATACATACCCAATCTTCACTCATATCAATATCTGCATCACTTTTGGCAATTTGAGATACTTCTAATTGGATAGCACTACGTTGTTCTTCTTCATTATAAAACTCTTGCAATGCAAGAAAAGTTTCGGCCGATAACTGAGGCACATCATCGTCGGAGTCATTATTAATCATTTTGTCAAAACTGATGATCAATGAAATGAATTTTGAATCAAATCGACTGCAATCAGCATGTGCAAATGCCGTTCTTGTTTTTGGTTACTTTTAATGTACAGGGTCATAATAAAGAGTAAATTAACTACAGGTTGTTTAAAAATGCAGAACGGCAGACCAACATACGCAATTTGCCCACTGTTTTCTTCTGATTATTTCAATTTTGTTTAATTAATCCAATTAAAAAGTTGTAGCATCTTTTGCAAATAAAAATAAAGAATTTAGCAATGACACAAGAAATATTTAAAAAGATTATTAAAAATATAATTTGTGTTAAAATAGCTTTACATAATACAGTATTGTACTTCGGGTACTTTGTAGACCTTAGGCTTCACCCTTACTTCAAAATTTAAAAAAATAAAACAAGGCCACTTACTATTTTCTCGTCTTTTCTGGTGGTTATGAGCACGTGTGAAGTGAAAACTGCTCTGAAATATGAAGAAGGCAAAGACAAAATCAAAAGTGACCAAAAAGAAGTGTCTAGATTGTTCAAGCAGCTTATTTAAACTTAAAGAACTATTTGATAAGAAGGGTGTAGTGCCAAAATTCGGCAAAATATTTAAAGCATGTAAGAAACATAACAAAGACAACATACTAATTATTTATAACTCTTACAAATTTGACAAACTACCCACTGCTACCTTAAGATCACTAAAATATGTAATACGGTCTGCTTACAAACAAATTCAAAACGCAAAATTGCGCAAACGAAGAATGAAACTCAAAGAGTTATCACATATAGATGAATTTACCGTGGAAGATGTCCCATTTGGTGAAATTAATAAAAGCACCAAACCTTTGGAAGTAGGAGGTGCAACATCTGCAGCAAACTTAGTTGATGATGATGATGATGATAAAGATTCAAGCACCACTGAAATTGTTATTCAGAATTCTGTTGCTGACCCACCAATTCCAAAAAATCAAAACAATTGCATTCCTGCAGAGGAGGACAGCTTGGGATTACTCAACTTCACAGAAGATTTTCAGCATTCACAAAATTTAGAGAGAGTAAAATTCTGGCAACAGTATGGGCATCCATTTGTAAAAGACTTGCCAGCTAGTCAATATGATATCCCTGATTTAAAAGACATCTGTCATGACCTGGGCTGGAACAGTCCTGGTTTGTCTCCAATTTATTAATTAGGTATTTTTTACCCTTTAACTATGAAATGATGTGATATTAAAACAATAAAATTTTGATTATGCAAACTTATTACATTGAGAATCTTTTTACTAATGAAAGGTAATTTTTGAAATCCTGTTTAATGAAAAATTATGAAACTATGTACATCTACATTGGCACGTTCATAACGCAAAATATCTAATCAATTCTTTCCTCAAGTAAATTATGTAAGTAATTATGTAACAAAGTGGCTAGTGTCCAATCTCAGAAAATGATTACAATAGGTACATAACTTAAATCAACTTCCTCCATTTGTCTGCCAAATTTTCAACGAACATAAATAACGAAAAATAACAATGAAGCCAAAAAACTGACACACCTTAATCTGTATATACAAGAATCACAGCCCAGAGTATATCAACACTTGAAATTTACAGCTTACTCAACAGCCAAGTCATGGCTCATCTGATTCACATTGAAAATAGTGTACGTTCATGTCGAGATTCTCCTTGGAGTCAAAGCCATCCATGCAGTAATGCACAGGTTGCAGTGAGTTCATTTCAAAGTACGTTGGACCACATGGTACGAAACTGTACGCGTAAGTGTTCAGATTATAATTAACTTCAACTGCAGCTTCCGGTTCGAGAGGCATTTCTGCCAGATATGACCGACCATTATGAACCGGCAACGGAAGCAAGCCATTGGTTGGCTGAATCGCTGTTAACTCGGCAATGCTGACCATTGGCGTCGCTGGATAGCTGATTTCAGTGGTTTCCTCTTCCGGCACAGCCATTCGCCGTTTCTTGAACGGCAAACGCGTTTCAGTGCCGGTTTTAACAGCCTGTACCAATAAACTTATCTCTTCTTCTGTGTAATTATTCTTGTGGATGGCTTTCAGAATGTCTGCATCAGGTTTTTCACTTGTTTCTATCTTGATTTCATGTTGCTTTATTTCATCATTTTTAGGTGCTGTAGTTGCAGTCATGTTTGATAAATCACACGGTCGGAAAGATGATAAATCAACAACGGGTTTCATTTGGAATAACTTCGGATCTGATGTTGGAATGCTGTCATAGTTTAAACGGTTTGGTAATATATGTTTCAATCGTTTTCTGTTTTTGTTCTGATTTTGAATTCGACTTAGTTCCACATAAGCGCGATCTACGTTCATATCTAAGCAAGAAATTAATTGCTTTCTTGATTTCTTACGTGAGAATGGCGAGAACTCCTTGTTTTCATGAAGCTTACTTGCTTCCAATAATACATCTAAATTTAGAAAGAAATTGTTTTACCAAATTGAGAATAACACACTAAATAAAACGATATATTTACCTGGAATGGATGGCATCGTTAAATGTCCAATTAACTCCTCATTGCAATAATATTTGCATACTGCAACGCCATCACTATTAAAAGTTATTGCTTTTTACCTCTCGAGGCATTTCTTTGGCAGTCCGTATTACTAATTTGATCCGTATCTCCATCCCCGCTATTTCGGCGACTTTTATTACTCAAATCCAAAGTCACAGCATCATCATAGTGTATTGTAACACCAGGAATAGAATACAAAGGGGGAGTATCGTTGTATTGTCCAGAATTGAGCATTGAATCCTCTATATCCACTAAACAATCAACGCGTTCGTTATTAAGCGGTGGTATTGTTGAAATATATTGATCTGGGGCTAAAGGGCAAACAATTTCATTCTCGGGCGTGAGAAAACCATTATGACGGATAAGATCTGGTTCGATGTGAACTTGTGTTGGCAAAATAGTGAATTCTTGCTCGCCGTTTACATCTTTTGGAGGCGTCTCATAGCCAAACTCAAACAGGTACTTACCGGACTCTTCATTTGCATCATTGTGATGGTTGTCATCTGAACTATTAATAGGTTGTTCAATTGAGTCCTCGACGTCTTGTGATAATGAAATTGTTTCTGGTTTTGATATACTCAGATATTCCTGAAGTTGATGAATCAAGTGGTTTTCTGCTTGGTGATCACACGTTTGGTCTTCTATTTTAGTATCATCAGAGAAAGCTATTTCAACTGGTTCATCTACTTGATTATTATCTTGTTTTCTTATTTCAACCATTTGGATCACACATTCATCAACATCTTCATTCAGAGTCAAATCAATAGTTGATTCAGTTAAGTCTACGGATTCAACTTTGGTAACAATTTCTACTTCGGCGACGTCAATATCGAAATCGCATATTTCATTCTGAATCTCCTCCTCTTGGAGTTCTTGGTTTTCTTCAACTTTTATACCTTCTGAAGATTGTCCGGTGGAAAGATCTGTTGCAATGTTTTCTTCAACTTTTATACCATCAGAAGATTGTCCAGTGGAAAGATCTGTTGAAATGTTTTCGGTAAATTCTTCTGCTGACTCCACAAGATAAATCTTTTTTTCATCCTGTGTGGAATTCAAACCGTTTTCCGTCTCAGTTTGATCCATTTCACATGAATCCACAAACGATATCGTTCTCTCATCTTGTGAGCTGGTTTCATAGCAGTCATAGTATGTGTTGAAGTCATCCTTACCGAACTTATCATAATCATTTATCATAGACTGAAAACAATCGTTTCAGCACTAATATTAAAATTATTACAACAAACTTACTTTATCTTGAGGTTCGTCCAATTTTTCTCTATCCTTTATGTATTTGAAATAATTAGTAATCATTTGTACTCTTCCTTTAGCAGTGTTTAAATCCGCAGTAACCCCTGAATCAAAGCACAAAATTTCATGCAACGTTTCAAAATTGTTCAAGTAACTAATTCGCTTATCAAATCTGTTGAAAAGTTTTCGTAACATTTGACTGTGATCCGACGAGGAAATAAACCTCTTGTATTTACAAAATAGTAAATAATATCCACACAAAGTTAGATCATCAAGCTTCGATATCTTGTTGTTAAATAAAACATTCCTAAAAAATGTGTTTTAATTATTACTTACTGATGTATAAATCGCTACAAAGTAACTTACTGGTACATATACTTCATTATTGAAACACTTGAGGTGGTTTTCCGATCAAATTTCATCTTAATTAAGCAATGCACAACATTTACATCCGACCAATAAAATGTGTACTTTAATTTCGATAAAATTTGCTTACTGCAATTAAGCAGTTGTTTGGACTTCGATAGTTTTGAATCGTTGTCTTTACTCAATAATGCTACTACATTGAGTTCCACTGTTCCATAGATGGACATAATTTCCTCAAGCAATCTACTTATAGCTGAATTTAGTTTGATATTTTTTCCATACATTTTCGTTTTTATTGTTTGTAGATGAGAGAGAATTAATCCGGGTAATTTCTCCCATGTGGGTTGGTCTATGAGTTTATTTAGATGTGTTCTTAGAGATCTATTAAAATTATTATAATATTAAGCTAACCCTGTGTCAAAAATTCTGATTAAAAACACTCACTTTATGTAGTATTCAAGATCTTGTATGATGGAATTTAAATGTAGATTTTCCAATAAAGCCTGCATCTCTTCATTCCATGGCACTTCAGGCTTCACTGACAACTGCCCTGGAATAGAAAATAATTTATGATAACACCATACTCCACACATTTAAACCAAAAGTATACCTAAGGTAACGCTGAATGATACATCATCTTCAGGCTCATGTAGTGACACAATCTTAGATTCTGTAGGTGTAGCCATTGTAAATGGCTAGGAACTATACCACCAAACACTTATCTACAACAAGAAAGGAATTAAATACTCATGAATATCATTATTAATAATATAGAATTGTCAAATACATTTGTAACATGAACAGAATGTTATTTGTTATCTGTCTGTTGCAACCTTTAAGAAGAACTTCACCCTGATTGATACTTACAAACACTGTAATTTACGACAATATAATACGAATTACAATCATATTTTTAACTGAATCAAGTCGACGCTGAACGCGAAAACTGCACAAACATGGCGATATTGAAAGGTTTACAGAAGGTTAATAAGAACAGTATGTACCTTGAGCAAAATTAATTGTTTCGCAATCTGCATGTATTAATAACTTCGGGTGAATCGTACGCAGCTAAGTGTTGATTGATTGTGCTGCCGCTGCCTGCATAGTTTTCCACAAAATGTTCATATCGACTGTGTGAACTGCACTGGTAGGAACATTCGCGAATCACCTGGCGCACAACAATCAGCGTTGTTTTCTCGCCTTTGGGAAATTTTTTAAGGCTGATGTGTGAGGTTAGGCTGGGAGGGAGTGAACGCAGAACAGGGCTTACAAATTTTCCAAATTGATCAAATTGGACAAACCAACTGTCCAAATGGATTAACATGAAATAAAAATAAACGCGTATTCATCTCAGCAGTTATAATCAAATATTTAGACAGCTCTTGATCTCAAAAAACAAAGTTTAAACACCCTGTAATTTAAAGGACTCTGTTCCAAAACAAAATCTCAATTATGAAATCGCGGTATTTATCACAAAAACGATTGATTATCGCCAAGTGCTTAGGTAATTTAGCCGCGTGTACAAATTGGCAGTAATATAAATTATTATTAATTCTTGTTGAATGAAAAACATAATATTACACTATTAAATATAAAGCAATAAAAATATGTATCAAATATTTAAATAAAATATGGAGGTAATGGTTAGATACTCATATTTTGATTAATGAAATACAATTTCGCAAACAGACGAACTAATTTCAATCGCATATGTTACAATACAACAATGTGTGTTGGGGTTCTCTCTAATTGATCAGTATGTTGAATATATAAACGAAATTAAAAACACGTCATTCGAATTTAAGTCATCGTCCCAAATACTGGATTGTGCCTGCAAATACTCGGTCCGTATTCCTCGTACTCGGCCTTCTTGTGGCAGACTTGATAAAATTCAGGCTGAAAAATATAAGAACAATTCAATTAAGCTCTTCCACAATAATATGTTCATATGCTACTAAAATCATATATTTTTATGTGATTTCTACGCTTAAATTGCAATTTGCAACTCTTTTATGCAAAGGAAAATTAAGCAACTACGTACTTGTAAATTTCTAAAGAATTCGTTTGTGTATTTTTTCACACACAGTAAAACTTTGATGTAGTCATGGGTATTGCATGATTCATCATTCAAACAAGAAAAAGAAAGACAATAGGTCAACTTTGTTCACAAACTTGATTACGCGGTTGGTTACCGTCGGCTTAAAATCAGCCACAAAATTGAAAATATAACAAGTTGCATTACTTTACGATAAATGAATGAAACTTACCGTGGATGCAAGCATGCTACCTCCGAACCACACGGCATATCGTTGCATGTGATGCGAAACAACTTGCACATCAATAGGTTTTGGCTAAAAATAATGCAAAGTTACATTAAATATAAAAACGTAGATAGAAATTTAAATATTTACCTTTATCCTACCACCGCCTAAACTTTCGCTATAGCGTAATCTAGTATCTACGGTGCGTTTAATATCCCTTTGAAGTCTTCGCCCAAAGTCTTTGAACATCGTGGATCCACCAGACAGTACGATGTTATTATATAACGGCCGACGGACGTCAATCGGACAATTTTGAATCACATCATCGACGATTTCCGAAATCGGTGTGGTAAAATCAGGATTTGAAAACTCCGGATGGAAGAAGATCTCCGGTCCCAAGAAGCGCTCATAGCCAACGTCGACGCTGAACGGCTGTTTGGTGACGGAATTGACGCCCTCGTACTTCTTCATCCACTTCGCCGGATCCGTATCGTATTTGGCGAATTCTTTGGCAATGTCTGGGCAAATGTAACAGTGCTTTTCTTTGATTGCCTTCGCGGTTTCAAGCGACTGCTCGGGAGGAATGCCAATCTCACGCTCGCGCAGCAGTGACTGGATGAAATAGGTAATGTTTCTTCCAGCAATAGGAATGTGCTTAATACAACTACCGATAACATAGCCCTCGGCGACGGGAATTACGTGCGTCACACCGTCGCCACTATCAATAACAATGCCGGTGAGCGTTCGGTCCGCAATGGGACGGGACACCCAACTGGCGGCTAAAGCAAGCACAGCTTGCACCGCAATATACAAGCCGGGCACATTGAAGGACTCGAACATTATTTCGGCAGTGTATTCACGATTTTCAGGCGTGTTTAATGGCGGCTCTGTTAACAAGAAGTAGTGATCCTCAGGCTCTGCCCGCAAATAACGAAATATACATTGTCCTAGGAATTTCTCCATTAAATCCCAATCTTCTACCAGTCCATGTCTGACTGGATACTATCAACAAAACACAAGAAATATTAAGACTTTATTCATTTAATTAATTATACTAATCAAGATTAATTATTTTACACTTACTTTAACAGCATATCCAGAAGCCTCAAATGCCTCATCCCCAATAAAGAAATCTAAATCTTCAACACCTTTGCCAACTCGATGCCGCGCTTGATCGCCGATTTTCGCCGACTCCTTGATAGCAATGGTTGAGGGTATAATAAATTGCGGTTCTTTATTTGGGGAGTAGCCCAGTTTTGTGTAACTAAATAAATAAAGCGTATAAAACGCGATTACAACAGTGCATTGAATATTGAATTAAAGTTGTGTGGTTATGTCAATGCTTACCCAGTGCCCACATCAATAACACAAGCTGGTAGTGTTCCAGACATTTCCATCGGCAGAGGCTTCCAGTTTTTGCTATAAAATAAAATTAACAACCACACCTACAAACTAAAATTGTTGACAATTTTGTGATAACTAATCGCTCTAAATAATGACTAAAACCGATTGAACCGCACCTCCGCCAAGTCAGTATGGCCAACTCAAAATCCCAATCATAATAATATTTTGGTGTGAAACTGAGTAGGCAACACACATCGCTCAAAAATAGATTTCTACCGAGTATCAGAAATATGAAATTTAGTTATTAAATTAGCCAGATATTTACAATTACAGATTAATAAATAATATAATAAATGTGTAATGTGAGGTTTTGGTTAAGAAAAAACGAACAGCAAAGAAAATTATGAAAGCACAAGATTAAATAGGATTTGTCTTTATGGATTACTATACTACGAGTATTTTCTAAAATTAGTAATGTCCGTCGAAATTTAAGAGTGCGTAAGTGTTGAATTTTATTAGACTAAGAACTTTGATAATTGCCAATATATTCACTGAAAACGTATAGTGCCTTTTGAACAAGAGGTCAGTTAAATCTACGTATGTGTCATTTTTTATATAAAAATAATAATTTGAATTGTGATTCTTTAATATGATTTGTTTGAAACATGTGGGCCACCAATTAACAATATTCCTTTTTTTCGCTGTGAAATTCACCTCGGATTACACGTGTAGTTATGCAGATTGCACAATGCAATTCAATGTATTGAATGAATTTAATTCAAACAATAAACATGTAAAAATCACAACAGTTGCGTTGTATTTTCGAAAGTGTGTATATTATAAGTAGCATTTTTGTCACTATGTTAAGTAGTTGTTGGGGTCATCATCGTCGCTGTCATCGTTCTCGTCTACGTCAGCCTCCACCGGCACTTCTGCTAGACGAATGTTGCTCAGTAAATCCCTGATTGCACCGACAAGAGATGCGACACTCATTCGCAGATCGCCACCTTCGGCACCACCCTCATTGCCTGCTCCTTCAACTAGTGCATGAGCACCTTCCACATTCCTAAAGGTAAAAACATAATGCACAAATTATTTTCTATGCATGCGTATCTCTACGATTAATAAAAGAAATAAATAATATATTATTAACTATTGCATTAAAACTGTTTTCACTGTTTTACTTTTGGAATCAATTTGTAACATGATAAAAATACTCACTCTAATAAGTTGTTGTCTGGAAGTTCGTTATTAAAATTGGGCAAGAGCGAACGGAAGAACATGCCCAGCGTGCTACCTGATTGTGTTGTTCTTGGTCGATTGTTTCGAGCATAAATATTAATGGAATCAAGCGGTGGAAACGGATCAAACGCCATGATACCAATTCCGGAATCCTAAACAAACCCAATTAAAAATAATAAATCATAAATAAAAATAAATATGAGACATTATACATACATCAGCTTGCGGACTAATAGTCACACCTTTCATGTCAGATAAAAGAATGTGACGGCTGATATTTCTGGGCAGAATACCCTGATAACGCATGTTCCTCTTCTTCTCATATTCCTTCGCCAACGGATCACCCGCATCAACGCGGTCCAACACAGCATGCACATTCCTCTCCAACCAATGCAACAAGTCAGCCTCCTTCCAAACATGATACGAACGATGCACGTACAAATTAATTAACTGAGCGAGAGCGGGTGGTTGCCTATATAGAGTAATAATATTATCATTAATAAGTAAACTTTGCAAGAAATATAAAGAAACATACTTATTTTGTGAATTAGGTCCGAAGAATTCATGTTTGGCGACCCGATTATCAATCTGCACCGAGCATTTCTCCAATAAAACCATCACTGTACCAGGGAACATCAACAGCGCATCTTGCAGCAATTGGTCCGCCATTTTGTAGTCTCCATTGGATAAATAGTAATGCGCGATGGGAAGCGAGAAAGCAAAGTTGGGCAGCTGCGATAAATTCATTGTCGGTTCCCATTCGTTGTACAAATCGACGAACCACTGGTATTCTCTCGACCGCAGAGCGTAGAAATCCAATGCCAGTCTGATTGCCAAGGGATCACCTTCCGGATCAAGTGATAGAATCACTTTGCAAAACTCCAATGCAGTTCGGTAACACGCACGACTGCCCACGTTTAACAAGTGCTTGAAGAGGGTTATAAAAAGTGCTCTATAACAAAGAATAAAAGCCTCCATAAATATAACATCAACGTTGGATACTTAATTAGAAATAGTTTAAAGTTTAAGGTATTTACCCTAACAAATTATGTGAGAAAAAATTAAAATTGTGAAATTTTTAACTTTTATAACTTTATACCTGTTTTCTTGTCTTCTATAATCCATCCTGCAGTTTCCTGTAGCAATGTTGAAGCATGGATGAAATGCGCATTCCAAAAAGTACAACGCTCTCTCAATAATTTCGGCAGCCATTGCAAGATTTTCGCTAATCTTGCAAAGATCAGAGACTTGAATAAGCGCGTCAATATGATAGGGATGTTCATTGATAATTTCAACTATATTATTAGGATTAATACTCTCCACCGCATCGAAGAACCGATTTTGAATGACACGATAATTTACGCTATGCTCGAAGTTGAATAGTTGGACCCCTGCACTGCCCTTGGAATCACTCACACTCATTGACAGGCCAGTCTTTGTGATTTGTGGCCAATTGTCTTTCATTGAAACCAGCCATGTGGCTTTTACATGTCCCCTGACACTCCTGTGTTTCTTCTTACTACAATTACATTGATTGTTAATTATAAAGTACAAAAAATAAAATTTTATTTAAGTTATCTAACTTACTGCTCAGTTTGAATGATTTTAGAACCAAAAATTCGTTTTAGTTCATTATTTGGATTCAAATGTTTGTGTTGAACATTGAGAATGTTTCTCTTACTGTTCAGTAACTTATCAACTTTTACCATGCCAATATTGCTTTGCCTTGAAATAACAGCATCACCCAGAATTTTATTCACCTCCCTGACTGATCTTTCCACCTCATCCATCTAAATAAAATTAATTAAAATAAAAACTATAAATTATACAAAAGATACAAAACCTCAGCATTATCTTCACTACTCCTCTCAGCTGTAACAGACTTCCCTGATTTCTTCTTCTTCTTCTTTTTCTTTCGCTTGGTGGATTCATGAATATCATTGCCTTCACATGACTTGTTGGCTTCAGTTTCATTATCATCCTCTTTGACTTCACTTTCAGAGTATGACATCTGGTTCAACTGAAAGAATCGGCTAAATCAATAAATGAAACAATTACGATTTGAGTCCCAACTCACCAAATCATATCGGTTTACGTTTAATTGCTTCCTTCTGGCACCACCACTTGGCAATTCATTTTCAATCTCATTATCAGACACCTCATCATTCAACTCGGTGTCGCCCTGAATCTTACGCAGTACCCTCGATGACATTCTAGCTAATTGAGTGTCACCAGTTTGGTTTGAAGCATATGTTGATATTTTATCCGGACGGTGCAGAAAAATACGCGAAAAACATTATCAACTATTTATGCCGTTTTCAATTATTGACGTTTCGCCCGTTTTTGCTCGCTGCGCTCACTCGAAAGGAAGTGTCAAATGACAGCTGACTACAGAATTGACCTTCTAGCAACGGCGGGAATTTTGACCTTACCAATTTTTTATTGATCCTTACCTTTAGTTGTTTCATTATGAACTTTCATTAGAGCGTTGAATACAGGTAGGCACAACGTCCGCAAGAAAATCAATGTAAATATTTTAGTAAGTACGGAAAAAAACTCTACTACATGTCAAAAACAAGATGAAAAAGTAAGCATTGTGATTAATTTGACAGACAATCTAAAGCAAGGAAAGTACACAATTTAGTAGTAGTCATTGGATAATAGATAATATCAATTAATAATATGGTGAGCTAAATATGACATTTATTCCATGATAATCGTTAGAAGCAATTAAAGAATTACTTTCCCACGCCTTTAAATTTATTTATTTATTGCCAAACAAGGTTTTGTTTAACAGCAATGGAAATTTACCTCTTACTCATAATTATCATGAATAAATAATGTTTCTTTGCATTTTTATGTCTTATCTTTCTGGTTCTAAAAGAAAATTAAAACAGTGAGGTAAAGTAAAAGTGTTTCTGAATAAAAAATATTCACTACCACAATGTTATCTTACAAAAACACATTTTTATCAACAACAGTTGAGAAGTTATCTGTTGGTTTTATTACTGTATTTTATGATTAACATAATTTACATATGACCATCTCTTAATTTATCGTTCTTATATTTTGAAGCTCAAATTTATTCAACATCAGATAATAAATCCCAATAACCAAATCACAGTTATTGACTATTCCTATATTACAGCATTATCATATCATACATTAATAAATTAATAATCAAGTTTCTGAAATTCATTAAAGTCAGTTTAACAAAGTTCCAACTCATCCAATATAGATCTGTATAAGTATTTGCAATAAAATAATTATAAAAATAGAATGTGCAATAATATTTCGGTTAATATAGGTATTATATACGTTCGCGTATGGAATATCAGTAATCATATTAAATATTAAAACATCCCAGAATAAATTATACACTCATCAGGAAAAGTTTTATAAGAGTTAAAGCAAGTGAAACATGATTAACTAAAAGCAACTTTCACTACAGTTGCAATCGAAATAAAACATTGGTGAATCAGCAGAATTTAGTTGGATTGCCATGCAATAATAATAATTATCACTGCCAGAATAACAGCAGCAATAATTGCTAGGTATAATTTCTTCTTACGGATCTTGTTTTTGTAAGTGCTTGCCTCTCGCAGCTGACTAGCGCCTTGCGATACATAATGTTCAGTGTGCTCAACGCTCGCTTCGATACTATCAACAATTTCGCCTTGTTCGTGAACCATTGCACCAAGCTCTTTGAATATTTGATTCACATCTTGAATATCATTCTGGGAAAGTATAAATAATGAAATAATATTGATTGACATTCACATAAATCAATCATTGCATATTTACCTCCAACTGTCTAATGGACTGTTCCTGTTCTTCAAGCACCCGTAATTCTTGTTCCTCTTGCATCACCTGTTGTTGCTGTTGCTGCCTAGATGCATTACTATCTTGAAGCTCAATCAATTGTTGTTCTTTCTTGTTGGAAAAAATATCACTGTAGTTCTTCTCCCTGGCCCTGTTCACCTCTTCCTTTTCTTTACTGGCAGCACTCCTCTGTGCTTGCTGAAACATGGTCAATGCAGTGGTAAACTCATCTTGCAATCTCTCCTTTTGCATCTTCCTCTGCCTCTGTTCTGATTGTATGAGAGATGCTGGGACATTATGCAAGTCTTTGATGTATCCACTTGTGTCTTTCACTAGCTGCTGTGTATAATGTTGAATGTTATGTCTGAAAATGATAAATTTATATGCATTGATGATTGATATGTTCTAGTAATATGGTAACTTATTACAATTGTTTCCGTAACTCCTGTGAATCTTGATTAGTTCCAATCTGGTTGACCATTCTCTGCATAGATGATACTGTGACAGAGCATTTAATTATTGTAATGAATACAACAGTAGAATTAAAAAAGAACGCACCATTTTGTGAGATTTTCTGTATGCTTGTTCCAATTGTTTGTGAAAGCTTCTGGAAATCCTGTTCCCGATTCGAACTGCCATTTTGGTAGGATGAGAAACTCTCCATATTTAATGTTAAGGAACGGTGTGTTTAAATGTGATAATTGTTTTATTACTGGACAATCACAACAGATATCAGCGTATAGATTAAACTGTTTTACGACGAAATGCAGCAAAATCGAGTTAGTCACTCAGGTTAGTCAAGGACGTTGTCATCACTTGACAGCTGGAATCAAATTGATTAACGAGTAAGCTTGGTTGCATACCAGTAAAAGTATTTTTTAAATTTGTTAATTTTATTATTCATCTTTATCATTCAAAAGAAAACCAGTAAAACAATTATACTAAAACTAATTCCCCAAATGGTGTAAATATAACAAAATTTAAATAATTGTTGGCGAATCATTTTTAAAACAACCAATAATAGATTGAAGATATATCTTCGTTTGGATAATGCCAAAAGTTCTGCACGAATCGTAAGTAAAAAAAGCAAAATCCTTTTTAACTATATTATATTTACTTTATAGGTACAAGTAATAAGTAAAAGTAAAAGTAAGATAGAAAATATTTTGTATTATCCTTTATAGTAGCATTTAAGAAATTTAAAATGTACTTCCGCCCACAAACGCATAAAAATACCATTATTTAGTAATAAACATAAAAATACTTCTGTTTACGTCCTACCCGGTATAAACCAATTTTAGTTGATGGTGATGATGCTAATTACCTGCAACGAAGTTCAATTTATTATAAAAGATTTAAATGCTATTAAATTATCTCTAAATTCCGCATAAATCATCAAAATATTTATTAAAATAGCAGGTTTTTATAATTAAAATTTTGTGGCGCTAAAACTGAAGGTAAAGTATAAAATTTGGTCGAACGCCGAGCTTGCTAAGCCGGTTGACGTTGCTCCTGTTTTAGCCCAAGCTCAGTCAGTAGTACGCGCGGTGCAGTCAATCTAATGGGAACCTATAAGTTCAATTAACAGACATGCGAATTGTATCAGGTCAGTTGGATAATTTATTATTTTTATTCCTCAATCGCCTTCATCATCATGTCCTTTCCTTGAACTTTTTAAATTTCATCAAATATACTCATCTTCTTTACATATCACAGCTTACATTAATTAATACTGATAAAGCAAATAACAAAATCAACGTAGGTAAAAAGTTTTGAATTATTTATTAACTGCTTTGGTTTACTTAGCGCAAAATACTCATACTTCTGGGAACCCGAAAATGTAAAAATAAAAAGCAACGCAATTTAAATACCATGCCGGCCGTCGTTATGATGATTTCACCGCAACTTATTAATTTTATTAATCGACGCAGGATGAATTCACACTTGGTTGAGTAATTTTGCGCAGCACTAAACGAAATTTTCGAATCGATTTCGTGCGTCTGGTGCGTGCCGACCGAGTGCAAATACATAGTTCGGTTTTTAAAGCAAGTTAAATTCTCTGCGTGCATGGGTGGTGCGCGATGGAGGCCGGTTCGAAATGGGTTTAAGAGCGGAAAGCAATGCGGAAGTGCATGTATTGGGTGTAAATGCTATTAAACATTCGCGTAAGGTCCATGTCTAACACAACTGGTGTTAAAGTTTTTCTCTTTTTTCGCTCCGCCAGTGCTATTAATAGATATTTTACTTTATTTTCAGAAACAAATCATACATACACACCGCACACACATTTTACATTTACCTACGCACATTTAACGTGTGTCGGAGCACACCATCAACCCTGTCGCTTATGAAACGTTTACAAATAAAGCTAATATCTGTAAACTTCATTTCGAATTTGTTATTTGACTAACCTGAAACACACACATTAGTATAACATCGCATTACAGCATTTTAAACGCGCGTCATGTAATAGCATCGCTTCTTACTCATTTCTTCGGTCGAAAATTAGATAAATACGAAAATAGAACAAACGGGTTTAAGGCGTACAGCGTGCTTTTATTGAATGTGCTCAAACATAAACAAAATGAGAAATTTGTTTGTGCAATGGCGCACCAAATGTTCGTTGTGATGCATGTGAGCGTCGCCATTGTGCAATCCTGAAATGCGGTCCTAAGTCTGGATGCATTTATGTCTGTCTGGAGAAGTCTGCGGCGCGCTCAATTAGTTCATTTAGGCTGGTGTTCATTACGTTATTTTCGGAGCTCAGCATTATTCCTGCTGAAACTTTATTAATTCGTTATAAAATTGGAGCATAATATTCTATTAATAACACCTTGTGTTGTACTTTTAGCACATAGATGTCGTACGAATTGTGTTTACGAAAATTTTCGACTTAGACTAGGAATGGTGCATCGCACTAAACCTTAATACAATGTAGACTTTGTTGTATTTAATTCTACGTGATAATTAAAAGTTATTATATATTTTAAAGATAATACTAAATAATAAGTTGCTTTTTGGTAACAAGTTGAGAACATTTATCAGTCAACATATTAAAAGGAGAAATTAGAAACAAAGTAATCGCTATACTCAAACAAGTTATCGTTGTTAAACGATACTTTATTAAAACCATTGCAAATCAATAAATTTAAAGTTGTTTGCAATATTCAACAAAATTCTGGTCCTGGGGTATTGTTATAAAGTGTTAATAATCCACTTGTTTGTGCAAAATAACATTTTTGACATTTTTTGTTCAAAATTCGTAAAATATAACAGTATCATTGAATTGTAATTAAAAAAAACAATAATGTCGGCCAATGTTTCTAAACTTAAATCAAAAACATCGTAACACAGAAACATAACATTACTCGTACCTCAGACGTGCAACCGTACATCAAGGCAAAGGCTAAGTTAATGAATAAACACAGCTACTTTATAATGGTAGATTACATGCACTTTCACATGCGCCAAATTTTAATCTCTCGCCATGACAGTAAAACTCTTCAATGACGAATTTATCAAAACTATATTTTTATACACTAAAATATCAATAAATATTATAAAATAATATTATATACAATATGTAATCAATTTAACGGTAAAACGCCCACCACTTTTCTTAGTATAAAGTATTATGTGTTTAGAATCCTATAAAAAATGTTTCTGTTTTGAACCTCTCGGTACCTAGCTGTTTTCATGTTATTGAGCCAAAAAATGTGTTTTCTTTTTAATCTAGACGTAACACACCCAAACTACTTTCTTATAACGTATGTTTCTAAATTATATTAAAGTATTAATCTCTACAATAAAATTTAATTTCAGAAGATACAGAAGCACTCCCTCCTCGGTTTAAGGACGAGCACTCGCAATGCCTGTCGGTGGCGGAAGGAAGTGCCATAGTATTACAAGCCGAGCTGGCAGACGCCCCGAAAGACGCCGACTTAGAAATCGCTTGGTGAGTTTTTCAGCTCGAATCTGCGAAACTCGTTCAGAAATTTTTGGTAAATAAATACATAGACGCCCGTTTCTAATTCCGGCGTTGTAATAACCTGCAATATCGACGTCGGTTGACCATGAGCCGAGCTCACATGCTCCCCGTAGATATTCGAATGTAACGCTGACGTTTTTCGCTAACTTGTTGTCCGCTTCAGTATGTATAAGTAAAAATAATTTTGAGATGGCGAACGCGTCGCGATGCCGCGCTTTGCAAATGTCTATGCGAGTAGTTCGGTTGAGGTGGTCCGCGGGTATCCATTTGTTCGCTTAATTTCCAGTTCCACAAACTGTTTATCATTTGATTTCAACCAAATATATTCAATTTAAATTAAATCAATAAGTTATTAAAATAAAAGTGTGTTTAGTTAATTAATTCTTAAGCCAATTTAATTAATTGTTAGTTTGTTATTGTTTGCTTCATCGAAAGTTTAGTCATCTGGGTCATTAGCAAAGATTTGAGTTTCTGACACGGTTTAATTTAGAATGACTCGATTCAATTGTTATTGGACGTAGTCGTATCGATTGAATTGCGATGGGGACCAAAGTGAGCAAGTGTTGCAAATGTCCGAATACGAAAGCGGAACAATACGCGAACGGAGGTGCCTCATCGTGGACCACAGAAGATGGGTAAGCGTCGTTGGTTTTTTTTAATTATGTGAAGGTAAAATAAATGTGCGAGCTTTGCTCAAAAGCATGCCGCAAGATTTGGCAGTGCGCGCTTTAGAGAAAAATCAAATGCCAACGGTATCGGTCACAAATATATAAAATTAGAAGTGATCTATGACTTCATTCACATGTTCTTATATTGTTATTATTGTCCACATGATTTTACACATGTCCTACACGCAATTAGATTTATTTCATGCGCCCGTACTACTTGTGTAGCTATAATTGTAACAGATTCTATAATATTAATTATGATATCATCCTATTGGATAGCGGCCATCTTGTATTTATTTTCGCACCTAACAACTATTCAATTATATAATATACTAATTAACTGAAGGTCCAAAAATGGAGATCCCTTACCTCCAGAGCTACCAGTTCGGCTAAAAAGTAAACACACCGGAAACCTTGTGCAACTGGCACTCGATGATGTACAAAAACAAGATGCTGGTCTTTATACAGTCACCGCAAAGTCCCCGTCGGGCATCGCGAGAAAAGACATGGAACTGATGGTCACCACTTTAAACCCACCGGACGACGCTGACACGCCCACATTTCTACGGCGTCTTAACGACCTTTCTGTGAAAGTTGGAACTCGAACACGATTTTTAGTGGAAATTAGAAGTCGCACAGAATTAACGGTAACATACTACACAGAATAAAATAGGAAAATATTATTTTGTATAATTCTGTATAATAGATCGAATGGTTTCACAATGATGTACTTGTCAAAGAAGGAGAACGTTTCCGACTGGTGAATGAAGGCGGTTTCCATTGCATTGACCTCGCACCGCTGATTGCGCAAGATGGCGGAAAGTGGACGTGTAGAGCAACCAACGATGCAGGATCTGTCAATAGCAATGCTTATCTCAATGTACTTGGTATGTCTTTCCACTGATTTAAGCAATTTAAGCAATGTTTTAATAATGAGTGTTTCCAGTTCCAAAAACGTATAAACCACCCGAGTTCCTCGAAGAACTTCGTGCTCTTCTTACGGAAAAGGGTACCGTTTCGTTGGAATGTAAAGTTGTTGGCATCCCAACGCCGCTCCTGCGTTGGTTTAAAGATGGCAGAGAGATTAAAGCAGGCGACGTGTTTGCTCTCACCGCTAATCCGGATGACCACACCACGCTGGGTACCTACACCTGCGAAGCGGTCAATTGCATGGGCAAGGCATATTCCAGCTCCAAGGTTCACGTAATTGGAAGCGGAAGTCGAGAAGGAAGTCTCAAACCACTCGACAGGCAATTATTACTCTTTCAATGGTGGATATAAATATTTATGAATGTTTATTTTTCCATAGTGTGCCTACGGGACCTCCTCCGATATTCTCACGAGAATTACAAGACGAATTTGCTAAAATTGGAGACAATCTAATGTTATCCTGTCAAGGTAAAATTTAAAAAATTTTAGGGTTTTGTATTTTTTTTTAATTTATAACAAATTTTTATAGTTGCGGTTCCACCTTGGCCCAAGTCCATCATTTGGTACAACTCTGAAGGTAAAATCGAAGAAGATTCCGAAAACAGCAGATATCACCAAATGGCGGACGGCTTGGGAGGATACATGTTAGAAATTAAAGCGACCGAAGCCGCAGATGCTGGCGAATGGAAGTGTGTAGCCATCAGTAATGGTGACGCAAATTCAGTCAGCACATGTCAGGTTAAGATGGCGAGTAAGTTAATGTTCTCGGTAACTTACACAATACTTATACTATCCGCTGTGTTCCAGTTCCAAAACATTACCGAAAACCAAGATTTATGGAAAGCTTAAAAGCTATCCTAACAGAAGAAGGATTAGTGTCCTTTGAGTGCAAAGTGGTTGGTTCACCAACGCCATCATTGAGATGGTTCAAAGATGGCCACGAACTGAAACCAGGCGACGTTTATCAACTAAGTGGTACCAATTCCCTCGGTTCATATTGTTGCATCGCCACCAACTGCATGGGCGTTGCAAACAGTACCGCCGAGCTAACAATTGAAGATATACAGAATCAACTGAACGATGAAGAAAAACAACAATTAATTCTCAAGAGTCAAGCACCCCGATTCATCCAAGGACTTAAAACATGCGAGGGAAGAATCAACGAACATTTCAGATTGGTTGTTCAAGGTAAGTGGGGTTAGGTTTACCATTTTGCGACTTCTTACGGTATTTTTTCTATAAAGTGAGCATTTCACCATTGCCATCATTGGCATGGTATCGCGATGATCATCCAATCGAAATTGAACCCGAAAAGTATACAATGATCAAAGCCGATTCGATTGGCACGTGTCATTTAGAAATAACCCGTCTTGAATTTATGGATCAAGCTGAATGGAAGTGTATTGCATCCAACGAGTTTGGACATACAATGACTTCCTGCTTTCTTAAATTGATTGTACCCAAACATTTCAAGAAGCCCAGATTCTTGGAATGTCTTCGCGCAGTACTCTCCGAGGAAGGAGCGGTTAATTTAGAATGCAAAGTTATTGGTGTACCCCAACCAGTTCTGAAGTGGTACAAAGATGGCGAAGAATTAAAACCTGGTGATATACACAAAATTACTTCCGGTGCAAATGGGACCTGTTGTTTGGGCACATACACATGTGAGGCTAAAAACTGCATGGGTATTGTGTCATCTTCAGCATCACTTCATGGCTTCGAAGATGAAACTAAAACTAGAGCGGAACAACAACGTCTGGAATTACAACGCGTTCCATCGTTGTCTACAATTCATGAAGAACGAACTTCACAGATGTATGATACTCCTCCACAAGGAGACACCTCGATGACAATAAATGACCATGAAGAAATGTCATTTTCCTTTGATGGTAAGGAAGTATCTGTGTCACTTTATGAAACTCCAGATATCACTGAAGAAGAAGCAGTGCAAATTATCGAAATGTACGCTGATCAATTATCTGAGCATGTCACGTCTCAGAATATTGTAGAATTACCACCAATGCGATTCATTAAGGAAACATCCAAATCTGGTAATTTGATGATGGAAGCGGTTCTCGTTGATGTTTCTGAAGATTATTTCACATCAGCTGAAGAAGACCTACGTACTGAGGCGGACGTAGATGAAATCTTTTCGATTTCAGATGATTCCAGACCTTTCAGTCCAGAACGTAATGGAAGCGATCCTAAACGTCCCCCAAGAAAGAAGACTGAATCACAGAAGAGCACATATTACAGTTTAGTAAAGAATGGTTCTGGTCGGTCTGAAAATGGAGAAGAGAGTATGGCTACAGCTGGAGATTTGGAAAGTGAAAGTAATGAATTCGAAAGTGCGATTGGTTCCAACAAAATGCAAGACGCTTTCCAAGTTGCTGCCATTACTGAAACAACTTCGCTACCTGGAGATGATCTTTCCAACAGACAATCGGTATCTCCTCAGAACACGCACGAAATTGGTTCGGATTTAAGAGTTAACCGTGTGGGAGAAGATAAAGTTAAACGGCCCCGGCGAAGGCGTTCCAGTCGTCAATCACTTAGCTCTGATGATTCCAAGGAACAAGATGTCAAACGTAAAGGAAAAGTGCCAGAGAAAGGACGTGATATTCACGGTGAAGAAGGTGATGGATTAGTAATTGATCCAGTTAAACAGAAAGCTAAAATAAAAGAAATCAAAGCTTTAGAAAAGTCCGTCTGTCAAAAACTTCGAGAAAATATTTTCGATATCCAAGGAGATTTATTGAAAGTCGAAGAAGATTTGTTGATACAATCATCATTGAAAACAACTTCTGCAGCCGCCAACAAAAGTCTCGAGGTTTTGAATAGCATTGTACAACCTATAAAAGATATTCAAATGGTTTTAGTAACATTAGAACAAAACAGAGACTCGTCGGATTTGAATATTGCAGAAATAATTGCACCGCCCATTTTTGACCTTCAAAAGAATTTAACAATTGTTGAAAAATGTGTGGAATTGCAAGGACGAGATCATACATTGATTCAACGCACTTGTTTCAATATCATAAACACAACTAGCAAGAAATTGCAGGAAGGGCTTAAATTAATTGAAGATATAACTCTGTTGGAAAAGGAAATGATTCCTGTAAAAGCACCTGGAAGACAAACACCGTCAAAAATAATCCAAGAAGTCTTGATTACGATTCAAGAACTTCAAGGTGGATTAAACAAAGCTCATTTCATTACGGAAGCAAAGAAGGAACTGCAACAAAAGAAGAAGGAAACTGCAGAACCGGTTAAAACGGACAAAGATATGGGCGTATTGCTTAAATTTGCTGAACCGGCTTTAGAAATGCAGGCGATAATCAGCAACATTAAAGAACAAATTTTAGAAAAAGATGATTTAGATGAGGAATTTAGACAAGAAGTGCTTCACAATTTAGAAACACCCGTACAAAAATTGTGTACTGAAATTGAGCACATTGAAAACAAAGCGATTAAATTTACTGGTCCAAAATCTTTATACAAAGAACTACATTATGCTTTATTAGACCAAGTTGCTGCTCCAATTCAAGAACTTAAACGATTATTGGTGGAAGCTTCAGAACCGTTAGAAGAACGTCTGGAGGAAGTGGAGCGCCTGAAATTATTGGAAAACCCACTGGAAGATGTATTAGATTCTTTGTCCAAGTTAAGCAAAAACATTCCTAGCGATATAGAAATGGAAGCAGAACCATCTGCGTCCAAACAAGAAGTCGTCAAAGAAGTCTTTGACCAAGTTGCACAACTGGTCATTAATAATTTATCAAGATCAGTTTACGACTTATTGTACAACATAGAAAACGCTCAAAAATCAGCCAAAGACAAGAAATTGTTGGAAGCATTGAGACAATTATCAACATTGCAAAAAGATTTCGCTAGCACTGTCAGACATGTAGAGCAAGCCAAATCAGAACAAGCAATTTTGGCGTTGGAGAATTTAGCTCAACCGATTGAAATGCTCAACAATCAAATTGTTGAAGTACCTAGTGCATTGCCCACTGATGTGCTTGATGATGTAGTGGCTTGTTTGAGTATCTTAGAGGATAGCATCACTCTAACTGAACCATTATCTAAAGAAGCAAATGATGGTTTCATGGATTTAAAACAACGTGCGCGTGAAGTTAAAGATAATATTTTAGTATTGACCGATGAATGTGTTCCGTTTGAAGAGACTGTCCCTCCAATTGTCATGGAAAAAGTCGACGTATCTATTGATCCAATTGCTGAAGAAGCTGAAGCTGTGGCAAAGCTGGTAGCATTAAAGAAATCTATTGCTTTTATTGAATCAATGCCTCTGTTGAGAAAAGTTGTAATTCAAGAAGCTCCTACACCCGAATCTATTGCTGAAATGGTTGGTAATATTAAAACAATTGAAGCTACTTTAGCTACAGTTCAAGATCCTAGACCTCTGGAATCTTGCGAAGGACTTGAAGTTGAAGTTTATGAAAACGCCAATGCTGTTATCGAAAGTTTGAAGAAAGTAAAACGTGCAACAGATGTGCTTACAGTTAGTGAAGTTCCTACTGTAAGCAGTCACGATATTGAACAAATTAAAACCATTCTAGAACCTTTAGGTAAATTAAAAGAAACACTCCAAAAAGTTGAAATAGAACAAGATCCATTGGTAGCACTGGAAATTCCTATAATCGAGTTGCAAACTTGCATGGAATCAACCGAAATGAATCTACAAGATGTTAAAGAAGCTGTGAAGAATGCTCTGGAAATTATTAATATCGAAAGAAGTAATGCTGAAATTCAAAATGAAAGTATTGCACATTTGCAGCCAGTTATTAACGTACTTACTAATTTGAAAGAAGATCTCGTTCAAAACAAAAATGTTTTCCCAACTCTAAAAGCTTTGAAGCAAAATATTGAAGTAATTTCAGCTGACTCACCAGTTAAATATATTGCGTATGCACTTGCTGACCTTACAAAAACAGTCAAGAAAGCTGTCGAAACAGCACCCAGACCTATTTGTGAAGAAACCAAAGAAAGTTTTGAAACTCTACAAAAGAGTTTGACCAAATTGGAAGCAAGTCCTTCGTTTGAAACTAAGCAAGGACAAATTGAAACGTTGAAATCGGCCGTGGAGGAAATACGTACATTGGTTGATGTAGATCCAGAGGCTAAAAAGTCTTTAGAGAATTTAGTCACGTTTGCGCAAGGTGTAACCGCCAGAAAGATTGTATTTGAGGAAGCAACCCAAAAGGCAAATACAGTAGCATCAGAATTACAGAAATCGGCGTCATTGTCATCTTCAACCGAGGAACTTAATAAAATCCAACATGCTTTAGTAAAAGTATTTGAAGTACCACCTGAGCAGGCGCAAGTTTTGCAGCCGATTAATCAAATGATTGATGAAATATTGTGGCACCCGGTGGAAGAACCACGTAAAATTTTGTATGCAAATATTAAGGATGCTGTGAGACCTTTAAAAGCGTCTGTTGACAAATGCAAATTTAAATCTTTATCAAAGAAAGATTTGTCATTAATCCAAAGTGTTTCGGATACACTGCAAACTATAAATACTTTCATGGATAACAAAATGTCGATGGAAGATTTGAAATCAACTTTAAGTCAATTTAATGAAAATTTGCAAACGGCGGATATTGATTCAGTGAATGAATTATTGTATCCTGTGCAAAATTTAACAGTGCAAGCACAAAGCGATTTGAATGACCTTATCGCTATCGAGCGAGTGTTAAAAGCAGAAAGAGCAAAACAATCAGTGCACTTTCAGAACGCGCCCAAGTTCTTGTTCAGAATGTGGCAACACTTAAATATCCAACAATCAATAAACAAAACGTAATCAAACTGCAGAAAGCGCTGAATATTCTGCAAATGAACGCAAATGATTTAATTGACACCTCATTCACTGATAACGATAGAACTATTCTCAACACATCAGCACGATTGCTTGATAATCTCAACAATCAAGTGACTATTACCGAAATAGACTCAACGCCTGAGGAAATAGCGAAAGTGTTGACGGATGATTTGAAAGCATCGTTAGCCCACATAACCGAAGAGTCTCCCGTTCATAATTTAATCGAAGCATTAAACTCGATACTGGTTTCAACGCCTGTTATAATTGAACAAATCGGCCAAGGACGCCGAGACGCTGCCAAGGCATCGCTCGTGGAATCTAACTTTACGAGACCGTTGCAACAATTGGAGAGCGCCCAAAATCCGAACGACGTTATTAACACATACCTTACGCAAATGAAAACAAGTGCTGGCCATCTTATTGAAACAGCACAAGAAAATAACTTGAATAATGAGGAAGCGCAATACATGCAACAACTTGAAACATATGCCGACAATCTGGAAACGATCGTTTCAACTACAGAAGCTAATAATTATCAAGATGTTGTTCGTAAAATTGAGGAAGTCACTGAAGACGTTGTTAATGCCGGTAGTAATTTGCGAGAATCGCCTTTGAGGAATATTGCACCTAGTATTAGAAAAATGTGCAAAATTGTTATTAAGGTTTTAGAACCAATTCAGCAACCAGTGCAGCAACAAGCGTCAGTTGACGATAAAGAAGTTTTATATTACATTGATGATGCAACAGCTCCGCCTGAAAGTGTTCCAGAATCTGTTGTTGAAGTTGAAGCTCCAAGTTTGTTCCAACCTTTGTTGTCGATTGTGGAATGTGTTAAAAATTCAATAAGTGCTATGCAAACAACTGCTACTGTTCCAGAACAAACAGAGACAATGGTCTCTTTAGATAAAAAGATTGAAACAATAAAGTCTAAGGTTCATGAGGAGAAAATCAAACCTGAAAAATTAACTATTCAGGAACACAATGTAATCAATTTGTCAGAAAGAATAATGGCTGAGGTGAATAATTTGCTTCCGACTCAACAAGTTTCGGTTAGCTTCCTAGAGAATGTTGCTGAATTACAACACGAATTGGAAACTCTGGATGACAGATCAGCGCTCAAAGATATCGCGCAACCCATTGCACAAGTTGGCGAAATTTGTGTGCAAGCTGCGCATACGCATTTGGCTCAAAGTCAGCCTGTAATTGTTTCTTTGAAAGAACTACAAGTTAATGTAAAGAAAATTGAAGATCAAAATTTGCCTGCGGAGAAACAAACAGCACTTGTTGAGTTGGAAAAATCTATTGTTAATTTGGAAACTAACATTTTAAAAGAAAATATTCAATTTGCTACTTTAACGCAAGAAGAACAAGGTGCAATGAATTTTGCGCAAAAAGCGCTTACTACTTTAAGCGCATGTATTAATACTTCTGATGTGGCATCCGAAACTACTGATGAATTAAAAAGTCATTTGGTTGAAAATGCTAAGGCTTCCATTGATCAATTAAGATTAGCTGTCTTAGCAGTCCCAGAAATGTCAAGTGTTAAACATATTATGGAACCATTAGAAGAAACGGCGAAAAATGTAGTTAATTTGATTGATAACATACCAGCTATTTCAGGTTTTACTGAACCTGTCACACCAACTGCTTCTCTTAATAATACAATCGACAATACAGTCAAATATGCTTCTCAGCTTGAAATGCCTTCGATTTCAGATCAAAGAAAGAAATGCTTTGCGGATATTATTCAGGACATATCTGCTGTGCAAGAACAAACAAAAGAATTTAATATTTTATCGCCTGAAGATGCGGAATTAGTCAAAGCAGAAGAGAAAATCATACAAGAATTTAAAATTATTTAGAGAATCCTCCTAGTAGTGATTTTGTTAATACTGATGAATCCAAATCAAAACCACTTTTGGATTCTATAGCAGAAACTAGAATTATTACTAATAACCTGCCTACAACAGCAAATGCACATCCAATGTCTGTATTAGTAAATAAACTAATTGTGAATATTTTAAAACTGATTGAACCTGTGCCAGTCGTTCAAGAAAAAGTACTACAAAAACAAGTCAAAGATGTACAAGGAAATGTACAACAATTACAAGAAGGTATTGCAAATTTAGAGTTGAGAGTTGATAGTAAAGTACAAAGAATACTTACTAACGAAATGCCGCGTCCACTGACGGCTTTACAATTCATTTGCGATACTGTTGTTGCTGGAAAAAGTGAAAAACTTTCAAGTAATGATTTACATCTCTTGGAAATGACATCAGATTCTATACAATTATTCCATGCTATTGTAACTTCCATCGGAGACGAATCAAATACAGATTTACAGGCATTGTCTGACAAGTTGAAAGTCGTGATTGCCAGTATCAATCAAGAATCACAAATAAAAGATTTACAAGAACCGTTGCAAGATATTTCAAAAACTGTGGACAAAGTATTAGAACGAGAAAAAACGTTGGCTAAAGAAGAAGAAGATTCACAACGTGGGAGCATTAATAAACTGAGACATTCTTTGAAGAATTTGGACAAAATTATAGCGAGAGTTGTTGAACAACCAGATGCTGAACCAAAATTATTGGTACTCGAAGAATTACAGAAACCATTACTCGCTATTACTTCCTGTCCGGTAGAACAAGTCAACCAGGTGGATGTTCAATGCATCAATAAGTTGATTGACTCAGTTGAGTCTATAACCAACACAATTGCATCAACAAATGAGTCTGAAATTATCGACAAACCGATGCAAATTCTCTATGATACTATTTCGGAAATATCAATGCGTCCTGAATATAGCACTGACTTGCTAACTGACGAACCCTCATTTGTACAAGCCATCAGAACTGATTTAGATGACCTGAAGAAAGCTATTGAGCTAACACATTTTGTTTTTGAAAAACCAAGATCAGTTGAAGATATTCGTGAAATACAAATTATCCATGCACCTTTGAAGAACTTGTTGAAATTTGTTTTGACTATTAAACATCAACCGGAAGGTGATTTAGATCTGTTCAGTGAAATACAAGAATATCTGCATGTTCTTCAGAGTAAATTATTAGATTGTGGCGATGCAAAGTTAGTAAATGCAGAAATTCCATTCTTGGAAACGATTGGAAATGCGTTTAATGATATTTCTTCTATTGCTGCTAACCGTGATCCAAAAGAACTTAATTTGGAAATGTTTGCTAAACCTCTAGAGTCGCTCCAAACTAGTATCATAACAATTTGTACAAAAGTCGTCTTTACGGACCTTTTAGAAGAGTCTATTATACAAAAAATCGTGGAGCCTTTAGAAAAGATCACCGTCGGCATAATTAGCATCAATAGTTTGAGACAAGATAGAAAACTAGTTCGAAAAACAACTGCGGATATGGTTAACAATATCAAGGACATTGATGTTATGTTACAACAACAAGAAAACATTTCAATTCTATCTAAACCTTTGATTAGCATCGTCCAAAATATACAAGAACATAAAGGATTACTGAATGTTGAATCATTCGATTTGGATGAAATGATAAAAACATTAAAAGACGTAACTAAAGTACCTGATATTGATAAAAACGTAAAAAGTCACGTTCACTCTTTGGAACTGAACGCAGCAACGGTGAAAAGAAAAGTCGTTGAATCTAGATGAACTTCAGAAAGCTCTTTTGCTTTCTGAACCTATTGAACATATCCTGAAAGCTCTTAAACAATCCTCTAAAGTGACAACACAACCAAGTGAAGCAACTATTAGCGAATTAGCACTGGTTGTAAATCAGTTAAATGATAATATTTCAACAATAAAAACTAATGAAAACACCGATGAGATTCAAACTGCTGTTATATCTCTGGAAGAACCTTTGCTTCAAATCAAACAGGCTTTGGATATTATAACTTCTCAAGAAGCTGAAGATATCAAAGAGTTGGAGCAACCTTTAAATCAATTAGCGAATGTAACCGCGAATTTGGTAGATGAACAAATATCTGTTTTGTCGATAATTCCCGAATTGAATCTAATTAAAGAGAAAATTGAACATAAAGTTGCAAATTTACCAACATCCGCTAATGTAGAGGTGATTAAAGAACCACTGCAAGCACTAGTGGCAGAAATTGATAAATCAACTCGTGTTTATGAAAAGCAGCTTGTGGAGGATGTTAAGAAACCTTTGCACTTGATTCAAGTCAGTATTGAAAATCTTGTTCAACAAGAAAAGCCGTCACAAGGCATTTTAAGTATTATAGAAATTACCACGCCAATTGCTGAATTGCAAGAAAATTTGGAACAGTTGCAAAGTCTTGATCAATGCAGTCTAGATGCTCTTAAAGTAATTCAAGAACCATTAGCAGAATTAGCACAAGCTATTGAGGAAGTTGTGGCTGTTCAAGAAGCACCCAAATTTATTGAAAAATTAAGATTCTCAAAGAACAGTTGGATGTGTCAACACAAGAAATTAAAATTGCTGAACCATTGATAGCTGTTAAAGCAAAACTGGAAGAAATTGAAATAATGCTTAAAGGTGAAGAAAGTCCTGAAACAAAACCAGAACCAAAAGTAAAAGAAGTTAAAGTAGAAAAAGAGGTAAAAGACGAAGAGAAAAAGGTGAAAGAAGAACCTGAAGAGGTAAAAAGTGAACCGGAAATTGTAAAAGATACACCGGAAGTGGTGAAGGAAAAACCGGGCGTGGTGAAAGACGAAGCTGTATTGGTGAAAGGCGAACCGGAAATGGTGAAAGATGAACCGGAAGTGGTGAAAGATAAACAAGAATTGACAAAAGATGAACCTGAAGTGGTGAAAGACAAACCGGAAGAGACAAAAGACGAATCGGAAGTAGTAAAACTCGAACCAGAGGTAGTACCTGAAGAAAAGCCAGAAGAGAAAATACCAGATGAAAAACCTTTAGTTGTAAAAGATGAGATTAAAGAAGAAGCTAAACAAAAACCAACTACAGAAGCAGTTGATGATGAAAAGATATACAAGAAAGCTATTAAAAACATTAAATTTCCATTTTATGAAATACACTCTCAGATTGTAGAGGTGAAAAAACGTGTACCTGATATAAAACAAGCCATCCAAGGAATTCCACAAATTATTGAGTTGCTTCCGAAACTTGAATCATTTTGTAATAAAATTGATACAGTTAAAATTCCTGGACCACTGATTCAAGTTTTCACTGAGATTCAAACACCATGCCTAGAAGTAGCTTCATCGTTAGGTTCAATTTTGAATATTTTAAATAATGAAGAAGCAGTGGAGAAACAAAAACCAGACCTTGCTAAAAAATTAATAGATTTGAAGCAAGAACTTAATAAATTAATACAACATGCTGACACTAAGGATTTGCCGGTGCTGTTAGAAAAGTTGGTTGAAATTGAAAAACAAGTAGGTATTATTATTGCTGCGCTTGAAGAAAAGAAACAAGCCACCCAAGAAGTTGCAGAAGTTAAACAAAGTGATTATAGTTCCCTGAAACAACCACTAAAACTTCTACAACAGGAAGTCAAGGAACTCAAAGCAAAAGAAACAGAAATAAAACAAACAAGCGAAAAAGGTATCATGTCAGTAGCGCAATTAGAAAAACCCATTGCGGCGATGTTGGAGCATGTTGCATCTTTGGAAGCTGAAAACATCGCTTCAGAAGAGTTGCTTAAATTACCTGAATCCATTAATAAAGTCACCACCGCAATTACTAACGTGGTAGAAAATTTAACATCACCTGAAGAAGTAACAGCCAAGAAACTTGAATTATGTCAAGCAATTGATGAATTACAGAAAGTAGCAGATGCAGTTCAGACTACTCAAGATGTGCAGCAATTACAAGCACTCACAACTACAATTGCAGAAATTAAGGAAGCCTTAGAACCAACCGAAAAGGTAGAACTGTTTGATATCAAAGGATCAATTCATGATCTACAGCAAACAATTCAAAGTCTCTCTGACACTCCCTCTGAGGAATTATCTATGGCCCGCGAAGAAATATTGAGTGTTATGCAGTTGGATAAACCTTTAGTTGAATTACTAGAAGGAATTATTTCATTGGAAAGCGTTGAAAAGGAATGCGTTAAAGACTTTGAAGTCCTAGCTTCACCATTAGAAAATCTGAACGTGATCTTAACGGAAGTTAAAGCTGACCTCTGTGACCCAGCTAAAGCAGAGCAACAAAAAGTAAAGTTACAGAAAGCTCTCTTGGAATTAAAAGAAGGCATTGATATTCCGCAAATTCAACAAATCAGAATTACTGAAGAGCCTTTGCTTTCTCTATCAGCAGAAATTTCCAATTTGAATGAAGCTTTAAAGCCAAAAGAGAAAACAAATTTGAACAAGATTAAAGTCACTATTGTGGACTTGGAAAAGGAAGTGAACAGTATGCATTTGAAAGTAAGTCAAATTGAAGCAACGCCAAGTCAAGGATTGTCTGCTGTAATGGGAATGGGAAGTCAATTAGAAGAACTTGTTGCAAATATTTCAGTGGTTGAAGCAAATCCGGAAGCAGTCGTGATTTTAGATGAACTTGTGCAACCTATAAATGTGGTATCAGCCGTTATTAAAGAGTGCACCGAAAAATTAAACTCGCCGAAAGATGTCCAGGCTGAAGAACAGCAGTTGTTTGATAAATTATTGCCATTGAAGCATATTATTGAAAAAGCACAGGTTGATATGGCTAAAATTCAAGGGGCTGAAGTTGTGGACGTGCAACTTCAGAAATTATGTGCTACAATTGCAAATATAGAAGGAGAAATTGTTAAAGATAAAATTAAAAAGATAAAATTGCCTTTGCAAAAGTTACAGTTGAGTATTGAAGCAATTGCTTCAAAACCACAAATCACCGAAGTTGAAAAAAATATTATTCTTACTGCTACCAAATTGATTTTACCATTAGAAGAACTACAAGCTAACATTTCTTCTGAAACATCTCAATTTGAGTCTATAAATGCCTTAGAAACGCCTGCAAATGAATTGACAACTGCCTTGACAGAAATTTCTGAAGAACTAGAAAAATCTGGTTCTACTAAATCGAGTAAAGCTGATGTACATGACGCCATTACTAAACTTAAGTCCTCCATTGAAAATGTTAAGGCAGAGCAATCCCAAAACGTAAAAATATCAGAACCATTGCAGTCTTTGAATGAAGCACTTGTCAGTTTTGATTCAGCTTTAACCAAGGAAAAATTAACTTTAACTGAAGTAAAACTTCCACTGGGAAGTATTCAACAACAAATTGATTCGATGAAAAATATTCCTCAACAATCTAAAATGTCAATGATATCACTTGAGGCTCCATTACAAGAAGTGTTACAGTCTGTTCAAATGGCTGAAGAGACACAGAAAGAAGATCAATGTGATGCTCTGAAAGAATTGGAGCAACCACTTCATAATCTAGCAAATGTTTTACAACAAGTTACAAATGTGCTCGAAAATCCAGAAAATATTAAGGCTGAAAAAGTGAAACTATGCCAAGCTTTAGAGGAAATTAAAACAGAAATGGTTACCCATGATTTGTCGAAACCGGTTGCAGCAAAATTAACAGACATTGAACAAGATTTACACAAAGCTGAAATTAGTTTCAATGTTAAACAAACAAAAGAAAAATTAACTCTCTTGACGAATGAGTTGAATGTGACAAAAGTAAAGTTGGAAGAAGTTAAGCCAAAAGCTCAGAAAGCTATTTCTGAAATGTGTGAACTTCCTACAGTGTTAAATGAGCTTTGCCAAAAGTTGGAAGAACTCGAACAAATGCCAGGGTCACAGTCAAATTGTGACTTGGCCGAGGAATTGAAAATGATTGAATTGCCAATTCAAGAACTTGCACAGGAATTGACAAAATCAACAAAAGATGTTAGTAAAATTGAGAATAAAACTAAATTAGTTAAAGCAATTTCTACTTTAGTGGAAACCGTTGATAATTTGGCTTCTAAACCATCAGTTACCAACGTGCCATTAAATCCGTTGTCTGCTCAATTATCGGTTATTAAAGAACAATTAGAGAATGAAACAAAACGTGATAAAGGAATCGCCGAATTGCAGAATATGAAAGTTGTCTTAAATGACTTAAATACTAAACTAAACAATGTTAAGGAACAGGAACACAATGTCAAAGCACAATCTCAAAAAGGCATTTTATCACTCTGTGAAATTAGTCAACCGCTACAATCGGTGCAAAACTTAATAGATGCTCAATTGAATGTGGAGGATTTAAATCAAGAATTGATTGAACTTCAGAATCTAACTGTAGTACAGGAACCAATCAATAAACTAAGCGCTAATATTGCTGAAATTACTACATTGTTAGCTCAACCAAAACAATTGCAAGAAGAAAAGGCTAAGATTTTGGCAGCTATTGATAATGTCAAAACAACTATTGAAAAGATTCCCATTGCATCAAACAAATTAGAACCTATCAAAACTTTGAAAGCATCCATTGAAAATGTCCAGAAAGCAATTAATGCTATGGAATACTCTCAAATTCCTATCAAAAATGTTGTTGGCATTAAAGATATGATCACAACAGTGCAAACTTTGGATGAGAGTATGAGTGTAATTCAAGGAAAGAGCCGAAAAGACAATGTATTTGAATCACTGGCATTATTATCGAAACCCATAAAAGATCTCAATCAGGAATTGACAACTATTGCTGAAATTTTACTTGATGAGTGTGATTCTACAGAAGTAAACGTTGATTATGCAAAATTAGACCTGATTCGAAATAATTTAACAGAGTTTGTTGATATATTGCAAGAAGCTTCAAAACAAACTTCAGAAAAAGTACAAAAGAATAAAGCACTTAAACAGAAACTAAAAGAATTAAAGTCCTGTTTAATTAGTGTTGCACCAACAGGACAATTTGTTTCTTTAACCAGCCACTTAGGGAATTATTCGAAACAAATTGATGTGGTCTTACAAAACTTCGAAAAACTGAATGAAAAAGATGCTATTCAGAGCCTTGTGTTTAGTTTTAGCAACGCAATTGAACCATTGGATAAAAATATCAATATGATAAAAGATAAAGGAAATCAAACGGTGAAAATATTGTTTGGTAACTTGGAACAGCCCTTGAAAGAAGTTGAACAATGTATTATGGATTTCAGCGTACAGGATACCCGAGATAATATTATAAATAAAACGAGTAAATTTGTTCCGATTTGTAAGCAAATTGTGGAAATTACGAGCGCAACTAAAAATAGAATTGATGATAATGACGATGGAAAATTATTGAAGAAATCTTTAACGTCTGTTCAAGATAATTGCGAGCAATTTTATTCGGCTATTAATGATTGCTGTTTAAATAATACTATATTGGAAAATTGTGATCATCTAACCGATGCAATGAGTAAATTGTATGAAACATTGATAGCGACTAAATACAGTGACAGTTCGCAAGCGTTGGAACAAATCCAAGAAAAGGAAAAGGCTGAGGAGGAAACTAAATTACAACAAGATAATGAAGAACAAGAAATTGCTGAGAAGGATAATGAAAACCAGTGGATAAAATAGAAGAAGTTGCTGAACCTGAAGAAGAAGATAAACAAGAAGAAAAAATCTAAAGCGAGATAAAGAAGCAAAGGAAAATGCCGAAAAAGAAGCTCAATTACAAGCAGAAAAAAGGCAATGGAAGCTGAAGAAAAAGCTAAGTTAGAGGCTGAAAAAGAACTCCGAGATAAATCAGAAAAAGAGGCTAGAGAAAAGGCAGAAACCGAAGCTAAGTTACTTGCTGAAAAAGAAGCTAAAGAAAAGCAGAGAATGATGCTAAATTACAAGCGGAAAAGGAAGCAAAGGAAAAAGAAGAAATGGAAGCCAAAAATAAAGAAGCCAAGTTGCAAGCTGAGAAAGAAACCAAAGAGAAAGCAGAGAAAGCGGAGAAGGAAAAAGCGGAGGCAGAAGCAAAATTAAAAGCTGAAGAAGAAGCCAGGATACAAGCAGAAAAAGAAGCTAAGAATAAAGCTGAGACTGAAGCCAAAGAAAAGCAGAAAAAGAAGCCAAAATAAAGGCTGAAAACGAAGCTAAATTGTTGGCTGAGGAAAAAGCCATGGAAGCAAAAAACAAGCTGATAATGAAGCAAAACTTCAAGCTGAGAAAGAAGCTAAAGAAAAGGCCGAGAAGGAAGCAAAATTGCAGGCTGAAGAAGAAGCCAAAAAAGCAAAGAAAAAAGCCGACCATGAAGCAAAACTTCAGGCTGAGAAAGAAGCTAAAGAAAAGTCTGAGAAGGAAGCTAAATTACAAGCTGAGAAAGAGGCCAAGGAGAACTCTGAAAAAGAAGCTAAATTACTTGCTGAAGCCGAGGCTAAAGCAAAAGCTGAAAAGGAAGCCGAAGAATTAAAAGCAAAAACAGAAAAAGAAGCTAAACTGAAAATGGAAAAGGAAGCAATAGAAAAAGCTGAAAAGGACGCCATTGAAAAAGCTGAGAAAGAAGCCATGGAAAAAGCTAGCAACGATGCAAAAACTAAAGCTGAGATAGAACTAAAAGAAAAAGCAGATAAAGAAGCAAAGGCTAAGAAGGAGAAAGAAGCTAAAGAAAAGGAAGCGAAAGAAAAAGCAGAGAAAGACGCAAAAATAAATGCGGAAAAAGATGCTAAAGAAAAGGCTGAAAAGGAAGTAAAAATAAAAGCAGAACAAGAAGCTAAACTTCAAAAAGAAAGAGAGACAAAGGAAAAAGAAGAAATAATCAAAAAAGAGAAAGAAGAAAAAGAAAAAGCAGACAAGGAAGCAAAAGAAAAAGCAGAGAAAGATGCAAAAATAAAAGCAGAAAATGAGGCAAAAGAAAAGAAGCCAAAGAAAATGCTGAGAAAGAAGCGAAAGTAAAAGCAGAGAAAGACGCAAAGATAAATGCGGAAAAAGAAGCTAAAGAAAATGCTGAAAATGAAGCAAAAATAAAAGCAGAGCAAGAAGTCAAACTCCAAAAAGAAAAAGAAGCAAAGGAAAAGGAGGAAATAATCCAAAAAGAGAAAGAAGCAAAAGAAAAGGCAGAAAATGAAGTAAAAGAAAAAGCAGAGAAAGATGCAAAAGAAAAAGCAGAAAAAGACGCAAAAGTAAAAGCGGAAAAAGAAGCTAAAGAAAAAGCGGAAAAGGAAGCAAAAATAAAATCAGAACAAGAGGCTAAAATCCAAGAAGAAAAAGAAATAAAGGAAAAGGAAGAAAAACTTAGAAAAGAGAAGGAAGAAAAAGAAAAGGCAGATAGTGATGCCAAGAAAAAGGCTGAAAAAGAAGCTCAAGAAAAAGCGGAAAAAGAAGCCAAAGAAACATCTGAGAGAGAATCCAGAGAGAAAGCTGAAAATGAAGCCAAATTAAAGGCAGAGAAAGAAGCTAAAGAAGCAAAAGAAAAAGAGGCTAAAATGCAAGCCGAAAAAGAGGCAAAAGAAAAAGAAGCCAAAGAAAATGCTGAAAAAGAAGCCAAAATAAAGTCTGACAAAGAAGTAAAAGAAAAAGCTGAAAAGGAAGCTAAAGAGAAGGCAGAAAAAGAAGAGAAAATCAAAGCTGAAAATGAGGCGAAAGAAAAAGAAGCCAAAGAAAATGCTGAAAAAGAAGCCAAAATAAAGGCTGACAAAGAAGCAAAAGAAAAAGCTGAAAAGGAAGCTAAAGAGAAGGCAGAAAAAGAAGAGAAAATCAAAGCTGAAAATGAGGCGAAAGAAAAAGAAGCCAAAGAAAATGCTGAAAAAGAAGCCAAAATAAAGGCTGACAAAGAAGCAAAAGAAAAAGCTGAAAAGGAAGCTAAAGAGAAGGCAGAAAAAGAAGAGAAAATCAAAGCTGAAAATGAGGCGAAAGAAAAAGCTGATAAAGAAGCCACAATAAAAGCCGAAAATGAAGCAAAAGAAAAAGGCTGAAAAGGAAGCAAAATTAAAAGCTGACCAAGAAGCCAAGGAAAAAGAAGAAAAAGAAGCAAAAGCAAAAGCAAAGAAAGAAGCAAAAGAAAAAGCTGCCAAAGAAGAACAGCTAAAAGCTGAAAAGGAGGCAAAAGAAAAAGCTGAAAAAGACGCAAAACTAAAAGCCGAAAAGGAAGCTAAAGCAAAAGAAGCCAAAGAAAACGCCGAAAAAAGAAGCTAAATTACAAGCTGAAAAGGAAGCTAAAGAGAAAGCTGAAAAGAAGGCGAAGGAAAAAGAAGAAATGGAAGCAAAAGAAAAAGCAACAAAAGAGTCTAAATTAAAAGCAGAAACCGAAGCAAAAGAAAAAGCAGAAAAAGAAGCGAAGAAAACAGCCGAAAAGGAAGCAAAGAAAAAAGCCGAGAAAGAAGCAAAAATAAAACAAGAAAAAGAAGAATACGAACGAGCAGAAAAACTAGCCCAAGAAAAAGCCGATAGACGAGCAAAGGAAAAAGAAGCAATTAAAAAAGCAGCAAATGAAGCCAATGAAAAAGCCGCAATTGAAGCCAAAGAAAAACATGACAAAGCAGTCAAACAAAGAGAAGAAAAAGAAATAAAAACCCAAATAGAATTTGAAACTAAAACAAAATCACGCGATGCTATTCCTCAAGTTAATATAAGTTACGAAGACACATCTATCCGAGAAAGACGTGGGCGCAGCCCAGTCAGAGAACGGGCCCGTTTTACAGGTCGCGATAATTTCACAAACGGCATGGACCAGTATAAACCCTCACGTTATCAAGGCTCACGCTTTGTCGAAAGAAAACCAACATTCACAACCTCATTAACAAATCGAACAGCCACCGCAGGCACCAGAGTAAAACTCATGTGCAGTGTCCTAGCCACCGACGGAGCAAATATAGAATGGCAGAAGAATGGACAACCAATTGATAAAGACTCAAACTGTGTCAGCTCCTATGTAGATGGTATTGCCACATTGGAATTCTTCAATACCACCACAAGTGATACCGCTGAATACACTTGTATTGCAAGAAACGGTCATGGTTTCAACTCCACCAAAGCAGAACTCAAAGTATACGAAGGTTTCGAAGCAGTTCCAATCCCACCAACATTCACAAGGCCCATTCGGGAGCAGTATAGATGTGCAGACAATCAATTAATCTTGGAATGCCGTCTAAGAGCACATCCAACACCTACCATCATTTGGTTCAAAGACGGTAAAGAAATTACAGCAAATGATAAATACAAACTTTATTATCTGGCTGATGGAATTTGTAAGCTTGCAATTGAGAATCCAGATCCAGTTGATTCAGGGTGTTACTCCTGCCGAGCAGAAAACAGCTCGTGGAGTGACCAAATATCACACTACATCAATTTTGGTGGTAAGAACGAATTTATTTCTTCACGCAGTGATAGAAGTTATTCAGCAAAAACCTACACTGATACCAGAAGACCACATTTGAGTAATGTGCTTACTGATGCGTATATACCAACTGGAGGTGTGCTAGCACTTCAAGTTGAAGTCAAGGGTACCCCCACTGATATAAAATGGTATAAAGACTCTGAAGTTATACCGAAATCATCACAAAGACATAAGAGTTTCCATGAAAGCGGAGTTTATACACTAGTCTTCCCCAAAGCCCTGGAATCTGACATAGGAAAGTATACCTTCAAAGCTGTCAATACCTATGGTAAAATTGAAACCTCCGCATATGTGAATGTTGTAAACCCATCTAACATCCACGATGGTAAACCAGCAATGTTTTTATCTCGACCACCTACAGATCTTAGTGTAACCAACTGTGAAGATATAACTGTATCATTCAGACTAGCAGGTGACCCGAAACCAAAGGTCACCTTAATGAAAGGATTAAAAGATATTACCAACAGTCATAGATGCATGAAATTCACATCGGATGATTACATCCGTTTTAGCTTGAAACGGGCGACTGAAAATGACACGGGTACCTATTGTATTCTGGCGAAAAATCGTTTCGGTTGCGATCGCGCATTCTTCACCGTTAAACTGCGCCAGCGAGCGAGGTCGGCGTCTCCATTCAAAAGCAGAAGTGGAGCTGAAATACTTGACGAGATCCCAAGCTATCAGGAACGGCAGTATCTCAAAGGTAAGTAAAAATAGATCGACCTGAATGATTTCACTCACCTGTTTTGTTGCCATTGCTAATGTCAAGCGATTAAATTTGGCAGTACGAAAACTGTTTAGTGAAGTGTGTATTACGGTCTAATCAACATTGCAGCATGGACTAATTAATTAATTATATAACAAAAATAATCAAAATGAGGTATTCCTTGACTATTCAAGGGAACACCTTTACAAATGCTTTGCATAGTGGTGTGGATACGCTAACATTAATTCGTAGTGTGTGGAGCGTCAGGAAGTGTTCAATATCTGATTTCTTGCAATATTTAGTTGGACATTACTGTGTGTAAAACCAATCCTAATCAAGATATAAACTTATTCAAATAAAATTTTAGATGTCCCTGGACCAATCTCCACTTTACCCTTCGTCATCGACACTGGTAGAAACTGGATTTCTTTATCATGGGGCAAACCAGATTCTCGTGGTGCCGCACCCGTTCTTGCCTACAAAGTGGACGCATGGCAGAAAGGTGGTGAGACAAGATGGGTGGAATTAGGCATGACGCCGATAAACAGTTTTGATGCATTCAACTTGACACCGGATGCGGAATACCAATTTAGAATAACGGCGCGTAATCGTTACGGCTGGGGTGAAGCAGCTACCAGTGAACCGATTGTGGTTGGACGCCATGTTGAATTACCGGAATTTATCAAAATATTATCTGGACATTCGAAAGCTCTGCGTGGAACTACATGCGAGTTTGAATGTCACATTAGGGATAACACTAACGCAAAGATAAGATGGTATAAAGACGGATTTGAATTAAACCCAAGCGAGAATCCAAGAATAGCGATAAACAATAACAACGGTATTTGTTTATTGACTATCACAAATGTACGTCTGGCTGATGAAGGGAGATATTCGTGTGAAGCGATTAATAAAATTGGTCGCGTTGCTAGCTTTTTACGAGTATCTGTTGTCTCCGATCCGAAATTATTAGTAGCTGATCAAAACTTGAAAAAGTAAGTTTTTTATATCTGATTTGTGTAATTATTTCAATTAATTTATTTGAATTTATATTCTAGAGCTTTGGAAGATATTAACGTTGATGTTCCACCTCAGTTTACAATGAGACTTCGTGACAGACGTGTACAAGCTAGTTATCCAGTTAGACTCACGTGTCAAGTATCTGGACATCCATCCCCGTCAGTAATATGGACCAAAAATGGAGTCGTATTATCAATGGACAACAATAGAGCCGCTTGGGCAGAAAATAACTTCCACACCTTAGAATTTTTCAAAACATCACAATCAGATTCGGGTATTTACGGAGCTATTGCCAAAAACTCGTTCGGATCAGTATCTTGCAAATGTAAATTAGTTGTGGATGAAGGAATCAAAGCCTATCTGGCACCACAATTCAAAGGCACTTGTAATCCAGAAAAAGTACAACTTAACGAAGGCGAACAACTACATTTAACAGCAGTCGTAGAGGCTTATCCTACTGTAGTTGTAGTTTGGTACAGAAATGGCATGAGACTCAGACCATCCCGGAAAACTGTCACAACTCTCTCACACGATGGACGAATTGAACTCTCTGTTGGATCTGTATGTGCATCTGATGCTGGTGTATATACTTGTGTAGCGACAAATGAAGTAGGCAGAGCGGAAACTTGTTCTACAGTTGAAATTTCTGGCAAATTCAAAAGCCTTGAAGAAAGCGAGGAAAGCGAAGAAGCTATCCAAAAAGAACAACGTGAATTACCGTAAGATTTTGATATTATTCTAAATATTTATTTATTAATATTTGTATTTTATGATTAGATATTCCAAGGAGCCTTCCTTCATAACCAAGCCAATGAACACGAGTGCGTACGAAGGCGATGACATTGTTATTTTATGCGAAGTGATCGGCGATCCCAAACCTGACGTGCTCTGGTTGCGCGACTTCCTTAAGGTGAGTGGATATGATGTTTACGAATCTGATGCGTATCACATTTTCATAATATAAGAGAATATTGTTTTGCGAATATTGTTCTCTTAACTAATAACATAATGAGATTAGAAACGGTTCACTGGTGTATTACGACCATGAAGTCCTTATTTGGACGATAGAATTCTTGCATAATGGTTATTCAAGTTTGGAATTCATTAAACTGAAGCACAATTTGAGCAAGCTTACATGGTGTTAGAAATTTTAATAAGCAAAAACCACTCAAGTAATTTTTTCGAGTTTTTATAATTCCAACACCATTCCAATCGTAATTATTGAGTTAACCAGATCATTTCATGTTTTGTTTTTGGATAAAAAGTGAATATACTTATATGTACGATTAATTGATCGTTCAATGTGTCAATTTAAATAATAACTGGCATTGGCACCGTTTCAAGTCCTCTTTCTCTGCGTGCATTTGTGTTTCTCCTGGAACAGGTCACGGCGGACAAAGCAACACAGCGGTTAGAAAGCAACATTTGCTACATATTAGGCGCCTAAAAATCGAACGCCATTTAAATGGATTAGTGCATATAATTGAAATGTACAGTTTCAAATTCATACGAATCAACAATCCCATTATGCCGTTTACGTAACGCGCTAGTAATTCACGAGTCGCCTTGTATTCGGAGCAGCGCAATGCTGTATAAAGACAAAAATATTTCTAAATTGCGATTGCTCTCATGCTCGGTAAATTGCTAAATTGCATCCAGTTGTTCAGCACGTTGAGCTCACGACAAACATGTAGTCTTAAACGGTGTCTGATCGGTTTCGCTGCATCTTTCGAACGCTTCGCATTTTATTTAGTTGAATAGACAATCGATGCATGCAGATGTATTATTTGACTGTTTTTGATTGTATAATGTGACTGAGTGCCGCATGTAATATATAGTTATTATTCTCTGTAAGTAGCAGTAGCGCTGGTTGTGATTAGACGTATCGTTAAAATTGACCACTATTTGTGTTTGTGCATGTTGTGTTATGGCGCTTCGTTTGTATGTTACTTACATCGCTTCACTGCACTTAACATCATTATTATATTTATCGCTGTGCAAATAAGTTGCTACATAAGCATAAATAGAATGAGTTTCTGAAAGGTCAGCACGTGGCGAACGTTTAGAAGTCGGACTATTAGTTACAATTCGGTTGTTATCAAAGGCATTCAAATAAACAGCCAAATACTTTAAATAAGTAAATAATTTCAAAATCAATGGGTCAAAATATGAACACAATTAACTTGTCTTAAAAATCTTTATCTTTAATTAAAAAAAATTTAAGTTTTTAGGGTTTTGCCCGCGACTTCGTCGCGTCGTGTTTAATAAAAATGTACTACCTAGCTCGGTTTTACTCTCTTGTTCTAGACATAGTATGTGTTAATGCTATCAATAAGATTCGCAATTTTATTTTAAAGAAAAATTTTATCCTATAGAAAAGAACTGTCTTAACTAGGGTTTTCCTGTCAATTATTCCTATAGAATTTCTCTCGCCGTAAAAATTTTTCCATCCTTGGACTTCAACAAACATTTTAAAAAAAGAATTGGCCAAATTGGTCTAGGCGTTGTTGAGTTATGCGCTTACCAACCGATTTTGTGATTCATTTTCATATATAGATTTGTGCTGATATTAATTTTGATACGCCGGTATCTACAGACGCAATATAGGATATTTTTAAACACTTATCAGCAGGAAATATTTTTTATCTTAATTGTTTATCTTGTATTATCAGCTATACGCGCAAATTTAATAAACAGAACGGGGAAACACAAATTCACGCATATGCCAGAATAAAACAAAGAAAATCTAAATTCCAAAACTCAAATACAAGTAGATAAAATACGCATACTTTACCAGCACTTGCACTCCACGTAAAAATGCAAACATTGCTAATAAACAACAAGCAATATATGAAACGCATCGTAAACATAAATCATATGAATTTATAAAGGCTATAAAGCAATGGGCATGACCGTCGGACAAACATGCCTTGTATAAATTTTCACCTTACTTCTCTACCACTGGCAGGCCAAAAAAAGAATAAAATGAAATTGGTGACACGTCGTAAAAATGCATAAAACAAGACTTGCGCCTGTTTGCACATTTATCAGGACCGTAATGTAGGACATTCCAAACAAGCGCAATTATTCCGAGCATTTCCAGTCCAGATAATCTTCATATTTGAATCTTGACGTGCGGTCATTGTCGAAATAACAAAGTCGGAAGACTGATTGAACTGCTTGCAATAAAAAAAAACAATACACACGCCAATCAACTCGCTCGCCCTTCACATTTCATTGACGCAAGTTAAAATCGAATTGGGCTTATTCTGTCTGGCCACGCGTTCAATTAACAATCGATTTCAAACATGCTCGTAATTATGTCGTGCACAACGGAACATGCATCTTTAACATATTTCATCACTCAATGGAATAATCCTAATTGGAGTTGCGCAAAGAAATAAAACACAATTGGGGATTTTGGGTTAACTAACGGTTCTCTTGGCGAAAAATGTACGCCCGGCAGATTTATGATATTGAATTGGAACCTTGCAAGGTTGTCGGTCGGTGGCCCGGCGGAGATGCATTGTGTGTTCATTTCGCACTTGCGTAGGCATCGCGGCACTCTTCGTAGGCGATTGTAAACAAGCAAACAAATTATGTAATATTTATCGTTGACCCAACGCGCGCAAGTGAAGAACTACACAAACATCACATGCGGTGAACGGAGATGCAACGAGATAGCAAATTCCGGACCTACCTTCATGTAAATTAAACGCGAAACGTAATCACTCAAACATTTTCGGCACAAACAACGTAATGCATTAAACGATTGCGGCGTGCGGCGCTCGTGTTAACGAGGAAAAATTATTCGCTTACCTGATGGTGGCGATCAGCAGCCAATACAAGTCGGTTTAATAAGTGTACCGAGCGAAGGAGAAACCGAATCGCGGCTTACTGAGTGAAACAGCTGACTTGACGCGACCTGGCGCTACATTTCGCTTTAATGCGCTTCATAAAAATCTCCAATGTTTGTTTTACGACGCCGGCCGAAATTTACGATTGTAATATTTAAATTAAATGCATAAATATCGTAAATATTGTTTTAAATATGTTTTCTTCTTGTTTTGGCATGATTACAGCCGGAATATTACAAGGATGCGGCACATTTCCGGCGCGTCGGAGACGGTCCTGAGTATCGTCTTGAGATCCCGCATGCAAAGTTCGATTTCACAGGGACGTACACGGTCTACGCGAAGAACTGCCACGGCGACGCCAAGGCTATAATTTCTCTGCAAATTAAAGCCAAGGACTTGCTAGCCGATAGCGTTTCATCTCGCAGACTCGGGTAGGCTATAAACTGGCACCATAACGCGCAAACATAACTTACAACTGCTATAAACACAACTACAAGACTATTATATACTGATTTCTTTTTACTTCTATTTTAGAAAATGTCTTGTGCGTTGTGTTTGCTTGAATATTATTTTTTCTTGCTTTCCACTGATTTTTGTTTAACAATATTATTATGACTGCAAAAGTCATAAATTAATATTCCATATCCATTTGCAGCAACGTCCAAACACTACCTAGGATTGTAATACCCTTAAAAGACATTCGCTGTTGCGACACGGATTCAGTTTCCTTCGAATGCAAAGTCGGAGCCACACCTGCACCCAATGTTCGATGGGAAAAGAATGGAAAAGTATTAAATATCATTTAAACTTACAGAAACATGTTTTATTTATTCTGATGATATTTAGATTATTCATTTGGACGAAGACTTCAAATCGGACTTTGATGGTGAGGTTGCAAAGTTGCTCATTCGTGAAATCTACCCGGAAGACGAAGGGGAATACAGTTGTGTCGCTTACAACGATTTAGGGAAAGCAGCTACATCAGCTTGTCTCATAGTTGATGGTAAATATAAATTTTTCGGAATAAAATATGACTATTTCTAATTTGGTAATATTATGATTACAGTTCCTGAAGCAAGAGAAACCATCTTGAGTGATCAACATTTAAGTCCAAACATACCCGGTGTTGATGAATCTACAACTGAATCAGTTGCTTCATCAGGATATCGCCGCACACCAGCACGTAGTGTTTCACCAAGAGGTAGAGTACGCGAGGTGACTCCACGTCGGGCACCAAAGGTACCACGTAATCGTTGCATACCACCACGATTCTTCGCAATTCCAAGGAATAAAGTTGTTGAAGAAGGTACCACTGTCCGCCTGCAATGTTCTGTCTTTGGTCATCCTGATCCATGGACCGTTTGGGATAAAGACCGCAGAGTATTGAACCATGACGGTCGCATCAGTATCAAAGAAGAGGATGATCTACGAATTTTAGAGATTCGTGATTGCGTCGCCAAAGATTCAGGTCTCTACCGAGTGGTATTAGAAAACGACGTAGGTCGAATCGAAGCATCCGCTCGTGTGGATGTCATTGCTCACTACCATCCGCATTCGGACGGTGTGAGGGCAAACAGCGAGTCACCTCTGCATCCGAAATTCAGACGATTTGCTTTTGGCATCACGCCCATTCCGAGGATATATCACTACAACGAGCATAGACACGCCAGAGCATTGTCAGCGCCTTATTATCGTAGGACTTTTACATCGAGCACAACACAATCAACCCACTTGAACGTACCTGCTGTTAATGATAATATGACAGCGCCAGTGTTCTTCGAAGAACTACCGCCTGTGGAGCACTCCTCAGTCGGGGCGGAGATTTGCATGAAAGTAAAAGCAAGCGCTGGAAAGTCTTATGATGTGGTATGGATGAAAGACGGATGTGTGCTGCCGAATTGCAAAGATTTCCAGCAAAGAGATGACGGACACGGTAATATTTCACTGGTGATTCCACGCACATCCGCCAACGACGCGGGTGCCTACAGGTGTGAGGTATATAATCTTTTTGGCGACGCCATTACGAAGTGTAGGCTAATCGTCCGGGGTGAGTTGCAATATTAATTAAACTTATAGGTATGACTCTGTATACATTGAATTAATTGTTGTTGTATCCCACTGTACAATTGAAATTGTTGTTCGTTAGTTATTGTGTGAAACCACTTTTGTCGTCTAATCACGACGATAAGAACCAGTTATACCGCTTGGATAAAGGGAAATAAAACAATTTGGATTTTTAATTATTTGCGTATTAATTGCACCTCCTTGTTGATTGGTTGCGGGTATACTTATTTCATGTTGGTGTGGTGATGGAGTTAACTATGGTGATCGAATGTGAAGAATAAATTTGTGGGTATTACAGAGAAATGTATGACGCTTCCAAAGAATAAAGACGAGATACTGGAATTCGTTAAGTCGCCCAGTCCACTTGTCGCCGTCGTCGGTAAATCCGTCGCATTCTGTGCGCGATACCGAGCGCATAAAACGCCGACAATAACTTGGGAAGTCGCCGGACGTCGCATACACAAAGACGATAAGAGGTTTGAGGTAAGTTACTGTTTGTGTCTCACGCACGCGGGGCGATAACGAGCGTGCAAGTGACGAGTTATATTTAGTGGAAGAAGTCACGTTCGTGTCCACAGGTAGAAGAACACGAAGACGTCAGCATACTTCGCATCGCGGGAGTGACACATGAAGAGGCCGGCACGGTGCGTTGCATCGCTAGTCTGCCTTCGGCGAGCTCGCGGGCGGGAGAACGGCGCACGATCACGCCGACCCACAACAGTCGATTAGCCGCGGCCGACGATTACTCCACGCTCTCGACCAGCTGCAGCACGATTCTCCGCGTTGTTCAAACGATCGATGCGCATCGTGCGGTGAAACGACATCGGCAAATTCGCGAGGACCGCGCGCGCGGTGATGACGGCAGGATGAAAAACGTGCTAGCTGGGGTCGAATCGGCGCCCGTCATCATCAAAGGCCCGCAGGACGCTAACGCGCTCGTTGGTGATAGGGTGCTGTTGAAGATTACCTACACTGGGTCACCGCCACCGACTGTCAAGTGGACAAGAGCCGTAAGTTATATCAATTAATCTAATTTTATAAAATTGATTATTATCAGTTAATTAAACCACGCGCGCGGTTTATTAAAGATAATGCCGATGGCGCTTGCGCGCGTAACAATTCTTTCGAATTCGCGCCATATAAGTTTGCGAAACTTTGTTCGATAAATTTTGAAATCACGTTTAGCATTGAGAGCGAAACCGTCTTATGACTCACGCAGAGGACAATGCACACGCACATCTTTACTGGTTTCATTGTCAGTGCGTAAAATGCGGCGAGGTAAACGTGAATCATTTGGTTTTACCTTGTGAAAGTGCTAAAAGCAACAATACTTAGACGCAGCGGGCAAAAATAGCGGACATGGCAGCTATAGGAAGTTTTAAGGAACATTCCATAAGTCGGTAACATCAAGTGCGTGTTTATCTCTTCAGCTGTTGAACTGGGTTCTCGGCCTTGATAATGGAGTGCGAAGACCTGGATAATAAAGTTTATAATTATACTAATTAGTCATGCAATTAACAAAATTTAATTGGAGTGCCTTGCCGCAGGGACGTGAGCTGAAGAACGACGAACGCACTTGCATCACTTCGAGCGACGGCCAGTGTTGTCTGCTGCTGCAGAATATTACGACGGACGACAGTGGAAAATACGACGTTTGCATAGAGAACAAGTTTGGCGCCGATGCACATTATGCTTCTGTTTCTGTTGAAGGTGATTTGAATTTCCTTAATAGACTAGGCTACATTCCATTTATGGCATGGCTTTGCACGTCATTCAGTTGTTGATCGGATAGCTAAATGAACAACATGCGCAATTATATCCGCAATTAAAAAATAATAATTTAATAATATTCATAAACATTGTCTATGTCTGTATTAGACTCAGCCAATATTTAGTCGCTACCAATTTTCACTATTATAGCAGGCAACCATATAAAAAATTTTAAAAATTTTATTTTTCCCATTTTAAGATTTTCTCAAAAAAGAGACAGTTTGTATTGTAATCCTAATATGGATTTCAAAATTACTCATTAGCAATCATGCATTTATCGATCGATAAAAAATTTACATATTTGTGGATAGCTTTTATTATTGTTACTCTATTCTATGATTTTATTTAATCATGTCTATCATGTTGTGAATTTATGTGTGTTCTATTTTTTACTTGCATCGCAAACTAAATCATATTACCATTGCTTCGGGTTACTTCCGGTTTGATTAGTTCATTCTTTTATTTGGTACCTACTAGGGTTTCGCGTTAATTATATTTTTTTATTGCCTGAGTGTAATAATCAGTACTTTATTTTTGAACTTCGAAAAAAAAAAAAAAGATTTTTTAATAGAAAAATCAATATTTTTCACATAGTTTCAGCTAGAAAGTGTAATAAACAAACAATCAAATTCACTTTTGCATTTATAATATTAATATTGTTGAGTGTTATGTGAAATATTAACTTTTATTGCATCTTAGGACCACCAGATCCACCAAACGGCAAACCATGCATATTGGCAGACGGAGCCCAAACCACCGTGACATGGAGCAGCTCACCGTACGACGGTGGTTGCAAAATAACCGGATACACAGTCGAATACTCATTGGCCGGTAGCGAAATTTGGCACACAGCGTGCGATGATTGCCACTCATTGCGCTATATTTTACACGGCCTGCAGCCGGGCGCACGATATGTGGTTCGTATACGCGCGAATAATATTCATGGTTCCAGTAATGCTAGTCAAGAATCTGATGTCCTACAAATGGAGGAAGAAAGTAATATACATATTAAAATCCACATGAATCAAACTTACTAAAATTAATATCATTCTTTTATTAATAGACATAGATTCATCATTTGAACCACGCTTGGTGCAATTAGAACAAGGAACGGAATTCAAGCAAAAATACGATATACAGGAGACACTCGGCAAGGGACGCTTTGGCATTGTACACAAAGTCGTCGATCGTAAAACCAACCAAATATTCGCGGCCAAATTCATTCGCTGTCGATCAGCGAAAGAAAAAGACAAAGTCAAGGAGGAAATTGACATCATGAATCAACTCCGACATGAACAACTGCTGCAATTAGCTGCTGCTTTCGATCATCCGAAAGAAATGATCATGGTGATGGAATTGTATGTTCAGTTTTTAAATGTTTTATTAAGTATTATTATTTTTTTATAATTATGAAAATGTATTTGTTTCTTTAGTATTTCAGGTGGCGAATTATTTGAGCGTGTGGTGGCCGATGACTTTACTCTTACGGAAAAAGACTGTATCCTCTTCATGAGACAGATATGTGAAGGCGTTGTTTATATGCATAGTCAAAATATAGTTCATTTAGATTTAAAGCCAGAGAACATTATGTGCCATACCAGAACATCACACGAGATCAAAATTATCGACTTTGGATTGGCGCAGAAACTGGATCCGGATAAACCAGTGCGCGTCTTGTTTGGTACTCCGGAGTTTATTTCGCCGGAAATTATCAACTACGAACCCATCGGTGTTGCTTCGGATATGTGGAGTTTGGGTGTGATTTGTTATGTTTTGTGAGTAATCTTATAAGGATTTTTGTTTGGGTTATTATTATTTATGATGTTTAGATTATCGGGTTTGTCGCCATTTATGGGCGAAACGGATGCAGACACTTTTGCAAATATCACTCGAGCTGAATACGATTTCGATGACGAAGCCTTTGATGCAGTGACGCAGAATGCAAGAGATTTCATCGGCGGATTATTAAGAAAGCGCAAAGAGTAAGTGAAGAGATTAAGTGTAATATGAGATCGTAAACATGGTTATGTTTATTTTTACAGAGAGAGAATGTCTGCGGCCGAATCCTTGCGACACAGTTGGTTAGATCCGGAAAGTCATCAGAATACTGTCGTCATTTCTACAGATAAACTGAAGAAGTTCATTATTCGAAGAAAATGGCAGGTGTGTACTAAATGATACAATTACTGTGTGTTTAACTTTGCGGTGTGAATTTTTATAATATTTGTTATGTTTGATTTTGTTCGTGTGTGTTGTGTGCACTAACAGAAAACTGGCAATGCAATTCGAGCGTTAGGACGAATGGCTACTTTGTCCGCAAGTCGCCGTAATTCTAATACTACAAATGCTCCTACAATTCTGCCGAGTCAGAAAATGAACGAAACAAATACATCTACTGGAATGTCCAGTGTCGATGAGGAGGAAGATCCAATTCGTGAGAAGAGAGTAGTGCGGAATAGGAATTTCAGCGAGAGATCAGACAGTGGAATTAGCGATTGTCTAACTGTTTCACAAACTGCGACTAACACACATCCTATTTCAATCACCAATGAATCAAATGGTACATCAAAACATATTTATAACTCTGAAATAGCTAAAATCAAGGAGGAAGTACCCAAAAGCCTATAGAACTACTGAAAAACACGAAGAAACACAACGAAATACCAAAATTTAAACAGACTGATTTGCATTTAGGAAATGTCGAAAATACTAAAACAAACCATGCACATTTTAAAACAGGTAATGTATTTATTTAAGTCTTGCTTGCTTGTTTAATAGCTATTTGCATTTTTTTGATTTAATTTGGTTTATCTAATTATTCTTTTTGGTATTTTTAGAAGAGCGTCCAAATGTCGCGCCAAATAGCGTAAAACTCTCATCTCCACCTACAAAGTCAAGCATCGCAAATGTAATACAGAGATTTGATCAATTAGATCGTGTGGCGTCACAAGGCAAAGGCAAGGTGGGTCAAGAAAGTGCAACTGACAGAAACATCATGGCTGCAAATCCTTCTTTCATAAGAAAGGTGCAAACACTGAGAAACAAAGAAAAGAGTGCTGCAGACGTGAAATTACCCAAGGGTAACATGGCCACATCAGTTTTAGTGCGTAATATGAAGAATAAATTCGAAAAACCCGCTGATAAAAGTGAAACTTTCAAAAAAGTTAGTGAGTTTTGGAATAATCATGCGTAACAGTAGAAGTAGAGTTTTCTTCATGATGTTCTCACAGTAAGGGTGCTATTAGATTTAGTCCTCAGGTGTGTTAATCTCTAAATGGAATTGTTATTCAATGTAATCAAATTGTACTATTTTAAATTATTAACGAGAATAAATACATATTTAAATCAAAAGGAAATGAGAGGATTGCATGCAGAGAAGCTGAATAGGTTGCCTACATTTTTATTTGTACTTTTTCCGATCAGATGACATCTGTCAGTGTTTAACCAGTTGTTGAATTTGTCGCAAGCCTTTCTTTGCAAAATGTTAAAACAGTGATAAAATAACTATACTACATTGAATTAAAATGCCACAAGGACGTAAGAAGACGCCGTTTAGTGGAAAGGCGAAAAAAGAACAATTGAAGGCGAAGAAACAAAAATCACAATTCCAAGCCTCCCATTCAAGAAGTAATGTATTGCTGAAACACAACAGTGATGAAGAATCCTCAGACAGCAGTCATGTACAGAAACTAAACCATCAGCCTAATAAAGGCGGCAAAAATGCCAATCGCTACGCCCTTCAGTTTTATAAAGAAACTCCGGAAGAGTTGAAGAAGAGTAGGGAACTAGCAAGACATGAGCTCAAAAGTGTTGATTCCAGCCAATTAGTTATTAACATTGATGATTACTTCATTCCTGAATTAGACTTCCCAAAGAGGCCCAAATGGTCATATGACATAAGCAAGGATGTGTTGGAATCACAAGAGCAAAGATATTTCACTGAGTACCTGAAGGACTTGGAAGAGAAGGTTAGCTGGAAGGACCAGAGTTTCTTTGAGATTAACTTGGAAACATGGAGACAACTCTGGAGAGTACTAGAAATGTCCGACATTGTCTTAATTGTTGTTGATATCAGATATCCTGCATTGTTATTTCCTCCTTATCTTTATGAATATGTGACTAAAACACTGGGCAAGCATATGATATTAGTTCTAAACAAAATTGACTTATGCCCAACACCTTTAGTGGCAGCCTGGAAGAACTACTTCAAAAGCAAGTATCCAGAGTTGAGTGTCTTAATGTTTACAACATTACCAATCTACAACTTAATGAAGTGCCAAGAGAATAAAGCTGGTTTGGTAATCAGGAAAAGAAAAGGTAAAATAAGGATGGCAGCTGAGGGAACACAACTTTTGCTGGATGCTTGCAAAAGTATTGTTAATGATAGAGTAGATTTGTCCAGTTGGGAGCAGAAAATCAAGGAAGAGTGTCATGAAGATTTTCAAGATTCTGATCGAGTTGAAGTTGGCGAAACAATTGAAATCAAAAAGACTGATGCTAGCTACTTTGAACATGAATTGTATAAAGGAGGAATATTAACAATTGGATGCATTGGTCAACCAAATGTAGGCAAATCATCTTTACTGAATGCCATTATGGGTAAAAAAGTCGTAAGTGTGTCAAGAACTCCAGGGCACACAAAATACTTCCAGACAATCTTTCTTACTAAGAATGTTCGCCTTTGCGATTGTCCCGGTTTAGTATTTCCGTCGAAGGTACCAAAAGAGTTGCAAGTCCTGATGGGTAGTTTCCCCATCGCCCAATTACGCGAACCGTACTCATCAATCAGATATATCGCCGAACGTTTAGATATGCCTAAATTATTATCCGTCAATCATCCGGATGATGAAGAAAGTTGGTCGCCTATGGATGTATGTGATGCCTGGGCGAAGAAACGTGGCTATTTGACAGCTAAATCTGGCAGATTGGACACGTATCGCGCTGCAAACAGCTTATTAAGAATGGCGCTGGATGGGAAGATTTGTCTAAACATGCATCCGCCTGGATATAAACCAGACGAATGGGAAAACCATCCTGAGACCGAGTTGGTGAGATGGGTGAAAGCCATCACGAAAGATGATCAAGGCACTTATGTTTCTCCGACGTCCGAAGATGAGCTGAGTCCATGCTATGACGACTCCGAACAAGTCGAAAGCAATAAGGAAAGCGAAGGCGATGATGATGATGACGAAGAGGACGTACCTGCAGAGAAACCGCGTCGCGCGAATAAATTTGCTGCGTTGGAAGAAACCGAATAATCATTCAATTTATTGTCACATTTGTTCGAACGTTTGCAAGGTGTAGTTCTTCATGTTTCGATTATACAGTAACAAAACTTAAAACTTACTAATGATTTTTGAAATGATTGTGCTTGAGTCTTATTACGACATCATTTCTTCAATCTGTTGCATCTTGATTACAATCTGTTCGCTTTCGGTCTTGATGAATTCTCTGGTCGGTATCAATGCATCTTCAAACATTAGTCCTTCCAATAGATCAGCTGAAAAGCAAATAATTTAATAATTGAAGGGAAATCATTAATTTGTTGTTCATACATTCGGCGACTACGGCGGATAAGTCCAGCGTCTTGCAAGTCTTGGTTATAAGTTGCGTGTACATTTCTTCGGCCTCCAGAGTAGTAGCCTCGGTCATATCTCTGTCGTAATCGAAGAATTTCGTTAGCAGCATGTTGATTTTCGCTCGAAGTAATACAATAGTCTTAAGTCCGTCCGATTCTAAGGGCGGAAGAATAACGGAATCTTCAGAGAAAGTCGCATCCACCTCGAAAGTGAGCGCTGTGGACTTCTTCGCCTCGCTTTGCACCTTGGATGTTATGTGTTCCAAATGTTGCAAGATTTTACGGATCTGAATTAATAGTTTGCCGCGTTTCTCGCACATGTTCGTCATCTCCTCCTTTCTCTCGAGCTCCTCGCTGATCATTTCCAGATATTCCTTCTTTGTTTCCTTGTAAGATTCGGTGGTGTCTATCATACTGTTTTCAAGATTGTTTGCGATAAGTACTGCATGAGCTTTCATCTCCTGCAAACGTTTTCTTGATTCTTCGTTGTTAGTTACAAATTGTGTTAGACGTTCCGATTGACGTGCTTGTTCTTGCATACTAAATATTTATTAGAAAACATTTTTTTATGGTCATTAGCAGTGTAATTAATCATATTAAACTCACCATGGGAAAATAGCATCAAAGTTGGACACCAACGTTGTTTCTTTAAGTATTTGTAAAAGATCAGTAAACTCTTGAATTTGGTTCTGTAAAGCTGTCCAGCTTTCAGTTGCAGGAATGTGCGAGTCAATGCACATTGTAACATCACTCTAAAAACCAATTATGATTTGATGGACTTAAATTCAAACAAAATGAAACCTACATCTCGCCGAATTAATCCACGCATGTTTTTAATCGTCTCTTCAATCTGCGTTTTTACTTCAGCTAAATTTTTCACACGTATTTTCATGTCTTCCTTGACGCACGTTTGTAATGTTTCAAATTCGGTTCTTCTATCGTCCACATATTCAACCGCAAGTTGTCCTAAAGTGGTTGATTGAATTAAACACGATCCCTGAGCCATTGCATCTTCTTTTAATGTTTCCAACACCGCATCGTAATAAATTGCATCCTAAATACAATAAAAGTGTATAAAATTAATGTCTAAATGTGAATAATACTTTTACCTTTCTCATTATATCAATTAAAGTCTTGTATGTGGTCTTTACTGTAATCGCAGCTTCCTTTTTTAAAATCATATCTTGAACTTTACCGGTTACAATGCCAATTTGTATTTCCAACGGAGTTTTACTAAACGATTGAGTCTCTTCTTGCATTTCCAGGTCACCTTCCTCTAACTACAGGTTTAATTTGGTTATAATGTTTAAATGTAGTAATTGCACAATATAGATACCCTTAGTTTTATTAATCTGTCTATTTTCAACTTCAGTCGGTAGTTTTGTAAGTCAAGCATCTTGCGACGGGCAAAATTATCTTGATAAATATGATCAATAACTTTCTACAAATATGATATAAATTAACTTTATATATCACACATGATCGATACTTGTGTAATTAATACTGTTGCGTGAAGTTCTTGATATGCCAACTTCATAGCTCGATCTTCGGCTAAAATATTTCGTATTTTTTGTTGGTCGCCATACATGCAATTCTTTAGTTCTTCTCTACTTATAGCTATTTGACGAGTTAATTGTTTGTACTCCTTCTTTTGCTTCTTTATGTTTAATTTTGCGTCCATATCACCAATTTTCTTATCTCGTTCTAGGTAGAAACCAAAATTTAGAACAAGTTAACTACCTACATAACTGAACTCGTACTAAATAAATTAACCAATCCCTTGTATTGCGTTAGATGATCTTGAACCGTCCATCGCTTGTCTTGTAATCCATGCAATTTCACTTTCTTTGCTGATAACATATTGGTCCCCATCTTGAAGCGTTTTTATATTATTTGAATTCACACAAAATTAGTAGTAAAAAACGGTAAAAAGAATGTGTACTATGTCAATATTGACAGTGGGAAATGAAAACAATTTAAAATATTATTTTATTCATTTATTTTAAAACCAAATTAATGTTATTTGTTTATGAAAACAATAAAGACGATAACTCTTACTTATTGTTACCTAAAATATGATCTTCGACAAATTTATCAAAGTTATCAATAATAGAGTTAGTTTCTTCTAATAATCCATGTGACTTAGTAAACTTTTCAATGCAAGTTTGCAAATACTTTGTTGATTCCGGTGTTTGTAAATGTTGATCCAATTTTCGTACACTAAATTAAAAAATGGAAAGCAAGATATTAAAATAGTACATAATCAGCACCCACCGTAAAACATAAATTACTGTTTCAAATACCTACCAGTTTATTAAAATCAAAGCAATAACGTTCCACTGTGCCGGCTTAAAAACAACATTATTCGCCTCAAATTTAAATGTTTTAATTAAGTCCTGAACTTTACATAAAGTAGATTCCGGTGCAGACAGTTCCAGCAAGTGGTTCTTGATGCTACAAGAAAGTTTAAATCAAGAGAAACCCATTATTATGTACATTACTTACTATTGCAAAACAGATTTGTTATAAACACTTCTCCTCAATGCAATTGTATTAGAAGTCTCCACTAGTGGCAGGACAACTTGATTTTCGCTTTCTTCTTGTTCCACGCTTTGTTTTGCCTTGGCAACAATTTTGCCACTATAAAACGCCTGCGCTTTCAAATTACTTGCTTCAACTTCTTCTTTAAGCTTATTATAGTCCGGGACTGGTTGTAGACCAGCTCCATTTTGAGTTATGCAACCATCATCGTACTTTTTGTCTAACATTTCATTTAATTGCAACCTCTTGCAAATATTCATGTATTTCAACTGTTGTGAGGCTTCCAACTCAGTTACTTTCAACTGATTGAAATAAGAGTCTAAACGATCATTATTTATCATCTGCCTTACTTTGTCTTCTCCATGTATATATAAAAAGGTTTCAATTGTTAACCATTTACGAAAAGCATTGATTACCGCTGCGCAGTCCGCACTACCTAAACAATTAGATGAGTCAACAGGCACTTTTTCTACTTGTTCAACATGCACTCTGTTTATTTCAGGATTCTCTACAGTGTCAATCATAACTACTCCTTTCTTTTCAATTGTTTGCTTGTTTTTAATTTTCTCCATGATTTTCTGCATCTTGTCATCATACACAGTTGGTACCTTTTGTTTCTTATTTATGTTTACATTCTTCACCTTTTCAATTATTTCATTTACATCACTTGCAGTTGTATCTTTTTGATTAGATAATTTCATAATCCGTTGCGAGTACTTTGGTGCTTCCATAGATACCACAGGATTCACTTTATTATTCAATAGATAAGTCCGTGAACGATATTCTGGATTTACTTTAGTGTCTATGATTTGCGGATGTTTGTTTCGTTGTTTTTCAGACTCATTGACTTTCTCTATAGCTCTATTCATTTTTTCATGATCAATTAGAATTTCTGATTCATTATTTTGAATTTTGTTGTTGTCTGGTAATGTTTCTTGTGGGGCATTAAGATCTAATGTAATATTTAGTGATCTGCATATGTTTTGAATACTTTCATTGAGTTCCCTTTGTTCATTTGCTTTTTTATCTCCATCACATGATTGTGGAATAATATTGTCAATAAATTGAACCTTTTTTGATGTTGAAGGTTTTGGTTCTGCGACTGTTTCATTCTCATTAAGCACATCTTTTTCCTGACTTGTAGATTTCTTCAAAATAGGTTTTCCAAGTGAAATATTATCTTCGGTATTCTTCTTACATTTATCAATATCATCATCTGGCAGGTTGTCTTCAGCCTCATCTAAACAAGCTTCTGTAAAATCAGTAACTGATGTAAAAGTACCTTCATCCACTGGAAGTTGTATTCCATTAACCAATTCTTCTCCAGGTGTGAGACCACTGCTGGTATTTGGCAGCAAATTGTATTCATAAATTGTGTCTGCTTTTCTTAGCCATAGTGGTGAATTATCAATTTGACTTTTTATGTGTGTGCTTGCTTTGTAACAAAAATTACTACAGTATTTCTAAAATCACCCATACATAATTTAATAAGTTAATTAATGATTCAGCAAATGATGATACCAAACATACTTTTCTATCAGTCAGGTCATAAACTTTATTAACTTTTGCCAGAATGATGTATTTTTTCTCAGGGATATCAGGTATTGAGTTTCCACAAATGGGATATCCACATAATTTTGTAATTGCTCTTTCATCCACCACATCTTCATATAGTGACTCATTGATACTATTTAACTACAAAATATGGGCAATGAAAATAGGAAACAAGGAATTAATCATTGAGTAATTCTTACACTCTTTAGAAATACTTTAGGCCTTAGTTTTCCTTCAATGAGAAACTCTACAATAGTGTGAGAATATTCATCTGCTCTTCTTTTAGATTCAAGGGTTGCTCTGATACTTGCAAGCTTCTCTTGACTAGAATAATGTTCCAATCATTTTCTAAAGAGTAAATAACATGCATGACTTACTTTACTGCAGATTTACCATCTTTTCTAACACCAGCGATTTTTATGTAGTCTTCTATGGAATCCTGCATATTTCACAATGTTAAAATCAAGACGCACGTGAATTATTTCCACTTCCAACGCCTTCTAAACTAAAAACTACCGAGAGTGAAAACTAAAATGAACTCCTTTTGTTTGCGAGTTTGTTATGTTTGTTTCTAGGTTAAGTAAGAAGCAATCTGACCTTACTGACGCCAATGGTTTGTGCTTTAAATTTTTATCAAAACAACAATAAATTGCTCATTGATACGCGTAACAAGTGTGCAAAAAGTCTAAAAGTGATATGGATCGTCGATATCTGGTAGCAAAACGACGTTACGATGAAAAAAACAGTGATCAACAACAAAATGCAACCAGGAACAATACTCGTTCAAGCAATGTTCAACAGAATCGTCATGGAATTAAGAAGGCCGTATCATCGAAAAACATTGCAGACGCACGCATGAAAAGATTGAGGGAGTCGTTGGCAAATGATTTAAATGAATCTGATTACATAGGTTCTACCCCACCAGCAAAACGGTTTGCACCTGATTCTGAAACCAGAACTTCAGAGTGTTGCAATGTACCAGAACTTGAATCAAATAGCCCACTACATCTTAGTCACACACTTGCTCCATATTCATCACAACTTCCTGCAACTCCAGGCATTGAACAGAAAGCAGTTAGTTGCAAATCTCCCAGGAAAAACTTCACACCTTACAGCAACTTTTCACCTCCATCCACTTCAAGACAATCAGCAAATAAGAGACTCAAGGATGCAATTACATCAACACCACAGCACATAAAACATAAGAAATATTCAAAAGCAGCTACAAGTCTTGATGATCACTTGACTTTCACACAATTTGTGCAGAATAATACTGCAAGTACCAGTGGTGCTGAATTGTTAAATGATGAAGATAGTGTTATCACTGACTTGTCTGCCTCCAGTAATAATTTTAGCAATCTCTCCACCAGTTCAATTTCTAATGTTTCATTATTGTGTCATGCAAATAATTCAACCAGGGAGGATATTGATATTGAAAATATGGATTGGTCTCCAATATCAGAAGAACAGTTGCTATCAAATGTAAGTATTATGTGTAGAAATATTATGATATTTATTCATTGTATTATTTGCAGATTCGTGAAGCTAGAGAAAGCTTGTTTTCAGTACAAAATCAACAACAACTTGCCTTGAATAAAAATAAGGATTTCTCTGTTGGACATTTGAATACAGAAAATCTCTTTGTGGTTGTTGATACTAATATTTTTATAGATAAACTACAAACGGTTATTAATATTATGCATATTTCTTATGCAGGTTTGTTGATTGGTATATTTTTGGAAATATTTTAATTGATTATATTGTAGATGATTCTCAGCCAGTAATTTATGTGCCTTGGATGGTAATACAAGAGTTGGATTACTTTAAAGACGGCTATAGTTTGTCTGAAAAGCATCCTGTGTCAAAAATAATTCAGACACGCTGCAGGAAAGCCGTGAAATTTATTAATGAATGTCTGATCGCTGGCAAACAGAACTTTAAAGGTCAACCTGTCCAGCGAGCGGCAGAAACTCGCCTGAAGGGACATTCTGCAGACGATTCAATTCTCTCATGTTGTGTTCAATTGTTTAGTGAAGGTTTTGACGTTGTAAGTTTATCTAGTTTATTTACTCATTTTCTGAATTAATTGATTTGAAAAATTTTCAGATTTTATTGTCTAGTGATACTAATTTAAGAAATAAGGCAATGATTAGTAATATACGCGCATTCGCACCAATCGAAATAATGAACGAGTTGAAGAAAAAATCACTGAAGAAAACTTTCAACTTTGTCGATGAGATCTCAAAGAAACTAGCTCTGATTTGCAGTTTTGTGCTACATTTTGAAATCAAAGCACATTACGGTGAACGCCACTACGAACAACAATTGTTTAAAGATCTGCCGTGGCAATTTCGAGATTGCATCAAGTATATGCGTGAACATTTCGATCCTGTTTTTCGTTCACATCTGCCTAAACAATGCAGAAAAGTGGTGGATGACTTGCATGAGTTTTTATTTGTCAATGAAGGTAGTATAATTTGAAAATTATAAAAATTTTCAAGCTCATAATTGAATTGTTTATGTTTTCTTTCAGCAATTGTCAACGAAATTAAATTCACGGAGTTGTGCCTTTCCCTGCTCATATATCTACAAACTGGATTGCCAAAATACGAAACAAACATCCACAACACCATCAAGAGATAAAAGAGCTGGAGCGCGAATTTTTTGTTTGAATTGCAGTTGATAATGTTGATAACGACACATTGACTGAAGAAGTCCATATAGTTTATGATATTTTTATAAAGTTGTGTTACAAACATTTGAATTCAATATGACTTGTCTCGATGTTATGCACGCAGTTCGTAGATTTGAATGTACGCCTCTGTCAGTGTAATCATCTGCGGGAGAATGTCGATGACGTGCAAGTCTTGCATCTCGTACCATTTTCCTGTGCTCTTTTGAAGAATATGAACACGATACGTGCCTTTAGTGGGTTCGCCGTCATGCACGATATTGGCAACAAGATCGTAGATGGTTCGTTTGTGTTTCGCGCGATTTTCAGGCGTTAAAAATTCACCGAAATCAACATTCCTGGGAAAGAAATGATGTTTTAATTTAAATGCTTATTTATGCATGTGTTTTGTTTACTTACTTTACAGGGAAGTTGACAATAGTCGGATTCTTCTCGACGAAAAACGTGTTTTTCGTAAACCTCTTAATGTAGAGTATCAAAAATGGCGGCAATTGCGTTATTTCGTATCGCCGCATAAAGTTCTCTTTGTAGGTCTTGCATTCTTTCTCACTTTGTCCATTGAACTTCATCAGCAACTGATACAAGTTGACTTGAGGAATAATATTCTCACGAAGTTCATCGATGAAAAGCGGAGGCGCAGGCAAGTCACACGTCAAATACAAAAACGGCGATTCTTGCTCCTGTTCTTGATACTCTGGCGTTTGCATTAGCTGCCACTTTTGTTTCTCGTCCAAATCCGTCGGTGGAATCTTTCGACTGTAGATCTTCATTGAACCCAGGAAGGTTTTGAAGATAATACTGCTTTTCCGTTTTTTGGTGCCGTTGAGCGCACGATGCAATTCGTTTAGGAACCAGGACAAGAAATCAATGGGATCACCTTGTTGGGTGAATTGAAACTTTTTGTGACTCCACAACACTACCGCTTGTAACATTTCGTGCGGAGAGACGTGCACTTTGAAGTTGCGCGGATTCCATAATTTGCGCTGAAGTTCACCAAAGCGTGATACTAAAAGGTATGTGGAGTCTCCCGGCGGGCGTTTTACTTTGTTGTAGTTTTCTTCTCTAAGAAAATAATCGCGAAGAGGTTTTACATGTGAAAGAGCTTGTAAAACAACATTGCAATAATCATTAGCTTTGATATTGTTCAATCCAACAATGCCAGGAATATATAAAGTGCCATCAATTGCTCTAGATAGCTTTGTACTATTATCCATAGCATGAATTTGCTCTGTAGTAAAAATTGGATTCAGAAGATATTTTATATCATCCAAAGAAGAATCTAAAATATTTTAAATATTATTGTTTGCTTTCATCATAAAATCTGTGTATATATTTACCAATAATTTCATAATTGTCAGGTAAACAATAAAACTTTAATGTATGCAGATTTAAGAACACATGATGACTTTCAGCAACTGAATGAGTGTATGCATGTGTATTTGTGCCTCTCCCTTGAAAGTACTTGCCACAAACCAGACAAGCATAAACATTGATTCTTGTCAATGAAACAGAACATAGTTTCTCAAAATCAAAGTCAAGATATTGCCTATTAATAGTATCCAAATAGGGGCATAAACGATTAGAGTCTAAAATATAATTAACCATTAGCTCTTTTGGTATACAGAAATTATGCTAAGCTTTACCTTTATCCTTTTTGATTACAACTGGTTTGGAATCTTCTTCATTGTCATGATTTGAGTCAGCAGTACTAACCGGATCTTCTAGTTTAATTTTTTTAGTCGGTTGTTGTTCATCCATTGCAATATTTAAGTATGAAACGATATATTTTTGTTATTTGCTTATAACGACCCTTTTCGTTTTGTAAACATAACCTACAAACGCAATGCAAAATGCATTACCTTACAATGACCTTAGATGGTTGCCGGCTTGTTTGACAGATGACCGATGTGCCTTTTTTCTTTTATTTTCTTGGACATTTTCATAGCTTTTTTAACGTTTTTCGTAACATGATTCTACATCGAATGAATTTGCATTTTCCTTTAAACAATATATGTACTTAATTTGCATGTGTTCAGCCCCATTTGCAAATAATTAGTTCAAATCTAAAGAAATAGGTAGTCATGCGTCATTGGCGATTAAAATTAATTTTACGTAGTTATGATTAATTTATCATCCAAATTCATTGAAAGGCGCATATTAAGTCGGTTTATTAACCTTAAAACGAGCACTTTGTGTTCAAAGGTCGTTAAAATTATCATTAACACCGTTGATTGAATATCAACGTATTCCTCGAATTTCTTTTATTCAATGACGGAAATACATCTAAACCAGACTAAAATTTTCAAGTACATAAATTCAAATAACATTGCAACATTTTTAAATAAAGAATTTTATTTATGAGAGTATGTGCATTGCTACAATCCACACTATTTGTTTGATTCAGTTCAAGACGTTGAATTTATACAATTCACACCTATTCTATAACTAAAATACATAAATACATATTGAGTAACAAGTATTATTTCTATATCAGTTCTAAATCAGCCTTAAATTTGTAAAAGGAATATGATAAACTTTAAACATTTTCATGTTTATCTTCCTCCGGATCAACCCTTTTAATTCCTTTTAATTCATCTTGAATTTCTTCCAAAGTCTTACCTTTTGTTTCCGGCAAGCTAACAAACACAAACAAAATACCCAAGAAGCAACAAATTGTAAAACAGAAGAATGGCACATACATGCCAAAGTTATCTTTCATAATCTGGAAGAATTTCGACACAACCGCCGCAATAATACTGAAATAAATATCAGCTAAACAAATGGCGAATGCCTTGACATTGGTCGGAAACAATTCGCCTAACATCAGCACTGGAATCGTGCCCATTCCGATGCTGTAGCTAATGATAAAAGCAATTAGCGCAATAACTGGCACATAATTGAGATGGGCCAACTCGACCGTGGTGTTTTTTTCCAGATAAAAGTAAATTCCTTCGGCCATTAAGGCTAATACCGTACCAGTGGTTGAAATCAGCATCAAGGGCCTCCTGCCAGCCTTATCCATAATTAACGACGACAAACACGTCATAATTAATTGCACCACGTAGTAAGTCACGGTCGTGAGTTCGGATGAGATGTGCTGGCCGGTCTCTTGGAAGATGGTTTGGGTGTAGAACGTGATTGCAGTTATTCCACTCAATTGTTGCACAGTGCGCAGTCCGATCATTATGAGCACGGCTTTCCGGTTGCTGGCCACGGTAAAGAGATCGAAGAAGTGCCCGGTGTCGGATGCATCCTCTTTAACGGAGTTCATCAATCTGTTGAATTCCCAGTCGACGTCGGTGATGCCTTTCAAGATTTTCAGGCTGTCTTTGGCGTCGTCATAGCGGTCCTTGATGATCAAATAGTATGGGCTTTCAGGCATGAACCAAAAACTGACCATCATAGCAATGGGTAGAAGGATTGATATCAGTGCGGTTGTGAAAATGCTTAAGTACAGACCCAATCCGTTGATTATTAATATACCTAGTATCATTGATACTGAGCAACTGGAACCAAGCAGACCTCGGATGTTGGGATCTGATATTTCACCAATGTACATTGGAACTGCTGTGAATGCGACACCATCAGCCACGCCAGCGAGAAATCTCGCTGCGTACATCAACGCCACATTGTTGCTGAACGCAATCATCAGCCAGGAAACAACGTATGGGATACCGGATAGTAGTATTGTATTTTTTCGTCCGATGGTGTCCAGTAATGTGCCGGAGAATATCGCACCAAAGATGGCTGCGATCAGTGGCATTACAGCAATCCAGGAACTTTCTTCGTTTGTTACTTCCAGGTGAGACCCATCGAGTAGTTTTGGAATGGATGGTGATGGCCATCCGTAGTGCATGGCACTTGTCATAATACATAGAGTTGCTATACAAGAAACAATAAAAAATAAAAAATTAATTTTTTACTTTAAAAATTTGTTTGTAGGGGTTTATGAAACTAACCGGTAACTGCGGCATAATATTGATAGCGAGGATTAGTGACCGGTAATTTTGAGTTGATGGTAGTGCGAATTTTCATGTTTGCCGAATTGTTGAAGCTGTGATGTTATCTGAATGTAATGGGTAATTGTGTTTAACTCGTTGGTGATCGTTGGTGAGCCTTATATATAACAGGCTGTCATAGTTTTTGTGATAAGGGGTTTTCCGACGATGCGGACGCTGTAACTAAGCAATCTTTGGAGGTTTTGAATTTTTGATTAAATACACCATTGATAATAATTAATACAAAGAAGAAAATTGTTTTTTGAAAAGTTTTTCTGTAGGAATATTTCTTTAGTGAAGGTAATCGATAATATTTCGTTAATCACAAATCACAAAAGTAATATGTGACGCGACGTTTACGTAATCGGTACTAATACTTTTCTTCTGCTGAGTGGCATTTATAGATAGTGTCTGAATATAAAATGACAGGCCGGTATGCATTTTAAACATTTTTCAGATTTATGAAATTTTATTGCCTTAAGTTTATTACCTTAATGATAGAAGAATGGAAAATTCGACATTTTACGATAGGTTTTACGATAGGTTTCCGAAAATTGTTTTTAAAGATAAATAATTTGGATCACATTTTTCCAAGTTGCCTTAAAAGAAAAAAACTTAAAACTAATTCTTGCTAAACACATATTTATTTTTGTATAGCCAAATTCTTATTTACACATATTTTGGTCAAATTTTATTGCTATTTTTGTAAAGGATTTATTTATTCTTTAATTGCGACATCCAATCACCGGAAAGGTGTTAACGATACGTCAAACAGCAGAAAGTAGCCGGTGTGAACAACTTAGACTTACTTCATTGAGCATTAGTTCAAACTATTTCATTGGCAATGCCGAGGAATCAAGAACGTGATTATTTTTTCTTTTCTAGAACATCAACAAAAGGTATATTATTCCGTATTATACTAAATTATATGATTAATTTGAATTAATTAATAGTAATAAACAAATAAATTAACTCTCTTTCAATCCATAAAAAAATATGTTAAGATGTACGCGCATGTGCGACATTTATAAAGAGTTAGCAACAAAGTTCATGAAGCAGGGTGATTGGTCTAATTTGAACCACGTTTCTGACGTGAACATTTTATGCCTTGCATCACGCACACGCCCACGGTGAGAGTAGCTTAAACAAATATAATTATGACGAGTTGGACAAACACATTGGATTCAGTTTGAGTGAAACAAAAAACAAAATAATTATGTAATTAATTTTAAAAAAATCGGTAAAATCTATTATGCATCAAATGAAGTTGTACAAACTGCAGGTGACAGTAGTAGTAGTTGCAATTATTTGCATTTGATTCAAATGTAATTTACCAGTTATTATCAATATATAATTAGTGATTTATGTAATTCTTGTAATAGGCAACATCAAAAAATACTTTTGCATATAAGTTCGAAAAACACAAAGCCACTATAATGTAAGAAAAGTATAAATTTAAAAATGGCGCTGGAATACAAAAGAAAAATGTTTAAAGTTGTGATTTGTTGTCAGAAAATTAAAAATTAAATAAATCAATTATTAAAAGTTCCAGATTAAGAGATTAAAAGTATTTCAACATTTTTCCAAATATATTTTTTTAAATCTTCAACCAAATTAATGTTTGCGAGTCAATTCTCGTAATAATTTTTGTGATGGATACATTTTGTACCTGATTCAAGATGTAAATAGACAAATCTTCAACTTGGACTAAAGAGAAATATTAAATTATAATTAAATATAGTAAAATCTAGAAAATTTCCAAATCACGTAAAATGAGAGCAATATGAACCACATCGTAAAGTGTTATTTCGTGTTAAGGTTAAGGTCACAATTTTTGAGGTATTTTAAATATTTGAACAAAGCTTGTTATTAATGTTAATTTGGTAGATAATACACCGTCACATATTTGTTCTTTTTCTGTAGGAGTACTAATATACTGCATACCATCATAAATAAGTACAAAACTGGCGTTATGATTAAACTTATTATGAAGATGATAAGACCGAATTAGCAACTATTTATTTGCTCAACAAAGTTCGTTGGTACTTTTTCGTCTATTGCTAGTATCTCGTGCTTGATAGCGTATGCGCAATTTTACAAGATAAAATTACTTTGCGTTTAATAAATATTGCAAAATTGTTTTGTTCTTGTTTTTTTTTAAATGTAGGTATATATTTGCTTATTGTAGGTATTGCGAAAGCAATTGCGTAGAAATAATAAATTAAACTGCAACACGTACGATTCAAAACATGGTATAAAATGTATTTTGATATATTTTATTGCATTTTTGGTGGAAGTGTTGATTTACTTTTAATTGCAGATGTATTAATAAGGTAATTTGAGTGACTTTGTTTATACTTGTACGCAAATTACAAAAATTAAAAATCAACTAAAGTTTCGAGAAAACAATACAGCCAGCTATAATTTAGTGCTGTATCTTTTTTCGATGAGATTTTAATTGTTAGTTTTTTTTTAAATAAAATACATTAGTTTGATTTCAATTTAATTGAAACATTTAAAAAATATCTAGTAGTATCTCAAAAATGCATTGGTATAAATACTAGGTATATAAAAAAATAATTTATTCCTCATAGTCCTCATATTGTTTTTTTAATAATTGCATTGTTTTATGAATGCAAAGCATAAAACGTGTTTTTAGTACAGCTTCTAAGCTTCTAAATCCGCTTTTACTTGAATAATGATTACAGTAATAATCCTTATTGTTTAAAATAGCTTCATAAATAACGCACATTTTTTTGGTTGTAATTTGGAAAAGAAAAAAGTTCTTACTGTGGGGTATTATTAATTGATAGACATATGCTACTGAAGACTTTTTTGAAAATCTTTTTAATACGTACAATATACATTTTTGTAGTAGTAGTACATTATGTATTGCAAAGGCAGCCGAAGGCGACGTAATTTTACACGTGTTGTGATACAATTATAAGTTTTTTTTTCAACTGCTGTAAATGATGGTAGACCGTTGAAGTTACCAATTAGGCAAAACGTGTCAAAAAATTAACAATTTTACAACTCCATAAAAATATTGAAATCAATGTCTATGATAAAAAATATTATTATATTAAGTATCAATTAGCTAAACGAGAGTTTTGGTTTAACAAAGTTTAGCCACGTACTGCTTACGCTATTTTTCAACTTCCACTCTATTTCCTTGTTGAAGTTTTTGTATTTGAACTTTTATATATTAAATCTTTGCAATTCGCTCGCACACTACTCGTACTGAGAAATGTAAGTTATAAATGCCGGGTCGTGCGTCAGTCGCGTCGCGCCGATATGAGCAGCAGCAGCTTTAACTTGTGCATTGCATTTCATATGTTTTTGTGCTGCACCTTGGATAAATCTGCAGGCACAAGCTCCACCCCGTGACTAAAGTACTTTAGTCGTGACTAAATGACCGTGTTTAAAGTACCACTTTTGGTTTCAAACCCGTACAAAACGCGCTTTAAATATATAAAAAAATTAAATAAATCAAAACATGTAATATACGTTTTTTTAATGAATATTAAGAAGATTATTGAAATGCAGTTTTATGAAATTCGATTAAATGTACATTTTATCTATTATAATAGATTAAATTAGGAAAACACGTTCAAACTATATTTTGAAGATAAGACGCGTTGAGACGTCACTTGCGATGTTGTCTTGAATAAGTAGTGCGTTAATTAAAATGGAAATTCCAACATCAATGCGCGCGTAATGAAATTCAATACTCACGCAAGGTGCCACATTTATTTTAAACTTTAACAATTTACCTACATTTTAATTTACAATTATAAATGTTACTATTATTAAATCGCGTAAAATAAGGCTGTTGATCAATGAACAACATTATGTAAGAAACTACCTCTTACAGACGGTCTCGCCCGCGGACATTATAAAACATTTCGCCTAACAAATGAAACAAGAATGCAATTATGCTTTTTGGCTGCGCTAATAATATTCAAAATCTTTTAAATCAGGAATGTCAATAAAAAAATTATCGCCATCTGGATTTGAATTGAGCAACTGCATAATTAATTCAGTAATTCAGACAAACTTTCATCTTATATTTTATACTCTTTAAGGTAAATTTTTCTTACCATACTTTACACGGTTATCCGATAGACTAATCAGAAGATTTCCTGAAATTTTCATTTAAATTTTCTTGGCAGTTTTGGTGTTTATTAGTTACACACATACATAGGTACTTATAATTTACAATGTAGCAATTTTTTAGTTATATATTCACTTAACATGCCCAAAAATTAATTAATCTCTAAAATTTGTTACATAAATATTGAAATAATTGTTTATATCATTAATATTAATTGTCGTTGAAAGCATGATTAGCAAAAATTGCAGATATTTCTTGCAAGAATAGTAAACAAAATACCTACAATCATTAAAATTCCAGCAATATTTTAGAAGTTAGTGAATATTCAAATAATTTTACGTTTTACGAAAGAAAGTTGGCATCTCTAAAATTTTTATTACCAGCCGCTTTTGATTTTATAAGCAATTTCTTGCATTTTACTTTTCTTCTAAGAAAAAACATATAATAACAATTAAAATTAAAAAATAAAACACTTCACTTAACATTGAAACTTATTATGTATAGGTACATATAGGTAATGGTGCTGTTGCACTTGCACTTAATTGCAGCTCACATGAAGATCAATGTGACTTGAAATTGCTTAATACGTGCGTAGAGTAATGGCCGTTGACTACAAAAATAGCTTCAATTATCAACACAAATAAATGATGAGATTAGAGGCACTGCAAACCGGTTGAGTTAATATGCTCTATGGATTTCTCGATACTCGTGTAAAATTTGAACGATTTTTTGGTCGCGGGAGCTATGCTATAGGATAGGATAGGCGAATAGCGGCATTGCATCGCTCGTGTCCAAGCATCGGACGACGCTTCAAGTTCAAGCAGTATATAAATGCGTGTCGGTGCGGGTTCTTCTAGTTAGTTTCGGGCAAAGTGTAATTTATTAAAGCTTTGTTCAAAGATTCATCAAAATGAAATTCTGCACTAAGACTGTATATAAAGTGACCCCATCGGAGCGTGGTGTGCCTTTTCAGTATATAGCAACATTTGTCGGTGAGCAAAAAAGCAGTTTATTTCGATAATATTAATAAATTAGGAAATTATATGTTATTAAGGACCTTATATGGATATAATATATCAAATTTTATACTTTGAAATAAGGTGCTTATAGGTGGAATTGATAATAAATCATTTTAAACAGATTTTTATAACCAAAGGCAAAAATGGTAAACAGTAATAAGACAATCAACATATTGCATGCAGTTTACCTGGTCAATAACCAGCTTATTGCTGTAGATGGAACCAACTCTTGTTTGACCCGAGGTGTGACCGAAAATGAGGTGATACATGTTGTGATAAAATCACCGATACGCGTTTAACTCGAAATGACCCATTACTAGCCAAATAGTGAAAATAATTAATTTCTGGTTTGTGGTTTTATCAAATTACAATAAAATGTCAAATTTATGAGCTATAAATTAAATTTATCATGTTTAATTAACTTTTCAATTGATGAGCTGCAAAAATTTATAAACTTAAATATACTACTTTCCTGCAAAGTATGTATCTTTCCTCCCAAAGCTAAAAATTTGTTGAAATTGGTTCATTTTTAAAAAATTGCAAAAAATTGATTTTTTGACCAATTTTAAAATAGATTTTGATAAAATTTTCAGGTAGCCTACCAAATTGCCTAGCTAGTGATCCTGTAAAGTTCAATAGCAAACATATAATTAAAATGATATATAAAATTCGCACTAAAAATTGGTATGAAAATTCAATCATTGTTATAGTTATATAACTATATTATATAACTCAAGGGCAAAATATAAATAACTCTGAAAAAGTTTCAAAACTTTTACCACACGTGTATGAAAAGTACAATTCTAAAACAAAACAAAAGTTAAGTTATCTAATTCGAATGAAGATGGCATTGAAATGCATTTATTTGCATAAATTCACATACTTTTTCAAAAATAATTTATATGTGCAATAATTATTGCAGAATTTAAAGTTTCCGCATTAGTCAATTATTCTCGTGCGAAACCAGGACAGATTGATAAAATTAGCTAAAATTTTTCAGTAATAAAGTAGATCTGTAGTTGATTTTGCAAATTGAATGATAAATGATTATTGCGCATGCGCGTCTTTACAATTGTTATGCATTGTGCCCAACTTTGCTCTAAAACAATATTTTTTATTTTTCATTTTTCATTTTTCAAAAGTTTAATATATGCAATTATTAAATTATACCATTATATATGATTACATTGTTACAGTTTTATTATATTTTATTACTCTACAAAAATGCCTTGGAATATAAATAATGTGTATTTAATTTGGTATTTTGTAACTAAACGCATCAAATCAATCAAAATTACAGTCCCTCCTGCTTATGTCGCTTGTCTACGATAAGAAATTATACGAATTTAACGAATTGGCTATTACAGGTTCCATTGTGATCGTCGTAACTGGAATGTTGTTTGGCTGGGCAACACCTTCTTTGCCGCAACTGCTGGATCCCAAATCGGAAATTAAGATGAGCACCTCGGACGGTTCATGGATGGCCGTGATGCCCTGCATAGGTGCCGTTATCGGTTGCTTTCTTGCCGCGAAGATAGTCGACAACATCGGACGGAAAAAGTCCATGCTGCTGGTGTCGCCGCTGTACTTCATTGCGTGGATTATGATTGCGTACTCCGGCAGCAAGTACATTTTTCACGCGGCGCGAATTCTCTCCGGCATTGCTGACGGCATAGCATTCACAACATTTCCAATGTATCTCGGGGAAATCGCCGATTCGAAAATACGCGGATTACTATGTTCCTCTATACCGATCACAACAGTTTTAGGCTTCATGTTGATAGCCATTGTTGGATCTATGTACAGTATCAAAGACGCTGCATTAATATCATCTGTACTTCCAATCGTACATTTTGTTCTGTTCAGTTTTATGCCAGAATCACCATATTATTTACTCATGAAAAACAAGCCTGAACAAGCGCAGAAAAGTTTAATCAAACTGCGCGGATATCAAAACGTCAGCGAAGAATTAGAGAGGTTTACAAAGAGTGTCAAGGAAGATGAAGAAAACAAAGGCAGTATTTGGGATTTGTTCAGTGTGGAAAGCAATCGTAAAGGCGTGTATATTGTGGTGGGACTGCGTGGATTACAACAATTCTGCGGGCCAATGGTGATCACTTTTTACGCTACGATTATATTTAACGAATCAAAATCGGATTTATCATCGACCACATGCACCAGTATATACTTCGGTATACAAGTGGTGTGTTCAATTATTTGCTCTTGTTTGGTCGATAAAATTGGCAGAAGACCATTGTTGATTTTATCAACAATTGGATCTTGTATAGCATTAGCTGTACAGGGAGGTTATTTTTATATTAAAGATACAACTGATTATGAATTGAAGGAGTATACTTGGGTACCGGTAGCTGCTTTGTTAACTTATGACGTTTTGTTTAATTTGGGTATTGGTACCATACCAGTAATGATGCTAGGCGAATTATTTCCGACTTCTGTGAAAGCCTTTGCTCTATGTTTGGCTGATATTTATTTCGGTGTCGTTGTTATTATTGCTACAAAATTTTTTCAGATTATGAATGATAACATGGGAATGTCAATTCCGTTCTTTGTGTTTTCTGGTTGTAGTGCAATAGCATTAGTTTATACAGTGTTCTGTATACCGGAAACAAAAGGTAAAACTTTAGAAGAAATTCAAGACTACTTCAAAGGTATTGATAAAAAACAAAATGTTGATATTGAAAGAACAAAAATTTAAATATTTAGATTAAGTAGTTTTAAAATATTTATTTTTGTATCATAATGAATTCTACAAAATTTATATAAACAGCAATATGTGTGAGTTTCCAAGAGAAAGCTTTATTTATTAAATTCATGATCGGAATCGAAATGATTTACTCATCGCATCCTCAAAGGCACAATTGAAACCTCACTAGACAAATCGTTTTATCATCCGTTTGATTTATTAGTATAGTACGTATATCGAGTCTTGAAAAGATCCTCTATAAAATATATTTCTCTGATTATCACTTGCACAATATCGTGTTCACAGGTTTCATCAATTTGCCCAAGCACCACATTCAAACTATTAGACTAAAGCGTATTCATTAACGATGAGTGCAATCATTGAGGCATCACCTAGTGTAATGCTCATGTTACAACCAGTATCATGGTCTGCATTCTCCGATCACCCGGTTGCCGAGTGGCAGAGTGGGTCTGTAGTTAGCTTTGACGAAGCCTTCGTGTTCATCGACGGGTGACTCGTCGGGAGTGATGGATTTTAGGTTACGGAAAGCCTTCAATTGCTCCGAGGACACCTCAATTGGTGTTTTGAAGACGATCCAGATAACACATTCGGAGCATGGTGGAGTTGTCAGTGAACCTTGGTAGGTCCAATAGGAGCTGTCGTTGGGGATCAAGTGTGCTGGGTCCAGCGGACTTGCAATCTTCGCACTTTGACCTTTGTGTTGAATTTGCGAAAACTTTGAGATAACTTTTGCCAATTCATTACTTGCTCTGCCAGGCTAAAAATAAAGCAACAGATTTATATTCAAAATTCTTGCAAGTTTGGTATTATAACACTATCAGTGGTTTTATCAATTCCGTTATCATTTTTTTTGTTTTGTCTGAGATGTTTTTGTAGGGTACGTATTTTCAAACAAATTTGATCACAAAATTTCATATTACAATAAGTAAAACATTAATATAACCTCACTTTTTGTAAAAATAGGTTAGAATTGTAACAACGCACTTGATCAACGTCTGTTTTTAAACACGTCTGTAATATTGTAGCCAGACGAATAAAACATTATTTAAATGAATAACCTTGATGAATATATCGTAATAAAAATATGACATGAATGTTTATTGTTTTTACCTTCAGAAAAACACCGAGCACACATAGGCCATCCGGATGTTTCGCAGCTTCCAGGAATGAGCTATATTTAGTATTCCAGTGTACCAAATGCAACTAAAAAGCAAACATATGCATTATTTTCTCATAATGCGTAATTATTTGCATTATTACCTCGCCAGCGAACTTTTGTCCTTGCACCGTATGCTCGGAGCCTTCATTGTCACTAACTCCCCAGTGACAATGGAACTGCTCCAGTTTATAATGCGCATCCAATGGACCACCGCATAATTCTTCAAATATAAAACACTATATTGGAACGCGAATGTTTAGAATTAATAATATATCTACGCCTACCAGAGCCAGTGCCATCGACGTTCACAACCCATGAGTGTCCCGAATTGGTGACGGTCTTCTCATTCTCGGGAATGTACTGCCACGAGAGTTTCTTCACTTGCAACATTTGTAAATCCGGTGGACAAATATCAACTGGGCTTTGTCTTGCTCCGCCGGCTGCTGGATAGCTTTTGGACCATGTCTCCGGACCTAAAAATCATTTACACTTGAGATATTCTCTATTGGTGGTCATATAAGGCGATGTGAGTGATCTAAGCGATCGCCCACTCAACATAACACAAACGCCCATCAGGTTGCTATAGATAGTATTGAATATAAACATGTTTACCGCAATAAATGTTTTGTATACATAGACATTATTTTACGGTGATTTTATTGTCAATAAATTGATCAATCAAATAAATCCCTCTTATTGTATTTACGCTTTACTTGGTATAAAAAAATAATTAAATTTTATTTGTTGCATGAATAAATGCATTAAGTGCTACTTTGCATCGCACATTGTTGACGCGTATGACGAATTGCAAAGTGCGAATGAAGGACTCATACATATTACATAAATCTATCAAATCTGCATGCTCAAACAAGGCACGCAATTCACTCGCTCAAGATGTGATTTAATTTGAACTTGGAATAGAACAACGCATTGTTATTACTTATTATGCACTTCGCATGCTCCATTTTGATGTCACGACGACTAAAATGTATTTTAGATACTCGTCAAAGGAAGTTGTCATTAAATAATTTCAAAAATTGCTGCTGTAATCAAAGTAATGAGATTTATATTGTGTTGTTATGCAACTGTTTGCACATTTTTCTCATTCAAGCATAGCATTATCTTAAATATATAATTATATGGGTTCAACTAAATCTAATTGGTTAGATTTTGGTCGGTGCTTATCTAACCAAGGTTTACAAACAAAATGTTGCATTCAGATCAGAGACGCACATCGCCTTTTTGCTTCAAAAGAAACTCAAAGCAAACCAGAGCGAATATCGATCGCGTTAAATTAGAATAGAAGTTGTGTAGTCAATCAATGTTAAGTCATCCGAATGATGAATCATGAAAGCGTGACATGTAGGTAAGGCAACAGGTAACACTCAACCCGACGAGACTACACGTGTGCACGTGCTAGTGCCGTTTTTATCCTCGATTGAAAAAAAATACCAAATTTTCACCTTTACAATAACAAAATGGCATATTTATGATCAAAGTAAATATTTACGCGTTTTATAAACTTGAAACATCTCAAAACTATATTTAGAATATCTCCGATTTTAATTCTGTCATTCGATGAGAATTTTGCTGAATTTGCTTTGATCTTTCATCGATTATATTGACTCGCCACATACGTTTGCACTTCAATGCTTTCACATCCAAAAATATTATGACATTAATCGTCATCATCTATCAAGCCATCAAATTTATTATTCTTTTGTTCTAGACCACAGTAGAATAATATGGGTTTAGAATTAGGAAATGACCTAGAATGCAATTATGCACAACAACAATGCTGTCTACTATAATATTCGTTTTGTGATAACGGTAAAGGTAATATGGAAATGTGAAAAATCAATGTGAGAATGACAGTTCTATTTTACTACCATGGTCACCCGCAATATCAAATTATGATTTCGTGGAAAATAATTATATAATTTTTATTTTTAGTATGGTAACACTATCAGTGTTTTATCAATTTTTTGATGTTTTATTTTTGACTTTTGAACTTCAAAATCAGCGAAATTTTGTTGTGAATATAATTAGACGTGTGATATGCTAAACGAACAATTATCATATGTGTGTGTTTTTTAGTAATAATCACGTGACGTTTGAATTTGTTTAAAGAAAGGTTACGCATAGGCAATAGAAAATAGAAAACAAGTTTAGGCGCGATGTGTAACTCTCAAAACCGGTGTCAAAAATGTAAATGCTTAGCATACGCTATGATTAAATCTTGCGGTTGAAACATTAGAAACTGTTTCGCATTTGAATGAGTAATTTTGTTGTTTTGACAAATTAAAAAACGCAAAAACGCAAAAAAAACTTACCATTATTTGTACAATATCCCCAATTCGATGACATTCTGAAATTTAAAATATTTAATTACTATTATTTGTTATTTTTTCGAGAGAGAAAAAAAAATAGCAAGCGTATATTATTTGATTAATGATGGTTTATTATTTGCGCATTAGCAGTGCGTTTAATTGTTGACAGACAACATGCATGTGATTTAATTACGATGAGCATGGAAAATTGCCGGTTGCACTTTTCAAATTACCATACTTCAAGGATACCGTATAATTTATGTTATTCACTCACTTACTTCTTTCACTTTTTGGTTGTTTTTTGTTTGCGCTGATGCACTTAGGATATTTAGGCACTAATTAAAGATTCGGAGACAAAATGACGATGGCAGCGCGCGCTCACCAGAGTTATCGACGCAGTTTCAACCTCAAGTTCAACAGCAGGAAAACAAATATTCGTTGGAGCGACCGCAGCACCGTGTCTATCAGCGTATCCTTTCCCTATCCGGACGAGGAGGATGTGAAAGTGTGCGAGCCGCCGGCCGTTGTATAAACGGATTGTGTTTGTGTGTGTCTGTGCGAATGCTAAGCAGTGTGCGATGCTCGCTATAAAAGCGATTGGTTGTTTTTCGTTGTCATAACTCCCTACCCAAGTTTAGCGCTACTTTATTCTAATCAAATTTGCGGCGGCACGTTGAGTTATAATAAGAAAAAATATATATATAGTTTTTCACAATTGCCCACTTGTTGTTTTACCTGCACGTTTTAAGGAATGCTTTGATGTGTTCAGGGTAATAATGCGCATTGATAACTAAACTAAATATGTTTTATATTATCAACGAAGGTGGAAGTTTCGCATTTTGTCATAAATTTGCATAACTATGAGTAAATATAGTTTGAATTGTTAAACATACTTGCGTTGCTTACAAGTGAATAAAATTTATAACTGGGAATAATATTGCAATTGTTTGGGATTTTCCTGATTGTTGGATATTTATCGATGTTATAGGTTTGTTATTTAAAAAAATGGTTTCAATGTTAAATACTAAAAGTAAAAATAAAATTAACATAACAAATAACCAGAAAAGTTGGGTATAACTTGAAAATTTCATGAAATTAATACAAATTCATGTGTAAAATATAATAAATATGGCTTTTCTTTGAGTATAACAACAAATTTAAAAAAAAGTTAATTAAAAGATTAAATAATATAATTAAATATTTATAAGTAGAATTTTCACTTTTAAAGAGCATTGTATATTTTTATTAACTATTCCTTAACTTTATTATTCACTTTATGTTATTTACTTTATTAACTTTTCACAATAAAATAAAATAAAAACAAATAAAATGTAATATTGTAATGAATTTATCAAATTTGTATTTATAGTGTTTGGTTCTACACTGTTAATATTAAAAATTCGTAATTTCTAGAAATTTTGTTCTGATACCAGTGCCGCGACTATATTTATTCAAATAAATTTAATTATAACCGGTTTTCAAATTCCTCTCAACTTTATTGGAGTGCAGGAAAAATTACAATCATTGTTGATTCGATGTAAATGTTATTCATTATGCACTATCTCAAATAGTAATAATTTAATGCAACAATAATAATAATAGCATTTGTTATTGTCAGTAAAAAGTATAACTGGTTATATAATATAAATACTAACACGAAATTATTTGAGTGTTGAATGGTTTTCCAATTGAATTAAAATTGTGAAACTACTTTCATTAATAGGAATGGTTCCAGGTAAGTATAATTTAAATTATAGACGTTATGAACTTATGAAATTGTGTTTCTCGATTTAATCAATTAATTACATGAATGTCAAAGTTGTTTCTACATCATGTAAAATTGCTGTTAAATTTTTATCTTTTTTAATTCTGTACTTACAGAGTTCACAGTTTAATTAAGTTCAAGATAATTATATAGATTTAACAAATCGTAAACAATTAAATTTATAGTAATAATTATTTTACTTTTATATTTAACTAATAACGACAATAATTAAAGATTAAAATTTGCGCTATCAAATACTGCTATTACCACTTCAATAAACAAATTAAAGTACGCATTTTATCAAAATTTGTTGCTGTTATTCAACAACAATCAAATTAGAACCGCCTTATTCAATACGTTTAATCCAATCTTCTCTCGGATCAGTGAACTAACTGGAGCAACTACATGTCCGATATTGTCACATCTGTCGATTAATCAACGTTTCAATCAAGTAATGAGGTTTAAAAATTGTGACGTCATTCAGTTTACCTCTTACCTCTTCAGTCTACCTCTTACACATTTAGTAGGTATCTAGATCACTGTGTGATAACTAAGATTCCTGCTCTACAGAAAACTTTGCGTTCGTTTAGGTTGATTTTAAGTAAGAAAATGTTAGAAAAACTTAATTATTTAATTTTTATGGATTTCATAGCTACAAACTGAGGTTAAAACCGATAAAAAAATTATTTTTGCCTGTTGCCCTCTAGTAGATAAAAATAAGGTATTGTGCCAAATAAATGCAAATTTTCATTTCAACAAAATACGAAACAGAAAATAATTTTTAAAACAAATTGATTAAATTATATGCAAAAATAAGTCAAAGATAAGAATGTATCAAGTATGTATATTACTGATGGTTCACCAACATATTAAATAAGTAATGCATATGATATCGCCTATCCGCATTGCCACTTATTTATGTTAATATCTCAAGGCCGGCACAATTTACACCACAACTAAAAATATTATCACTTATCGCCATAAACTTATATAATTTGCGTGTACATTCTAATATCTACCACACATTACATTATATGCGATGCATTCGTGTTAGATTTGTGCAAAACATATGAAATTAGAAAACAAATCAAACCAAACGTACCCATTTTGCACATGATGCTTGTAATTGTTGATGTAGTGGTTGTTGTTGTTTTTCAAGTTGAGATTCATTGTTATTCACTTAGAGGCGCACGTTACTTTTTCACCCTGCACTCGATGTTTTCAGCTACCTGTTGTCCTGTTGTCTAGAAGCGACTAAACCAAACCATGGCTTTTATTCCAGTTCTGCATTAAAATCTATATCGATTTTATACACCTCTAAATACACTAAAAATACGAATGCAATGTTTTAATGTTAACAAACAAAATGTCGCGTGTGGGGTTGTCAATAAAACAAATATTAATTTTGCTCCCAAAAGAAATAGAAAACATATAACTGTGTAAACCGATAGATTATTGTTATAAAAGTGAGTAATGTTTTAATTTGAATGTAAATGTGTTATCGCTTCACCAAACGGAACTTGTGGATCCGTTGACATTGACATGGTCAGGATGTTGCCAAGTGTAAATTAATTTGATGCAATAAGTTACTGCTTATATTTTCCTATTTGGGTGTGAAAAGTAGGTAATATTTATACAAATTAAATTCTAGAAGCATGTTTGTCTATCATGTCGAAAAATAAAACAAAATTTTGACGTAATTTAAAACCTTTAAGGTTAAATAATTTTTCTACTAAAGCGGCCAAGCCGTGAGTATAATCCATTATCTACGGGCATTATCTACGGACAGAACTTGCGCCTGCGCATTTGCCTAGAGCAGTACAAGATCGTATGAAATGCCATGCGTCAAACACGTTAAAGATACTGCTGCTTGATAAAGAGAGACAGTTAAATTCTCAAATAAATGTTATAAAAAGTTCTGTTTACAAACCATGTACTAATTATAAGTACATGGAAATTCAATTTACACATAATTACCAATACATAAAAAAAACTTTTTTCTTTTTTGAGCATTCTAGACAATAATAGTTTGTCACGGCAAATATTATTGATAGGAAAAGTATTAAATGTCAAATCAGAATAACGTAGTAAAGTTATTTGGGTTAAATGCTCAAAAGAATAAATAGTTCGAATGTTATATGTGAAACATTAATTTTACTTACATTTAATATGAACGTTTGTAAGTAGAGCTGGTCACTTGTATCAATATCATTTAGTAACTAAATGACATTCACTAAAAATGCAAATCGATTGATACATAGCGTGTCTAGATTTATAAAAGCGGGCTGAATAAATTGGTAAAGAACAATATCGTTGGAAATGTTCGTGCGATGGTAAAATTTCGATAATGACAGCGTACATGACATTATCCATGCAAACTGACGTGCGACATTGTCCGATATTTATTTAATTAACTAGCTTTATACATGACGTTATCCCATAAAGCTTAATGATTTTTGGATTGTTTGTTATGCTATTTGTCCATCTTTTGAGTATTAATTACTGTCTGATTATTGGAATATTATAAATTATAGTACATACTTGGAGCATTATTAAGTTAGTTTGAGAGTATATTAATCAATTGAGTGTTTAAAAACGTTTAGGCACGTGCTGCTTACGCTATTTTTTCTACTTCCTTTCTATTTCCACGTTTAGTCTTTGTATTTTAAGTTTTGTATTTTAAAAAGTCACCCCGTGTCTAAAACCCGTGAAAAAAGTACTTTAGTCACGGCCTTGATCGTAAAGTACCACTTTTTGTGCCTCAAAATCATGGAAAAACTGGCGCTTTAAGGGTGAAAGTAGAAAAATTAATTTTTACCATTAAATTATAAATATTGAGTAAAACTACATATATGTTGATACACTTCCACTCATGTTACGCCATTAGCAAATACATACGAGTAAAATGCGATGTCCATCTGTGCTGCTAAAAATATTATATATTTTGTTTTTTATTTTTTGAAAAAATAAATTGTGTTTAAAATATTGGTATAATCATATCTAGTTCGGTTCACTAATCTAACTTAAATTACTAAATTACAATTGAAACGCTAGAAAATTACCTTGGGTTGTACGTGTCCGCAACAAGAGCACAAATTAAAGTCACGATTCTCATTGTCATAACGCGCTCATTATCACTTCATCACGAATTGTAATATGCCGTGCGATGCGCAGTAAAAATAGTACGGTTTTCGAAATATACGATCTATACAAGCATACTCCTAAAAGAAATTGTAAAGTATACCACGTGCAATATTAAAAAATAACCATAAGAGTTAATAAACATTTTGCTAAATAATTTAAGTGTGTTTACGTATTCTTTAAATTTCAATATAATAATCTGGGTGCTTTAAGATTAGTAACGGAAGTAAATATTATAGAGAAATTAGTAATGGGTTTACGTTAGTACTGTAACTTTGAAGCCAGGTGTTTGTTTACGATTATTTTTGCGTAAAAAATACTGAACCAATTTTGGTCTTGGTATTTTTCTGTTAAAAAATATTAAAATATTAAAATGAGGGATGAAAATTGGTATGGAAATTTAATCATACTTATAGTTATATAAATCGAACAGATATAGCATTATTAACATTTTTAATTTTTAATACGAGTTTAAGTCTATTAACAGAGTCCAAGAAACAAGAAAATAATTAGTTGCAAATGTACAGCTGGTATATCATTTTTATAGTTATGACCATGGTAACATCAATAATTTAAATGAATGGTTTTCAAAACGGTGCAAGACTCTTTCTCTATAACTCAAATAAAGTTGTGTTAGTTACACCATTTATAACACTAGAACGGCTGCACCAATTTTTCTGTATTTTAATTTGTTTTTGTACAAAACTAACTTTTGCTCGCGACTTCGTCCCGGTAGTGTTTAATAAAAATGTAATTCGTTTTAACTCTCTTGTTCTAAACATAATATATGTCAATTCAATCAGTAAGATTCGTAATTTTATTTTAAAGAAATTAATTATATAAACAATTGCTAATAATGCACTTCCCGTCATCTCGGATTCAACTATTTAACTATAACTAAGATTGAATCTCAATGACAACTTTTATCTTATAGAAAAGCGCTGTCTTTAGGGTTTCCCGACAATTATTCAAATTTTACTGGCCGCAAAAACCATCCTTGGACTTTAATGAACATTTTAAAAAAAGAATTGGTCAAATTTTTATATTATAGATAAGATATGCACTATAAAACTATAAAAAATAGCTTAGGCCAGCTAGTATATTATATATCATAACTGAACATAATTAAAAATATGTTTACTATTTGTACATATAGATGTAAACTTTTATTTTTTAGATTTCAGTATAAAAGTTATCGCTTTTAGAAAAATTAGGATTGATGTTATAATAAAACTTTTTACATTATGCTACTGGATTAAGCCATATCTACATACTATACACGTAGATTATAGATAGTATCTTTCTTTAGTTTTCGAATAAAAGCTGTCACAATGAGCATACGTGATTGTCCATTGTACCACCTAAATGAAATTGTGCATTTGCCGTATAATAATAAAATTGTTATTGTTGTATCATCAATGATTATGGTACTGTTACGGAGATGATATGTACCTACTACCAACCTTTAGACATCATAAGCTAATGTAGCCAGCAGGAAAATTAAGACCAGCGGGTGTTCAAGTTCAATACGATCGTGATTCCACTGCATCACACATCATTGAAAAATTACTTCATTACTGTGCATTAAAAGATTCGCACTGGTTCGCACGCAACAGAAGTCCGCAATCGAATCGATCGGTGGTTAATTCAGACGTAATGAAAATCGAAGCGTGGAATCAAATTGAACGATAACGTTTAGCATGCGGTTCAATAATGGTTATGATAACTTTTTCTTTTTGTTTGATTTGTTATTATGTTCGATTCTGATTTCTTATTTGCACTTGAAAGCGCTATGAACGAAAGCTGTGCGACTTAAAAGTGAAATAGTTTACTTCATAAAGTAAAGACGATCATGGGATTTAATATTGAGTTTAAATCAAAGTTCGGAGAATGCGAGTGGAGACGTTTGGTGACAAAACAAAATTGTTGGATTTCAAAAGATTTATTGTTGTAGGTGACATTACAGTTGTAAAGTATTCCAGTTTCTTGATAAATGAAAAATAAGAGAATTAAAGGTAAAAAATTGCAGTTTATTTTTATGGCATTTCTAAAAGATATAGAAATTTTCAGAAATGTAATAACTTTTTATTGGAGTAGCTTTAGAGAGTTTCGGATCCACGTACTCAACTGATAAAGGGACTGAGATTTTAACTTGATGCAAGGCAATTTGGTTGTGTTTTAAATCTATAATATAAAAATGAATCGCAAATTATGTTGGTAAGCGCATAACTCAACAACGTTGAGACCAATTTGGCCAATTCGTTTTTAAAATGTTCGTTGAAGTCCAATGATGGTTTTTACGGCGAGAAAAATTCGAATAATTCCCGGGAAAACCCTAAAGGCAGCCCTTTTCTATAGGACAAAAGGTGGCATTGAGATTCAATCATAGTTATAGTTAAATAGTTGAATCCGAGATGGCGCGCTGAAGTGCATTATTAGCAATTTTTTATATAATTAATTTCTTTAAAATAAAATTGCGAATCTTATTGATAGAATTGACACATACTATGCCTAGAACAAGAGAGTAAAAACGAATTACATTTATCTAAGTAAAGTTAAGTAAACACTTACTGTACGCTATACCCTCACAATATCGCTGTATTTCAAGAATTACATTTATATTAAACACTACCGGAAATATATATTTTGGAATTTTGCAAATCTAATCGAAACCAATATCAAAATATGAAATATTGAAAAAATTAATCTAGTTTATGTGAAACTAACACAAAATAGTCATTACCTCAAATATTTTGAAACTTGCATAAAGAAATTTTAAAATGTTATTTCTTGTATTTACACTTTTACACAAACGAATTAGGTGAAAAAATTGCGTAGGGAATATGTGTAATGGATACAGGTATGTTGATTTGGTATTCAAAATACAATGTATTGAGACGTGCAATACGCATGTAATAATAAATAGATCTTGTTGAATGCAGGCCTTTTCTACATGTATTCTTCATGGAACAGTTTTTTCTTTATGATCAACATTTACAGCCGGAACGCTGGAAACAACAAAGGCACCAATCGACGATTGAACGTTTAAACAAGAATCCAGTGAACAATGCCTTCCTGGTGATTTAGCAACTATGAGTGCCGATTATAATGTTGCGCCAGGGCGTAAAGCTTCTTCAGTAGTGAACTTGTAATAACCGCCGCTTCATGCCGCCAAGACGCTGCAATGACGATAGCAAAAGGTTGGCATTTTAGTTGAATTACTCTGGAATCTTAATTACTCATCGAAATCCGCTCGCCGCAACGGGATTCGTGCTTTACAATAAACTTCGATGATCACTACCAGTCGGCGCACATAATATCGCACCATGTGCCGTGTGCGAAGCATGAAAATCTTCTTTCAATAGATTTCCGTCGCGGAATTCATAAAAGCAATCTGTTGTTCGATCGGCCGTGGCAGTGTTTTTGATTTTCCAAAACTATGATGAGAAATGCATACATTCCAATGGCGGAATATTATCCCATCGCTTATTCATAACCAGTAAAATGCTTTTAGCTTTTCGTTTATATCTAGAGAACGCAAATAACTAATACTAACAAATATTTGCAATATTTTACTATGGAGAATGCAGAAATGTAATTAGGTTTTACTCTCTTGTTTTAGACATAGTACTGTATGTGTCAATTCTATCAATAAGATTCGCAATTTTATTTTAAAGAAATTAATTATATAAAAAATTGCTAATAATGCACTTCAGCGCGCCATCTTGGATTCAACTATAACTATGATTTACTATAACTATAACTACTACTATAACTATGATTGAATCGCAATGCCAACTTTTATCCAATAGAAAAATTCTGTTTTTAGGATTTTTCCGGTAATTATTACTTAAACGAACATTTAAAAAAAAGAATTGGCCAAATTGGTCTAGGCGTTGTTGAGTTATGCACTTTTAAACAGATTTTGCGATTCATTTTTATATTATAGATTTATTGATTAAAGTGTCACTTATTGTGTGTTGACACCCTAGAAAAAGTGGCACTTTAAAGGAAGAAGATGAAAACAATATAGAGTTTTATAATAAATTGTTGAAAATTGAACAATTTATGTGATATTCCTCTTCTAATCCTATTTATTCATTAAATATCTATGCTTAATTTGAGTAAACAAATAAATAAGTCAGTAAAAACAACACGTAAGTAAAATATAGTACAAATTAACACGTATATAAACAGAAGCCAGTGCCGCCGGTTAAAATGCATTCAAATGTAACGTTAAAACATTAAATTTGTTGATGGCATGTTGGTGCATTAACCGGCGGCAATCAAACACTTTAAAAATATTCATTAGAGTTATAATCTTTAATTAGGTTTTTAATTAGACTTATATAGTAGTCTCTGTTAATAATAAATTGAGTGATAATGTTAATGGTTGACTCGATGCGCTATGGCAGGTATATGATACAGATATGCGCGGTGGTCCGCGGCGTCGCGGTTCTGACCCGCGCACGGCGCTAATGCATACTCATATCAAGCGCATTGGAAGTAAGGTAGCGCGCTGCGGACATAAATACGCACCGATAGATAGTTAAGGCCGGCGAGAAGAAAAGAAGGAAACGTTTTACGTTTACGCACGGCCGCCGTGTCGCTTACATAAGCGATGTGGCCGTGTGTGTGTGGATGGAGTGGAATAAGGCACCACCGAAGAAGGAAGGAGCGGTGCGGAGTCGAGGCGGAGGAGCCGAAGAAATGAGGCGCGCGAGAGTAGCGAGTATGCACGGCACATGTAGATTGACAGTGGCAGTGGCCAAGATCATGCCATCCAGCTTACCACTTCTTAACATTCAGCACACGTTGGTCATCTTCAGTAGGCCTTAAGCATCTCCGCGAAGAAGCGAACCGTCCGAGTCGCAAGTCGCGCGCTTTGCGAACTCGTCGTGCTGATCTCCGCGCGCGCGCGCTCGTTCACCTCTCAAAGTGAAAGATTACGGCGTGATGTGAACGTGTGAGACTGTGTGCGTGTATGTACTGCACTTGGAAATCCGCAAGGTGAAAACTCATTTGCTTAACCCACGCGAAAAACAAGCCAGAAATGAGGCCGTGCAGAACGAAATTCAAATACCGTTTATTTGGCTGCGGCTGCTAAAATCTTTGCGACGCTTACACCGTTGAATAAATGCCTTCAATTTTTTGCAAATGTAGGTTTACGACGCTCGTAAACACGACGCACAGCAAAGCACATAAACAATCAGCAACGGAGACGAGGAGTTAAATTAGAAAAGCGTCGCACGGTTTGCCGTGGGTATGTGCGGTAAATTAATCGCGCCGATTAAACTGTTAGTGATGAATTAATAAATAATCAATATGTAAAACGCGCGATCATTATGTAAGCAAATCTAACACACCAAATCAATTGCCAACCAACCAAAAGACACATTTAAATGTAACACGCTCGAACTGTACTTTTAATCAATATTGTGATCGTCAACGTCGTACCTGAATTGTGCAATATATCTACTTAAGAAGAAAAAGAAAAAGAAAAAAAAAACGAAAAACGAGATTCTAGGCTAAAATTTATAATTTTAAATATTATGTTCCTGCCTCTGAAGGAGTACATCCAAATGACAAATGAAGCATCGTCTGATGGTTACCTATCGCCACGAGAATCATCCCCAGCGAGTACTTACACTTCGGAATCCGGCATGTCATCACAGCTCTACATGCCTAACTGCTATAATAAATCCACCGATGATTACTGGAGCCAGCGCCCGCAACACTACGGCGAAAACAATAATCTCTATAATTATAACAATAACAACAATAATTATAACGATAACAATACGAAATACAAAGCTCAATCAAGTTCAAACATGAACTACCACCAGCAGGACTATTACAAGTCATCCTATGACACCGCCGGTTCCAAGTACAAGAAGGACGTGAAGAAGTGTGTGAGTGTGGCGGCGCCGCAACCGGATGTGGTGAAGAAGCGGCGGTTGGCCGCCAACGCCAGGGAACGCCGACGGATGAATAGTTTGAATGATGCATTCGATCGCCTGCGGGATGTTGTGCCGTCGCTGGGCAACGATCGCAAGTTGTCCAAGTTCGAGACGCTGCAAATGGCGCAGACGTACATTTCGGCGCTGCACGAATTGCTGGAGCGCGATTGAGACTTTCACGCGCGCCCGCCGTACATGGAAACGTGATGATGAGATGATGACCGGCCAAGGAAATTTCGTAAGTGTGCCAATTGGGCAGAGTCGCCGCGCCGCGCGCGCGACACAGAAATATGGTTAACGTTCACCTCGAAAAAATCATCGACTTGACTTTATTCCGGTGCATGCATTCATTTTTTAATGCAGAAAGAGAAAGAGTAAGAGAGCTTTTGCGATGTGAGGACGTTGTGAAGCTTTGTTCGTTAGGAAAAAATGTGATTTCTCTTTGGAGATGCAATCAATCTTATGTGCAATATTTTCTGTTCGTTATGTTATATAGTTTAAGGCAATTTTTAGTTGGGATAAGTGCAATAGTTAATTTTAAATGACGTTAGTTTCTAAAACGTTTACTTAAGTTTTTTTAGAGAAAATGAATCAGAATAATAAATATCTAAGTTTAATTGTAAATAACTCTCTGTGCAATAATTAGATTTACAAAATTTTCATATTATGAGATTAAAAAGTTAATTCAAAATCTAATCATGAAGGAAAATTGCTTTTTGCATTAACCGTTTTTGAGTAATTAATTAAAAACTGGGACATGTAAGGGCGCCGCGAGTATTTCGATGGACATTCACTTTAATTAAATTTTAAATGAAACACATCAAATTTACTTTGGATTCATGAGTTTGTCATAGTTTTACTGTTATAAAAGTCATTAATTAAAACTATGAAAGTAAACATAGTAGGTAAATGAAAATTGTAGAAAATGTAATATTCAAATGATTGTTGTCGGTCATATCAATTAATATCATCACTCTGTTTCCTATCAAACAACATGACTGACTTACGAGTATGCGAATGCTTAAATGTAAAATAGCCGCTCATAATTTAAATTTAAATTTACGATATTACTTACGGTAATCCGGCCTGTGCGTGTGCTCCAACTATAAAAGTATTCATATTAGGAGTATTTATTGACCATTTCCAATGAACCAATAAATCATCGAAACGAAGATAGAAAATGTAGTCATCTAGTCTTTTATGGCTTTTTATTTTGTTTACGATGAAATGCGAAGAACGTATGTGCAATATTTTAAGACGCGATTAAGTCGTAATGTGCTGATTAGTATCATAAACTTTTCGACTCTGTGCAATATTTACAAGAATTAATTTACAATGTTTAATTTAATTAGGATGTAAAAGGCAATTATGCATGACTGAAATCACTTCGAGTGCGCGTCCGCACGACGATTTCTTAATTAAAACTAGTTTTAGTTTTTGATCTACACCACGATACACATTCCGTGTCGATGAGCGTAAAATCGATTAATGTAATTTGTATTCATTTCTCGGCCACATTCAACTCGAATTATAAAGAAAATAACAGTTGACTCATGTATTAACATTAATCATTCGATAATATGGACAGCATGATTGAGACTTAAAACTGTATTAGAATCAGTTTTTTCTGTATTATTTTTTGAGTTATAGACAAATGACTAGCAAACGAATTGATATTAAGAGTTTTGACGATGATCAACATTGAAAACTGTTTGAAATCGTCGGTAGCTCGGTGTATCTATGCATAATATAATTAGTAGGTGCTAGAGAAACTCAGTTAATTACAAGTAGTAATCATCGTCATTAAATGTAATTAAAACGCACAATAAATGTCAATTTATTAATATGTATACGAATCCGACAAGTTTGTTGCGCTATGTATGAACATTAGCGGTTTCTCCGGTTAAACAAAATTAGTATTAATTTAATACCAAATTTGTTACGAATAAAACTATTAATGTTTGCAAAACAATTTGTTTCTTGATTGAATAATTACCAACTTTGGAGTTGGAGAAATAATGCAGAGGAAAGCCGATAGTAAAATTAATGAATTGCAAAAAACATGCGGCGATATTGAATTTAAATATGTTTAATATTTATTGCGAAAACAAATTAGTGAATAGATATGTTTGGAGTTTCATATTCACTTCTTATTGTTTAGTAAAGATGAAACTTGAATTTAGCCACCGCAAGTCAACAATTAAATAATTTATTAAATGATTAGTTTTGTGTTCCTTTGTGTATAATTTGTAATTAAATATTATTGTCTTCTTACTCTATTATGACGCGAGAATAATTGTGACAAGCAATTAGTTACTAATTAAGTACTTCTTCATTCTTATTACACACAAAAACAGAATCCCCATTGCTTTTAACTTTATATGCGATAGTATATTACTCGACAACTTTTTCTAATTTAATTTTTGCGTATTATTTAAAGTTTATTATAAAAAACAAAAATTATTGTAAAAATACTTTCGGCATAATAAATTAATAACTAAATCGCATCTTTTAACGCGTCACGCAAGTACTAAATATAATAACTTTTGTATGATTAAGTTAACAATTTTAATTGATTGTAATATTTATTTATATTAATATAAGTTTAATATTTATGATATAATTATCTAATACTTAATTATTATATTCTCTGATAGTTATTGTAATAGTTGTTTCTTACATTCTGTTATTCTTGTTATTGTTTTATACTTATGTATCTCATGAATGTGCAATATTTTTATTATGTTAGTTGAAATATATATTTATTATAAAAACATATTTACACAGTTAATTATTATTAGGATAAATGCAAAATGCGTATTGGTATTCATTATGAAATTGCTGACCTATCCATTAACCTCCAGTTAAATTTAATTTTTAAAATTTTAACTTTTCGAAAAATGCATCGGAAATTTCAAAATTTTTCTATGAGAACGGTAAGTAAAATTAAAATTTTAATAAAGTATTGTGAAATACGCGCAAATAAAATGTTTGATACTTTTTGATGTGTGTTTATTACGAAATATTGGGGTCTGAAAACAAAAAAAAACTTTATTTTTAATATTAACCTTAACCTTAAAAACTGGTAGGTCTTTCCCGTCCAATATGATTTATATTAATGAACTGTCTATTAACGTGTTCAGCTTCGTAATTGATTCGGGCTCAATTATAGTTTAATCACTTTAATAACCCGAAAACGTATTTGCACGTTGTCCGCTGTACCAATGGCCGCCTCTGTTATGATGTCGAACAAAAGGTGTTTCTGACGAATTCACCTGCTAATGAATGTGTTTTGTAGCGCATTACATCACGATTAAGACCAAAGAGACAGCAGGTGTGTATTATTCTCGGACGGACCGACGGTCGACCAGCGTTGCTTCTTCTTCTTCTTCTTCAGCGTCGACGTTTTGCTACCGATTTTCTATTGCCATGTCCGCATTACATCCAATGAATTAGGTGTAGCTACACGTTGTAGATTTACAGTGCGTATTGGCACAAGCACACAGTCAGCGCCCAGTCGCTGGAACGATGGGCGATACAAAGACGGGTGCCGTTATTGGAGAATTCGGTAAAATACAAAAAGCTAATCACAGGCGAACGCGATATAAAAGCGCTGCGTTGCATTAATTACTCTTCCGTATCTATTCATTTGTTGGGTTGCTTTGTGTGCGTCAGCTGAATAATTTGCACTATTGGTTCACACGTGCGTGCGCTTTTTGCACATCAACGTAATTTGTCGTGAAAATGTTTGACTGCCACATCAATATTCCCAAAGGGTATTTATTGTGGCTGAATATAATACTATATTCATAAAGCGGTGTAACGGATGTAAGATGCCAATCAATTTTAAGAATATTATGAGGTAAATACTTGTATTGCACAACTATTATCAGTTTCCTTGGAGGTAGTATTGGTTAAACGGTATATGAGATATTTTATAGAATTTGCACATTTGTATTGTTGTTGTGAAACTCTAAAATTGATTTTTTTTACCAGAAAAACATGAGAAGAACTAATCAGCAATAAAGCTTACCAAATTATTTTTATTTTTAATAAATTACAGCCATTCTTTAATTTAGGAACAGAAATTTTTGGGAATCGAAGTGTGAAAACAGTGTTTAAAGAAAATTACAAGATCTGCAAATCTTATGACTTAATTAATAATAAAACTAGTTTTAGCTTGCGACTTCGTCCCGGTGGTGTTTAATAATAATGTAAATCCTTTTTACTCGCTTGTTCTAGACATAATATGTGTCAATTCAATCAATAAGATTCGCAATTTTATTTTAAAGAAATTAATTATATGAAGTATTGCTAATGCAATAAATGCACTTCAGCGCGCCATCTCGGACTCAACTATTTAACTATATAACGGGCTGTTTTTAGGGTTTTCTCGGCCATTATTAAATTTTTTCTTGCCGTAAAAACCATCTTTGGACTTTAACGAACATTTAAAAAAAGAATTGGCCAAATTGGTCTAAGCGTAGTTGAGTTATGCGCTTACCAACACATTTTGCGATTAATTTTTATATTATAGTCTAATCAATTAGTTGAATACTACAAAAAATACTACTTTAATCTTTGACCAAAATTATTGCAAATTTCTCAATATTAAAATACGTATTTTGACTACATTACAAGAGCAATATGTTTGTATTCTTCCTGTTAATACAAACACACACACTTTACTAGTGCGTAAAATACTTTTTAATACACTAGTTAAATAAACTCCTATTAAACATGAATTTGTACAATGTAGTTTGGGATTATCCCGACCGTTTTAACAAGCATTTCTAAACTAAACATAAAATAGCCGTTTCCGTTGGTAGAATATATATTGCTTGGTCTAAAACTAACATTTTCCATCTATTAGATGTGTGCGGCTTGCAGGCATTACAAATGTTTGTAAGGTACAAGCGTTATTTAACAGCTTCCTTTGCCGAGCGCGCCCATAAAGACGAACACGCGAGAATATCTTTGAATGCGATTTCAATTACATCGATTTTAACTTTGGTGGTCCGATTGAAAGTTCACCCAATGAAATTATCCATCGTTTAGGCCGATATTCTTTGAAATCGGAGAATGCACGTTCACGAGTAATTTGCTTTAAGTCATGTCACGACGTAGTCACTTTGTCGTCGAATGTTGTAAAAAGCCGGAATTTTTGCGCTGAAAGTGCATGAGTTGCGCGATTGTAACATAAAGTGACAAGCACGAAAGAATCGTCATCCAAGCGACGACAAGGGCAGGTTAAAAAATGTTTCACGACCAGCTTCAATGCGAAAATAACAATGCGTGGCGAATATCGTCTGAAGTCTTCAAGTTCGATCGAAAATTGTTATTATCTACCAAATGATATAAGATTAATTCTTCCTTATTGATTTCCTCTATAGTTTACTATAGAATATTGTATTATGCGAATGCGTTTTTCAATTACGAAGCGAACAAAGCATAAATACCAAATGAACTCGCATACACAGCATTCATTGTTTATTAGCATTATTTCATTAACCATCATTTACCGCTTTATGAATCGATCTAGCATAACGACTTCGAATGGAATTTTACTGATATAAATTGTTTCTACGTGTATGCATCGCATCATCGGATTAGATTGAACTCGCTCAATGGTCTCAACTGATTTACGCCGCGTGTGCAACTTAACGAAACAGTATCGGCGATTTTTTCGCATTGCAACAATTTAATCGTATTAAGACTTTCATTCCACAGCTTGTAACCTCTTTCTTCTCAGCGATAATTCCGATTATAACGAAGTAAGTAAGTATCTCAATGGTTTCATATAATTTGATGATGCTTTTTTAGTTGCAAAGTGGAGCAATAATATAGGATGTAAAATCGTCTGGTTATGGCTTTGCCTTATGGTGGGAATTGTGAACAAGGAGTGGTAATAGACTGAAAATTAGTATTAAGATTACACACTTGTTTTGACAAATTACGCTTCAGATTTTCACAGGCACTAAAAAATTCAGAATATAAGTGAAATATATAATAATTGTATTGTGAATATGTAAAAACACAAAATGAGTTAAAACGAGCACTATATGTTTAAACGTTACTTTTTGACGTTAGTTAGTACTAACAGTGTAAAATATTTGAAATGTGAAATATATTCCATATTACGCGTGCAAAATGTGGCTTTTAGATACGCAGAGTTAAAAATTGAATATGATGGTCTGTTGTAAATAATTATTTTGTACAGTAAAGTTTAAGTTCTGTTCTTGTGCAAGTACGAAATTTTTTTGTGCAAAACGAAAGTGAAATTATTACAAATTAAGTTTTATTCTCTAAATAAATTGATTAAAATTAATAAAAACCTAATAATTGATTTATGCAATAAATCCAAATTTTATGATGCACTATTTTATGCTTTAGTGGTTTTTACATCCTGTAGCGTGAGGTAAGTATCTCGTCAGCGGCAAAAAAGCGACTCCTTTAATTGGAAAAAAGTTCTCACCGATTTCAGCCAGCAAAGCGGCGGACACTTAGCAACAATAGGACTACTTAATTTGCTGTTGGGAACTATTCTTGATAGTAAGGTATTTTACAATGTGTTAGCTTTTTTTCCTAATTTTATCAATTTGACGATTTACACGCCATTTTTTATAATGGAATTCTCAAGTGGGCCATTGAACATGAAAGAATATCGACGCTTGTCTTTTGTGTCTGTACAAGGACGAATTCGGTGGGATAATGCATAAGCATGTAATAAATTCCTTTGAAAGTTGAATATTTAACCTGAAAGACTGTAATGGCAAAAAAATAAGAACTACAAATATTAAGCATTACGTTTGTAGGTTATGCAATTTCTTATATCCTGTTTTGTATTTAGGTTTTGGAATAGTTTATTAAAGCGGAGTTAATCAACTCTATGAAACAACATTAATTAATTAATTCGCTATCATGTCTTGTATTATTGCAAGTGGATCCTTTTACGTTGATGTAGGCAACCAAATTTACGCGTAAACTAATTATCATGCAAGACAAAATAAATATATAAAATTATTTATATTATAATATTGTGTCCTACCATTTGGTTATACATTTTTTTGTTAAAACAGAAACCCACAAAAAATTCTTATATTTATCTCCATATAATACAACATAATTCACTGAGTAATATTAAGTTATTAACTACATTTTAACTTTTTTTATGTTTTGTAATTTGTTGGAATAAATTTTAGATCAAGACTATCCACTTCATTAACTCTAAAACCATAATTTTTAAATCAACGAACATTTAATAGCCTCTAATAAATATTGAGATTTGTATTTATTCCACGCTCGTAAATATTGATGAATTCATCCCAATTAGAATAAAATTTGTCAATATCTAATTACTTAAATTTGTCACCAAAATAAATAAATGTAAATTTGAGTTCTCTCTGTGAGAACCAAATAAAAAGCAAATTTATTCTCACTTCCTAAGTAGCAATTAAATCATCGCAACGAAATAATCAATATTTATAAATTTAAAACTATTTTGATTGTCCATTCGCTAAACTACTAGTCTATGCAGTGCATGTGAGCGTGAGAATGGTTTCACTCGGCGACGCATTTGATTTGATAGCATTCAAAATATTTACGATAAAATCAAATCGTAACAAATCAAAAAATCAACATGCAGAGCCGCTACCTGATTTAGTCTCCCGTGTGACAAACTCTCCCACAGTATTAATACCAGCCGAAATAAATAAAAGGCATTTATCTTGTGTAATTAATTTATTCATTGTTCGATGACTTCGTTTCGATTTGACAAATAACAGTTGGAGTTTGCATGGTAAAGTCAAAAATCAGAAGCTCACACACTTGATATTACACTCAGAATTCTCGAAGTGGAAGATTGGAGTGAGTGGAGCGTGTGCTTTCGACCAATTGGCCGGACATGAAATTCACAGGCAATCCACAACTCTAATTGGCATATTATCATTCATCTAACACGTCGTTTCTGTTATTGTTTATGTCATTCGACTAAATCATATCAGCGCCGCTGCGTCACAGCGCCGGTTTATTGCTAGCAATCAACCGCAAATTTGCATTCGCTCGGTAATACTCTATTAAACTAGTGTGGATGTTTATGAATGTGAATGTGGCAGTGGGCAGATGATGTAGAAAACAGAAATTTATATTCTTCCTAACGACTGTTTGCATAGTCAAACGTATACGTATTATAAATCATAATTTAAATCAATATTCTCCATTTTAATTAAGAAAAAAATCTTAACGTACATTATTTTTACTGCTACATTTTAATTCAGAAGATTTGACTTAAATTATCACGTAAAATAATTGAAACAAAAGTAAAAATGCAAAATTTTCAAAAAAATTGTTGTTAATAATTGAATTTAGCTAATCTAAATGTGATTAAACTTTATACTTCTATTTTTTACTACCTTAATAATAATAAAAAGCACATTTATTTAAAATACTTTGTATTTCTGATATTTTTTAATGTATTAATGGTTTTTATTAATAAAAAATAATGAATGATTAATTTAGTAATGAATTAATCTTCTAATAACTTTCTACGTGAATTTTTCTTCATAATTTTATTTAAATACATATTAATTTAAATGCCAATTATGCATGTATAATTATTTTCTTTTCATTTCGCTTCTCGGCACAAATTATATATATTCAGTTGGCACACGACTCGGCGGATTCAATTTGAAAAGAAGACGACCCGGCAGATTAACGCTAATAATACTTTGAAAACTTTCAGCGCACTAACAAATCTACACTGTAAGTACGCTCGACGAAATAATCACGTCTAACGGAACGCTGGACCATAAAGCAGCGATGGCCGCGCGGTCGTCTTAGCTCTCCGCGTATGCGTACGCGTGCATTATTCGATGAAGCATCATTTGCGCACGGCTATGGCTCCAAACGCGCGCGTTCTTTACCATTCTGAATCCAGCGATGCCGGCGAGTTGGAAAAAGGTAACAATTTAACAGCGCCAAATATGTATAAATATTTTTGTTGATTGTTTTGATTATTACATGCGGTAGCATCGTCCTCTGCGCGCATTTGTAACAAATTGATTAAATTGCTTGCGCATCAAAATTACTGAACTTATATAACTAGGCGGCAAAAAGCGGCGCGCGTTCGACAACCTGCCTGACGAGTTGGGAGTTAGATGTATGCGACCGATGTGCGAGGATTTAATGTGGCTGCTGAAACCATTTAATCAATGAAGCACTGCAATTAGGTAGTTTAGGATGAGCTTGAGCACGTGTGATTTGTTTTTTCATGATAAATTTAATGTCAGTGGAGTTTTTTTTAGGTAATTGTTGAGTACAATAAGAAATCTACGTTAATTTGATGAGAAATAAGCGAATTTTTAATGTTGGAAAAAGCCATGAAAATTTCTCTTAAGAGCGGGCAATTAGGCTTTTAATTAATTCTTAATATTAATTTTTGGCTTTAATATTTTTATAAATTATACGATGGACAGAAAAAATTATTTTGTAAAATGTACATTGTATTTTATAATCATTGCAATTACCATCAATTTTTTTCATTTTTTCGAGTGTAATACCTTTGTAATAATTAATTAAAACTGTTTGGCTTTTCCACCAACAGGAATTCTTCACAAATTCAAAAATTCTAAAAGCAAAAAGAATATATTTATAAAATTTTAATAAATGCGTATTAATATTCAAAAAAATAAAATCAATGAATATTTGAATGAATAAAATTTAAAAACTTTAGTAAAATATTCTAAACATTACACTTCACCAATAAATATTTCGAATATTTGTAATATTTATAAGCAATGTGCAGTTAAACACGCAAAAGAAACACAGTAATTAATGCGGTAATTAATTATACCAACATCATTAGTTGACACGTCGAAAGAAATAAATTTCACATTTAAACAGTTTTTATGTAACTTTTTAATGCTCTGCCAGCTTTCCGCACCGCATACGAATATAGGCGTATTGCGCAGAATATACAATGTATTGATAAAACGCAATATAAATCAAAGTGCACTGCGTATGTGCGCCTCATTCATAAATATTTCAGTCGAAAGTATAACGTGTGTGCTTTTAAACTAAACTTAATTATGGCGTCGACATAATCAAACAGTGAGTGTTGACTGAAGCGTGCTTGGATCATTTTTCCATCGTACAGTATGCAACTGATTGAACTTTTTTCATCCGACGCCGTAAAATCCTTCGACGCGCATTAACAGTAAGTCAATGTAATGATGGCGATGGCAATGCGATCGTTTTTAATGATGCGTGAAAAAGAAAACACAACTTGATGTGACAAATATAAATTACTCGAATGGGACAGTAATTGGTTTTTCAACCAGATACGAACTTATTGCTTACAATGACTTGTAACTTATTGAATTAAGTGCGGAAAAAATGGTTGAAAGTACATAGAAACGTTGAATTAATGTAAAACCCACCGCAAATGAATTCATCAACGACTTGTTAAAACAATATCGAAGAATAAGTTGTTGTGTCATTGTTGTTAAAGGTGAACATTTTGCATTTTGTAAAAGCTGCTTTGCTTTAATCAAGAGAGTTGTATGTGTACGCGCGCGCGAATAATATTTCCTGGTACGATTTAACTTTACACTAATACCATAAGCCGAGTTTGGATGGTTTGTGGACGCGCTTCAATCTCTAGAGACTTGGGAATAACTCTTCTGAAAAGCTATTCGACAAACTGCTATTTACTGCATTTTGCTTTATTAGTGCGTTAATTAAGTTGTTTCGTTTTTTTCAGGGTAAGCAGAAATAGCATAGTTAATCTTAAGTTTAGAAAATGTGATTAAACAATCACAAAGCTCATTTTTGCAAATTAATACATTTTTAGTTGCAAAATTAAATTTATCTAATTATTATATCAAATAACATGTTTGCAGTGGTATTATTGTAATCTTAAACTGTAATATTTTGCTTTTGCACTGGTGCAAACTCTTTACTTCAGTCACGACCTTGGCCGTCCGTGTTTAAAATATCACTTTTTGTGTCTCAAAACCGTGAAAAAACAAGTAAAAGCAGAAAAAGTAAAATAATTAACTGGAACATAAAATATTTTGTTCTTAATATATTCTCAGAATAGTAATATTTTTATTAAGTTTATAAATTAACACATTTACCTATATTTCTATCATAAAATACGGCTACAGTCCGTAAAATTTTTTCATAAACAAAAAAAAATAATTATTCCTGGCGTACTTACATTATTTATAATCAATTAAGCAGAAAACATGATGAGTAGCGCAAAACAGGTTCGTAGTTGTTCACTGATACTCGCACATTACAAGGGTCTAGGATTCTAATTGTAATTCAGTTATGAAAAGAAAGTCCGTTATGATAACTAATGGCGCCTTAATGAGCTGTATATCAAATGTTCTTTTTTCCACGTGCGATGCCGTATGCAAAATCAAGACTCTTCACGAGTCTCCAGCGTGTGCTTCTTTTACATATTCAAATCATCGATTGTCGGCGCTAATTCAAGCGCGCCAGCGCATGTAATGCTCGACGGCGGGCAGGATCGCAGCGTGTTTTATGCGCGTCGGCGCATTCTGTTCGAAATTAATTAGATATTAATTATGGCCACCATATATAAATAAACATTTTACAACACGTCCGATATTAAAATGGCATTGTGCGATGCCCAGCGCCGCTTTACGACATCAGCATTCAGCATCCAGTGGCGATTATGGTTCATTATGCACGTGGCACGTCGAATAGTATCGCACAATTAATCAGCTTAAATTGCACCACGTTTTAACTTTAAATATTCCTGCCGGACACCTTTAGGCACAACTCTATTCATGCGTAAATAATAAAACAATACAATAAAATGCGATAAGTTTTAATTAATTGTCAGAAATGCACATTTTTGCGCAAACACAAAGTGCAAACACCTTCAGTGACCTTTAAATTATTAATCGTGTTGAATATTAATTAATTAATGATTTGTTGAAATCATAATATATTGGCGTACATCGTCGAGCGATCTAAAATTTCAAATGAACAGTAAGACCCAGCATTGATACTAATAGTAATAATAATGATTTTACCAGTTTAGCCATATGTTGTCCAAATGTTAGCGGCGTAACGATCCCGGCACACGCCATTTCTTTAAATTATCATTAGCTGTATACTCGGTTACAATTGGGGCGTCGCGGTTCACGAGTTACCAACAGTTGATGCCCCGCCATGAGGTGCCTCTTTCGGGTTTTTATCACTTTTTTCGTAGTAAGTGGCGTCCGAGCGAGCGCGTGGCCGTTTGTCTCGAACATAAGGAGCTGCACGCTTCCCGCATTTCACGCAAGATTGCTTCGCATAATTATTATGCACCCTACACGTCAACGGCACGCGTATCGTATAACACACATAATTTTCTTGTTCGCTTCGTTCATTAAAAATCCATTGGGGATTGCGCAACCGATACACTGAAATCAATTTGGGATGCACTATTCAAAACACAACTTGATGGATGATCCTTCCAGGTAATTTCATTGACAAATATTCAAACAATGCAAGTATTGTTTTGGTATTATTAAATTGATATTTTGAAGTTTTAAATTTTTGTTTTATATGAAGTTGACCTTGAAACTAAAGAGAGAAAGTTTGTTAAACTGACAAAATAAAAATTCAAAAATTTGTGTTTTCACGATCAAATACTTTGTATGATCTGAAATCCAAGCGCGCCCTCTGATGAGCATTACGAGTATTATCATCTGTAAAATTGTTTTATTTTGACAGATTTGACAGAAAAAATTGGTTTTTGATGTAAGGATTTTGAAAGTGGCCGCTGACAAACTTTTATTTTATTAATTAGTTTTGTGGTAAGTGAATTTTAGGATCAAAATTTGCATTAAAATAGTTTTAATTAATCAATCGAATCCCATTGACTATAGTTTTCCTAAAAGTAAATAATTCCACTTACTCTGAATATATTTTTCATTGTTTGTATGAAATAATATCTTGCTAGGATTCTTGATGCTTGGAATTTGTTATTAATTAAAGTATGCGTCATAATTCTAAAGCACGAAATATTTCACGCACTTTCCTTGTTAATGATTGCACTTTGTATACAATCGCGCCTGCTCCGCTCTATTTTGCACCACCTATTGTGGACAAATAAAAATAGATGTGAATGGCAGCAATATAATAATAATCAGAATAATAATAGAGACGTATGTAAATTTTTGCGCCCGTAATGGGACTCCTCTCAATGCACGCATGCACGAACCTGAACATGAACGATCATCATCATCCAACGAGTGTATCGAAATAAAATAAAGCACGCCGACGAACGGAACAAATCTTAAATAATTTATATGTGCGACTGTGCGACGGTGCGAATGCGTACAACAATGTTCCCCGGCGTCGATGCGGGTTTTAATAACGCGCACCTGATGCAAATAATTCACTACTTCTGGCACGCATAGTTGCGAGCAATCATTGCAGGCATATTCAGTTCCTTATTGTGATTCGCGTCTGATTGTTTGCGAGCCCTGAAAATAAAAGACGCGTCGCATCACACTCGTGCATAATTAGCAAACGTATCTTCAATATTCTATTTATTTTATTTGGGATATTTTTGTGTATAGTGAATCACGCCGTCTAGAATGAGAAATAATGTTTCTGCATTTGTTTCGATTATGTTTGCGACCGACGTAAAGCACTTCTTCGCAGCGATACTCATGGGTCCCGGCTGATCAAACAAACGCTTTAAAAAGCAGCGAGCACACAAAGGAAAATCAAAAGCTGGTTAACAATACAACAAAAGGCGATATGCCGATGCAAAACAAAAAATCCAAAAAATAAAATGCAGAAAATTCCGTGTTCAACATTTGTAGACGGCCTGCCGACACTTGCATTCAGCGCAAACCCAACGCAACCACACTCTGCACACTTAAAACGAGTGAATAAATATAGTTAAATTGAGTTAAATGGATGTACGCGATGATTGAGTCGGCGCATTCCGATTCTGTCATTAAATAGACGTTTGAAGACGAGAGTTTGTCCACAATGTCATGTACCATGATGCTGTTTGCTATTACTTTGCAGCCAGCATTGCTTTCAACTTGGAAACTCATCGCGGAAATGAAGAGGAAAAATACGGCTAGGTTTTATTTTTATGATACTATTTATATCATTTTATGTGCTTTTAATAATGATTTATAATCGACGATACTATATTTTGTGTCACATAACCATGAATGCAATACGGAAACTTAAACTAAAGTTTAAAGAAAAATTAAGATATTTTATGGTTAATAAACAGACGAAATATCATTTAATAATACGTTTAAAACTTTCCTTATATGTGAAAATATAGGTTCACAACCAGTGTAATTTAGAAATCATTCCAACAAAAATTGATTGACTTGTAGATTCTACTGAATATTCTTTCATCGCGGAAACCAACTGACAAATTAATTTAAACGTTCGTCAAACTTGCACAACATATTTATATTAAATACATCCCAATCATAAATTTGGATTTTTGACACAACTATAATTAAATTGTATTTGTATCATTCTATAGCTAAGTTTTCATCGCTTCATCAACAAAACAAGTTCTCACGCTGAATTTGACACTCAATTAAATGGTTAGGATATCAAAACTGTTATAAAGTGATGAATTTATTTTCATTTTGCATTTTTTTTTAGTTTTTTTTATCGTTTGGTATAACAGATTTATGTTTTTGGGACATTTTTCAAGTTTAAAGTCAATAATACCGCCTTAGAGAAGTTTATTAGGATAAATAAATCTATTGCACCGCACAATAAAAAAAGTATCTAAATTCAAAAAAATTAAAAAAATAAAAAATAATTTTTTTTCCAATTTAAATACAGCAATTTTGTCAATCAAATAATTTCACTATTACCTATGATATCAATTTCATCTGCCAAAACATAAAACTTTACTGTTTTCTTGATTTTACATTTTTTAACATACAAAATTTAGTCCACTGATGGATATACGATACTTTAGCAACGTACGTAAATTCAGTAAATGATTAATTATCTACTAAAATATACAAGCACATTCCAGGTCCGCGCTTCGCCAACAAAGACGAATTATTTATGAATATTTAAATTAAATTACAACATGTTACAAGACTCATTAAATAAATTACGGATTAATGTATGTGTTTAAAGGCTATAAGCAACACGTAGTTATGCTTGATGCTAGGCGCCTGTGAAAGATCGTTTATAATTTAAGATGAGAAATGTTTACATTGTGGGAATACATCATGGATAATTTACCTTTATTCTCCGTTTTTGAACCTAATGAAAATTTATGTCTCAAACATTTTGTTTTGAAACATTTACCGATTGCTTTCATCCAAGTAATTAAAGTTCCGACGCGCGAACGCAAACATTATACGATATAACATGATTATTAATTTGAAATGTTGCTTTTAGAATGGATCACAATTTGGCATAACCTCAATTAAACCTGAACTAACTGTAGTTTAAATGTTTGTAAGTGTTTAGTGTTGGATTATTTATTTATCAACACTTATGATTTTTGTCAAGGTAGACACGAAAATGATTGCGCATTTAATATTCGAACGATGAGCTATAAATCAAACGTTTTGACTTTTAAGTTACTGCTTTCCACCAAAAAGTAAATATATTGACATTGTAAGAGGACACACTTCAATATTTCTCAATTTTTTATTTTAAAGCCCACGCTCGATGACATTCCTAAACGTCTTCAACTCGTCGTGTACCTACTCGTATTGTTCAAAAGTTTTATAGTCCGTGTTGTTCAGCTCCATGAACACTTTCTCATCGTAATCGAAGCAAAACAATAAAGTTGTCAATGGTTGTCGGGCGTTGGTGCAGCTTTTATTGTGCAGTCATTCGAGCGTTTGGGTGACGTTTGTCGACGCGTTTAACAAAGCTCGAATGAAGATAGAACTGTTTATATAAACGGAGGCAACGCGAGGCTTTGCGGCGATGTCGGATGGTGAAGTCAACGCTAACATAACAAGAACTGTTTACGGTTAGTCAATGTCTATTGAACGGACAAGGTGTAATTATTGAATTGGTGCCCGCAGAATTGTGGACGCAGCGCTCGTTCCACTGCGTTCAAGCAGTTTCTATCTGGCTGGCGAGTGCCAAGATAGAAGTTTGCTTTGGAAATATTATAAATGTACGAATGCAAAGTGGCGATGGCGGTATGTCAATGATTTATTACTGTTTGATAACTCGCGGAAGTTTAAGTATGCAAACACACGCTGTAGTTGTTGCAAAACTACGAAAAGATTAGTGAAGATTAATTATTATTATCTGTTGAGTATCTAGTGCAACTGTTAAGATTTATTTGATTTTAGCATTTGTTGAAATTCTATTAAGAATTTATCGTGTTGAAAAAACTAATTGAAGCTAAAAACATCAGGGCATTGTAATTTTATGAGTATTGCTGAATTTAAAGTATAATTTAAATGAAATAGAACTAAACTGTCAACTGACATTAAAAGTTCAAATAAATGCAGGAATCAATTACTTTATACTTAGTATCAGTTTAGTATCATTTTCAATTTTAATTTAAAATTGGAAATGCAAATAAAATGATTTTTCTACTTCTATTTTTAAAGCGCTAGTTATTCCACGGTCTTTAGATACACAACGTGGTACTTTAAACACGGACGGCCAAGGCCGTGAATAAAGTATTTTACTCACGGGCTTTATTTACGGGCGTCAAGAATTATATAAATGAATAAAAATCACTGTCATATTATTTAAAAAGACAATCTTTTAAATTTCTGAATACTGTTATTGTTACTTATCGTAATTTACTAATTATCTTCAATAATTACAGTAAGATTTGTAAACATGATGCAAAAGTTAATGAAACGGAAAAAATCAATTTTAATTTGTCATCATTAATTAAAGATGTCTTTAAACATGTCAAATTAAATTTATTTTACGAGCTTTTAAATAATAAAACATTTTTGTTCCCGGTTTTAACACTTTACGAAATTTTATTATTTTGATATAGAACTAAAAGAATTCCTTCAATACTTCAATCATCAATTTGAAATGAATTAAAAAAAAACACGATTTGAAAAAAAAGTAAGACATGAAAGTTTGAACATTGAAACGTGTTGCAAATTAAAAGACCATGTCGGTGCATTAATTACCATCCTAATTATCATATTAAAGACTTTGCTAATGCTTGAGGCTTAATGCCTAGCATGAAAAACCTACACTCGCCACAATGAGAGTACTTACCTACATTAATGATTTCATAAAGAAATGCTCTTGCAGCGTCTGCAAATACGCAGCCTTGCTTTTTGCCCTTTCAATATTTAATTTCTGCTTCGGTGGCAAACAAGGCACACACAGTTTCTATAATTTCGCGTAGTGAAGAAGTGCGTCAGTTATTAACAATAAAATATAACGGCCGTTTTATGTAATGACGCTACTAGGTACTTTCCTCATTTTCCAAGCGGCAAACCATGGCTGAGCGCAAGAAAATAAAAGTGACGCTTATCTCGATCCACGACGTGGCTAGTGGCCGAGTGGACATACATATTCATGCGTAATCGCACGTTGATATCTAATCACACATAAAACATCTTAGAGTTAATTACGGCATCTGCCCCGGCTCATTACTATGCCGCCGTGTCGGCGCGCGCCACCACGTACTACGGTAAACTTATATACTTTAACGTAATGTAGGTCGTTCAAAGGGTAGCGTGTGTCTATTATACCATCCCTACTGCAAGCAAGCATCACCAACTGTTGAGTTACGGAATGATAGGTACTGTCACTGTATATTTATATAAAATACTAGTTAACCGGGCAAACGTTGTTTTGCCATATAAATTATTTCTAGTTTCTAGATAAATTTTAGTGTAGACAAAAAGTAACTTACTTATTATAAAAAATAGGGGTTGGTGATAAGAAACCAAAAATTTAGGGTTGTATGTATATTTTAGTGCCACATTAAAAGAATAAAAACAAAAAATTTCGACCAAAATTTAAAAAAAATTAAGGGTGAACAACCCTTATCACTTTGAGATATGAAGTTACCGATTCTCAGACCTACTGAATACGCATATAAAAATTTTCTTTGAGCGGGATGAAAATGATTAAATTACTAAAATGGCTATAAAGAAATAGGGGTTGGTGATAAAAACTAAAAATTTAGGGTTGTATGTATTTTTAATTCCACATTATAAAAAATAAAACAAAAGAATTTGTCCAAAAATTTAAAAAAGTTAAGGGTGAACAACCCTTATCACTTAGGGGTATGAAAAATAGATGTTAGCCGATTCTCAGACCTACTGAATACGCATATAAAATTTGGTAAAATCGGTAAAGCCGTTTCGGAGGAGTATGGAAACAAACACTGTGACACGCAAATTTTATATATATAGATAAGAATAATTAGTTTAAAAATGTGTGGAATATTTTTTGCTAACCTTCAGTAAAAAATTTAAAATTTTTATTATTAAATGATAAAATTTTGCCACAAAATTATGATACTTTTAAATTTAAGGAATTTTTATGATTACTGTACTAAAATTTAAATTTAAATGATTTTTTAAATATTTGCCTATATTCTATCTAATTATAAATATGAATATGATTTATTTAAATGAATGGATAATTTACCATTAAATTTATGATTACAATAAAGCTAGATTTAAAACAATACAATAAAAATACACATTTTTAGTTGTATGCGACAATACGAATGGTCCCTCACATCAAACCTTCCGAAGAATTCAAAAGAATGCCGAATTGATGCGTGTGCTGGCAGATGCTACCGCAGAAACGTACTCAGGTAAAAATAACACATCAATATAATTATTATTTAGTTTTCAAACCCAAGTATGCGACATGTTACTCAATATCCGTCATTTTTGATTTTTATTAGATTTAATCTTAAATTATTACTTTTTACTTAAATTTTAAATTTTTAATTACGGTCCTGTTTTCATATCGGGTGTTGAATCAACTGGCACGCGACACACGACTAGAGCAGGTCAGTATCAGCCCGAAAACGATCAGTTAGTAGACTTCCGCAGTGTGCACATGCACACACATGCGGATCGGCGCAGTCGGTTAGATTCTTATTCTTCAGTTGGTGGTACAGTCGACCACAACCCTTCACACAGAGTAACAGTAAAGTAACATATTGACATTAACACGTGCGATACCGTTTTAAATTTTAATCTTCAAATACAAGACATTAAACAAGTGAAAATGTTATAACAAAAACATGAATTGTTAGATTATTTAATTCAAACGGAATTATAAGGCGTTTAAAAAATTAAAAATGAGTTTTAAACTTCAATACTCTGATTATTACCATCCGAATTTTGTGAACATTGCTGATCTAAGTTACGAGAGCCAAATCAAGCTTGAGAGAGATTTCAACATTCGAATAAGCGAGGCGCCAACGCGTTACGTTTACGACAGCTTTTCTTCCACCACACCGACGTATGATTCTTACGATGATCAGTACTCCACCTACTTCGACATCACTTCGACGATCAACAACAACGAATCGGATTCCACACTTGATTCTTCCACTAAAAGCGGTGGAGGTAAAAGAAGAAAACTCGGTAAGAAACGTGCGGTTTTGGATGATCAACCGCCGTCACCGAGTGTAGTTCGCAAACGGAGATTGGCGGCGAATGCTCGTGAACGCCGCCGCATGAATGGATTGAATGAAGCTTTTGATAGACTACGTGAAGTTGTGCCTGTAATGGACGCCGATCACAAACTTAGCAAATTTGAGACGCTGCAAATGGCGCAGAACTACATCGAGGGATTGGTCGACCTGTTGCATCGCGATGCGTTAAGTAATAGATAAACACTCCGAATAAATGTTTATATTTTTAAAATCAAAAAAATCAAAATCAAAAAAAATTATATGATTTTTAAACTTGTGAGATAATATTAAGTTCGGATTTTGTTTGAGTTTGAAATCACTGTAGATAATTGTGTTTTGCACGTTTGTTTTTCTTTTCACTTATCAAATTATATTTTTGGTATTTTCAATTTAAGAAAAAGTTCTTGTCCAAATGGAGATGATACTCTTAATTTACATTTAAAAAATGCATAGCAATTGATTACATAATTATCAGACTTAATTTTAATTTTTATGACTTATTTGAAATTTATGGGTTTAGTATACGTTTTCTAGTCGACAACCAAAATTAACTATTATCAATTAAGCACGAAAATCACTGACAGCACGGAGTTTTATAATCTCAATGAAATGTGCACCACATGAATATTATTTTATAATTTAACTGTTTTTTAAAAGATTTCTTAATGATGTCTTAATCAATCACTCGCATTGTAAATATTTTAAATATTGAAACAAAACCAAAGATAATATATTTTTATATTTGAAAAACTGATTATATTTTTTGCCCGTTTTCAGCATTTATTAGAATTACATTTATCGGTAAGTAAAATCAATTAAAGAAAAATCAATTAAATAATGATTAATTAATTTTTTATTAGAAAAATAAATTTTAATAGAATTTCAACTAGGTACATAGTATTGAATTTGAATCAGTATCACATTTACAGCGGAAGAATTTAAGTATTAAATTTTTGAACTCAATAGTGATGATCAGCATGGCCGGAATATTTAACATCAGCGTTGAAGCCATTGTGTTTATCGGCGGTGTAATGAACAATACGGGTCCTGCCATCGGGTTGCTCCAGTTTGTACCATCCCTTGACGACATCACCATCGCGTTCCTCTTCAGCAGATTTCATATCATGAGTGTGGTGGTCTTCAACTCCATATTTGTATTCGTATTTTGGGTGATGCTAAAAATATTAAATTAATTCACACATTATAACATCATAGATGTGTTATTTTACGTGGGGCTCATGATGATCATGATGATCCCCGTGATGATAACTGTGTTCAACATGATTGTTGAATGATGCGTAAGAAGAAGCGTGATGCTCAGCAACAGCGCAGGCAACAACAGCAGCAAGAACCAAATACTTGAACATTTTTAATTTAGTGATGTTGTTGATTGAACAAATACAATACTTCAACTGATGATTTGTGGTGATTTTCGTTTGTATTTATACTCTTCGTTTCATAAGAAAATAAATTAAGTTATGCAAAAGTATTACCGACACACATATATTTACTCAAAATTTCATTTATGAATATGTTATTTTGACTGGTTTAACACATAACATTCGGTGTTTGTAATAATTGATAATTGGCATTTAATACGCAATACGACTATACCTACTTTTAATAATAATCGTAATTTACGGAAGTGCGTATATGAATTTTTAATTAGACGAAAAAATGTTTGAATTTAGTAACATGCATTGGGTTTGTAATATACATGTAGTCTGTATTTATAAATTCTGCAATATAATACCGATTCTTAAATAGTGTGAAATTATTTACAGTTTGAATGAAATTCTGGCACATTTAAAATCTATAGCATGGGCGAATAGTTTTGAAGCGAAGTAAAGTTACACAATTTTAATAATAAATTAACAAATTTATTTTTCAACTTCCGCCTTTAGGGCGCCAGTTTTTCCACGGTTTCAAGATGCAAAAAGAGGTACTTTAAACAGGGGCGGCCAAGGTCGTGACTAAAGTATTTATTGCCAGCAAATTTTGAAGATTTAATACACAAAAGTTGAAATACAAAAACCTCAACGTAGAAATAGAGTGGAAGTTGAAAAAGTAGCACGTTGCTAAATGTTCTTAAGCACACGATTGATTAAACGCTCACTACACTCTCTTAATCAATCCATAAAAACCAAAAACTCTTGCCCACTTTAGCCCACTTGATACTTAACATTCTATTACAGAAACATATAGTTTCAATCTCGCGCCTTATTCTATTTTTGTTTATAGATAAACTAGTTAACCGGGCAAACGTTGTTTTGCCATATAAATTATTTCAAGTTTCTAGATAAATTTTAGTGTAGACAAAAAGTAACTTACTTATTATAAAAAATAGGGTTGGTGATAAGAAACCAAAAATTTAGGGTTGTATGGTTGTATATTTTAATGCCACATTAAAAAATAAAAACAAAAATTTCGACCAAAATTTAAAAAATTAAGGGTGAACAACCCTTATCACTTAAAGATATAAAGTTACCGATTCTCAGATCTACTGAATACGCATATAAAAATTTTCTTTGAGCGGGATGAAAAATGATTAAATTACTAAAATGTCTATAAAGAAATAGGGGTTGGTGATAAAAACAAAAATTTAGGGTTGTATGTATTTTTAATGCCACATTATAAAAAAATAAAAACAAAAGAATTTGTCCAAAAATTTAAAAAAAAGTTAAGGGTGAACAACCCTTATCACTTAGGGGTATGAAAAATAGATGTTAGCCGATTCTCAGACCTACTGAATACGCATATAAAATTTGGTAAAAATCGGTAAAGCCGTTTCGGAGGAGTATGGAAACAAACACTGTGACACGCTAATTTTATATATATAGATTATAAGTAAATCTTTATTATATATAGTCATGTCATTCGGTGATAGAAGGTATCAAATGTAATACAGCTTTTGGAAATAAAAATTTATAAAAATGATTTGAGAGTAAAGACATTTTAGTCAAAATAACTAATATTATATAGCGTACATAACCAGGCAATGTCAGTGACATATTTCAAGTTATCACATTCAAAAGAGAGATAGAAAAAAATATTCATACATTTAAATTAAGAACGTCTAACACTATATAAGTAAATATAAAAACATATATAATTAAGTAAAAAATATAGGATTTTATAATTAAATCACACAGAATATATAGAATATGGATTTATTTATATTTGTCTTTACAAAAAGCCAATATTTGTTTGGAATATTTCATCACAGTCAATTAATAATGTCCCGAATATTTAACATCCGCATTGAATCCACTATGCTTATCGGCGGTGTAATGAACAACTCGGATTTTGCCATCAGGTTGCACCAATTTGTACCATCCCTTAACCACGTCGCCGTCGCGTTCCTCTTCGGCAGATTTCATATCATGGGTATGATGGTCTTCAACACCATATTTGTATTCATATTTTGGATGGTGCTAAAATAAGAAAAATGTCATTTTTATTGTGTAACAATAGTTTACATCTTGGATATTTTACATGTGGTTCGTGATGGTCATGGTGATCATCGTGGTGATAACTATGATCTACATGATTGTTGAACGATGCGTAAGAAGAAGCGTGGTGTTCAGCTAACGTGTAGGCAACTAAGGCAACAAAAACCAAATATTTAAACATTTTTGTTGAGTTGTTAGGTTGATTGCAAATATTATTATTGTTATATTGAATGCTCGATGCAAACTGATAGTTTGGTGTGATGTGCGCTTCAAATTTATACTATTTATATTTCATTACAACAGCTTTAATGCGTAACTAACGCATGCTAGAATTTCTTGCCATAACAGGTAACATAACATGAGTGGGCGCAACTAAATTTACCAAACGTATTTGGTGCATGCACTGCAATCTCTGCATATCATTATAATTTTATTATTACTTCATTTTTGCAGTGCCTGCATTTTACAAACTTGTAAAATCACTTATTTTCCAAGAATTGATTAATATTAATTTAGGACAACAAACTATACCATACCTTAAATGAGTAGGAATTATTGTTGAGGTAGCCGTTTCCAAACGTTTTATCTTTACTTTTGCTACTTAAACACATCTCGTGTGTGCCCCTTGTTTTGGCATAACATAAACAGAATGAAAGAAAATCTTTTCTTACATTATTATATAGTGAGAAAACAGTGACAAAACTTTTTTAAACATTTGAAATTATTTGAATACTGCATTATCTAGAATTTGATGCTGAGCAAGTAATGTTTTTGGTTATTATTAATCTTAATTACTTTCTGAAATAATTAATAAGTATGAAAAACTTCCTGCGGCAAACCAGATGTAGGTCTAGGCAAAAAGGATTTCAAATCCTTTATTTTTGAAAGATTATTTATAAAATAAGCTACTAAAACAGTAAAGCATAATTTAAAAAAAGTTTGGACCTGCCGTTAGACACAAAATCATTTTAAAATATATGAAGATGTCTTGCCATTCCAAAACAATTAACAAGTTAACTCTGTTCTTTGACAGAACTACTATAAAAAGCTATTTTAGACACTTTCTGTCGTTTTAAAATGATAAAATTTTATACATAATATAAAAGATATTATCTCGAGCTGTAATATGTGATGTAATATGACAGGAAATATATAAATTGGTTCACGAAATATAAACAAACATAATTTTAAGCATAATTTTAATTTTTTAATAAAATGCCAATTTTAAATGGGTAGGTCGGTAGTTTAGGTAATTTGTATGAGTAGACTCTAATTCTACAATATGCCAGCATTGCTGACTAAGCAAGATACTCAAAATAATAGTATTAGTTTACGAGATATAGCGTGTTTTCATTAGCATGTTTGGTTAATCCTTACCAGTGTTGTCCATTCATTTTAGAAAATAGGTAAAAACATATCTACAATTGATTCATTTATATTTTGGAATATTTTGAGCAACCATATACATAAAAACACAGTAGTCTCATTTATAGAAGCTTTAATAGAAATAAATATATACAATTGCATTTATCCTAGATTTGTGTGTTTCATTTAATTATGAACATTGCCATCAATTCTAAACATAATAGTATCTCATTTATTACTTAATAATGATAAGGATGGTCGGCATGACCAGAATATTTGACATCAGCGTTGAAGCCATTGTGTTTATCGGCAGTATAATGAACAATACGGGTCCTGCCATCGGGCTGCTCCAGTTTGTACCATCCCTTGACGACATCCCCGTCGCGTTCCTCTTCAGCAGACTTCATATCATGGGTGTGGTGGTCCTCGACGCCATATTTGTATTCATATTTTGGGTGATGCTAAAATAATCATAATATAGTTTTTATTCAGTAATATTAATATTTATCTTCAATAGATTACATGTGGTTCGTGGTGATCATGATGATCATCGTGGTGATATGAATGTTCAACATGATTATTGAATGATGCATAAGAAGAAGCGTGGTGCTCAGCTACAGCACACGCAACTAAAGCAACCAAAATGCAATATTTGAACATTTTTCTAAATTGGAGTAGTTTAATTGAAAGATACAATTTGACTGATACCTGGTAGTGGTCAGCAACTCCAATTTATACCATTCCCTAGTATTTCGAGTATCTATATGGTTAAGAGGATATAAGTTGAACTTATATTAAGTTACGTCAAAAATATCGTAATAAGCACATTCTGTCTGGGCTAACCAATTGTTACAATATCAACGTAATAAGTGTGTGTAATTCTTGTAGAATTAATTAAAACATTGTTAACATTGTTAAAATTCATTGATTATAATGTTAAACAATGTATTAACGGGATATAAGAAAGGTCCGATGTCCATTGAAACTGCTAGTAAGATGGAAAGATTAATATGTCTTATTCCTTGTCAACCTAAAGATCTTTTATGGTCCTACCTAGCACTAAATAATTTTTCTATGTGGAAGGTACTTGAAATAATCAAACTCAAGATATTCTTGACCAATAAAATTTTATTTCAACCCTTACATTCACGAAACAGATCATTATTATTATAATACATTATTGTCATGTTGCTTAGTCATAGTTTATGTTACATATCATAATAATTATGCAGTCTGGTCAATTTCTGCAACCCTTTTATGAATTCAGTGGGTTCTACAAATTTAGTAATTTTGTGATATTTTTTGTTTGTTTTGTAGGAATGTTAATACAAATAATAATAAAATGGACTTTTGGCAGTTAGATGATAATAATTTAATGAACATGAATATGAAGAACAGTAAAATTAGCAAAAATATCAAAATTATACAAAATAAAGTCAGTAAAATCTTCGAACAACTCCCGCACACCCGACGTCTAAAACTTCTTAATGATGACTGGTTTAAAAAGGGCGTCTGTCGTCTTTATAGCCCTAATGCACTTGAAGTGTGCTCTTTTGTCTGAAAGGCTCTCGAATATTAGCCGTTCAATCCTTCTTCGTAATTGTTCATACTCTTCCGAGCTTTTGGTGAAACCGAAACCCGAAAAAGTGCGTACAAAATTACGATTCATTCGCGGCGCAACAACATCAAATATTACTTCATGCATCAATCTTAGTGAACTCGCGGGTGCATTATCAATCTGTTTCGCGGCACACGGATTGTCGTGTAAACAGTTGATCTCCATCTTTTCAGCTTGCACTTGTAATATTATCTGAATTTGCTCACTTTTTGCTCACGGCTGCGGCTTTTGGCTTCTTTACGTCTTACGTCACTGTTAATCGTCGTTATCGTTTATGTTCACTCACACACTCAATGTTCATAGAAAGTCTTTCGGTTGAACCTTCAGATTGTGCAGAAAGTCCTTAGGTTTAGCCTCCAGATTTCGTAGTAAGTCCTTAGGTTGTACCTCCAGATTTCGTGGTAAGTCCTTAGGTTGAGCCCCCAGATTTTGTAGGAATGTTAATACAAATATTAATAAAATGGACTTTTGGCAGTTAGATGATAATAATTTAATGAACATGAATATGAAGAATAGTAAAATTAGCAAAAATATCAAAATTATACAAAATAAAATCAGTAAAATCTTCGAACAACTCCAGCACACCCGACGTCTAAAACTTCTTAATGATGACTGGTTTAAAAAGGGCGTCTGTCGTCTTTATAGCCCTAATGCACATGAAGTGTGCTCTTTCGTCTGAAAGGCTCTCGAATATTAGCCATTCAATCCTGCCGTTTAATTCAGATTTATTAACATGAATTTACGAAGAAAACGATATTAGATACGAATTACCGATGATTTACAGGTACAATTTACTTTTAATCAATTTATCATTAGTTAACTTCAAAATATCACAATATAAAGCACAAACATTAACACTGTATAAAAGATCAGTAAGTTAAAACAACTGAAATTGAACAACTACAATTTTATAAAATGCTCGGTGGTAACTATAACTCAATTGCGAACGTAGCAAAGTCATTCCAGTTCATGATCAATATTATAATATCGACTCATTTCCGAAATGCGAGATGCATAGTTCAATTTTGCAACAGTTTCCAGGATTTTTCAATAAATACTTCAAATCTCACTCTTCCGCAATATGTAAATCCCATGTCATGTGCTGCAGGTTGTGATCATTATATAATCACGGATCCGCTTGTCACTCACCAAGCCTACATTCAACAGTATACATTCAAAGGAATTATATTCCTGGGAAACGAATCCATTGACGATTACAAATTCAATAAATCATGGCCGATTTATGCAGCTCATTCAATTTTTATCAAATTAGTCAACAATGTCTGTGTCATGAGCGCTTTCGAAAACTGGGAATTGAACTCATATAGTGTTTTAAACCGTTGGAACATTTTAACCAACAAGTTCGAAAATGATAATATTGATGAAAATTGAATATTGAGTTCTTTTCGAATAAAAGACGGAAACGTCTTGGTGGAGTGTTGAATATTGGAACATTAGCAGATCAAGTTCCACTTATTCTTACAAGTAATAATTTTAACATGTCACATGCGTATTGCAGTTATTTTACTTTTACCTTTTAGCGAAATCAATAGGATTTGAGATTATAATGATGATCGTGTTTGGAAAGTCAATGAATATGACCACAATTAGCTCGCCATAAGATAGAATCAGTTATACCATTATTTATATTTGGTAAAATAGTATTTAGTAAGTCTACTATACTTTGATTTCGACGAGCAAATATATACTTTTAGGATATTTCGGACCTCAAAAAGTGATTAGTACAGATCCTGTCTCAATCTTGTATTTAAGTTTTTTGACACCCGAACCAAAGACCCATATTAAATGGTTGGATTTGCTTCAAGTGTTTGAATTAAAATTATGGATATTGATATTTTCTTGTTATAGTCTGATCGGATGTTTCTTTTGGATAGAAAATATTGTTAATCACAATGCAAATTGTCCGCGATTTTTAGCAATTACTGGTCTCTTTCTCCTTCAAACACTTAATCATTATAAAATGCCGCGCAGTGTTTGCACACGCTGTTTAATAATGATAGGGTTGATATTGGCAGTGTTGATATCATCCATGTTCTCTTCTGGTATTGTTAAAAGTATGATGACTGTTAGTTACGAGGGCGAGGTGCGAACAATTGAACAACTTGCTGATTCAAAATTAATGGTGGAATGGAAAAATGAACCATTAGATGTATGTGACTCCAATTCGCTTACAGAAGCTGAAGTGCGTGCATTCTCGCGATGGTCACTAGATAACTATAAGTTACCTTATTACGAAAAAGCCATTGCACACTATGTTACAATTACAAGACGTATGTCTACATACGTATGTGTACATTTGTAATTTATTTATACTCAATTATATATAATGTTCTTGGCTCCTATGTGGAGCATAGAGCCTCACTAAGCGCCCTCCAACGGACTCTGTTTCGGGCAACCGCCTTTGCTTCGTTCCAGCCCATATTTTGGTTTCGGAGCTCCTCTATTGTGGATCTTCGCCAGGTATTGGCCGGTCTACCAACCCTTCTCTTCCCCTGTGGGTTCCATTCTAGCGCATTTCTGGCGATATCTCCGGCGTCTCTTCTCAAGATGTGCCCAATCCACCCCCATTTTCTCTTGCGTATTTGATTTATAATGGGAGTTTCATCACATCGACGGTGCAACTCATCGTTGGAGATTGTCATTGGCCAGAATATGCGCAAGATCATTCTCAAGCACTTGTTTATGAAGGTTTGGAGTTTGTGTGTGCTTGAGCTCGTTGACCTCCATGTTTCGCATCCATATAAAGGGTGGATTTTACATTTGTGCGGAATATGCGCAGTTTTGTTCTTAGTGTATAGACGCTTGACTTCCATACTGTGCTCAGCATTCTGAAGGATTGCTGGGCTTTCTTTATTCTGTTGTTTATATCTGCGTCGGTCCCCCCTTTTATGTCAATTATACTTCCTAGATATAGGAATTCCTTGACCTCTTCTATTTCCGTATTATCTATTTGGAGTTTTAAGGTGTTGTTTGTATTTATACGCATTTCTTTTGTTTTGGCAATATTTATTCTTAGGCCAATTTTACTTGCCTCCCTTGCTAATGTTGTTAGCTGTCGGCTCACGCCTTCGAACGTATGTGACATCAGGCAGATGTCGTCGGCGTAATCCAGGTCGCTGAGGTGCGAGGTTAGTGTCCAGCGCAACCCATCCCTGTTCTGGTCTACCTTTGCTAGTATGTAGTCTAAGGCGATGTTAAATAGTAATGGGGATATGACACATCCTTGTTTTACTCCTCTGTGTATCGTAAAACTTTCGCTTTTTTCACCGTTGTGTAACACACTGCAGTTTGCATCAGTGTAGAGTTCTTGCAGGATGCTTATTATCTTTGTTGGTACACCTCGCGACTTAAGGATCCTCCATAAAGCGTCGTGGTTCAGGCTGTCGAATGCTTTCTCAAAGTCGATGAAGGCGATGAATAGTGGTGATCGCCATTCTACTGATTGCTCGATAATTATACGAAGGGTATTGATATGATCGATGCATGAGCGATTCGGCCGAAAACCTGCTTGGTTCGGGCGCAGGGTGTTTTCTATAGTTTCCGCTAATCTTGTTTGGACGATTTTCGCGATAATCTTATTAATTGTGTTTAATAGCGTTATGCCACGCCAGTTGTTACACTCGGTCAAGTTACCTTTTTTGGGAAGCTTGATGATTAGCCCTTCTTTCCACTTGGTCGGAATCTTGTTGTTGTTCCATGCTTCCTTAATACAGTGGTATAGTTCATTTGCCATCCATGTGGCGTTTACTTTTAGTAGTTCCGCTGGAACGTTATCAGCTCCTGCTGCTTTGTTGTTCTTAAGCGTCTTTATAGCTGCAGTTATCTCCGCGACTGAAGGCGGGTTCGAGTCAATGTTCAGTTGTCTACCTGGGTTATTCTCTGGCTCCCAGTTAATTGTTTCGTTTGCGCTGAGCATGTCGGAGAAATGTTCCCTCCATCTTTCGAGCTGCTTGTCTGACTCAACTAACAGGCGGCCGTTTTTTGACTTAATGAAGTGTGTGCGTGTAGAGTACTTATTGGCCAGTTTCTTTGTGAGGTTGTAAAGTTCTCTCGAGTTGTTGTTGAGCATTGCTTCTTCTGCTTGTCTGCAAATATCATCTATCCACCTGCGTTTGTCTCTTCTGGCTTCCCTTTTGACCTTTTGGCAAAGGCCTGTGTACTCTACCTGTGCCGCTGCCCTATATTCTTGCGAAAGATTTTGGGTAGCAGGTGTTTTTCCTCTTTCGGTCTTCTATCAGCAACCACGTGTTTTCGCTGATCCATTCTTTCCTTTGCCTGCTTTTCACTCCAATTGTTGTTTTGGCGACTTCAATGATGTTGTCGGCCATATTTTCCCATTTTGTGCTGATTTTTGGTTTATTGTCTCTTGCATTTTTCCTTGAAGGATTTTGCTATTTGTGGAATGCGTAGCTTCTCTATATTTAGTTTTATTCGTTTCATATCGGCTGGTTGCTTGGGTACTGCTAGTTTTATTCTCAATGTGCCAACTATTAGGTGGTGGTCACTGGCTACATCAGCACCTCTCTTGTTCCTCACATCGAGTAATGACGATCTCCATTTCCTAGAGATTGTGATATGATCGATTTGGTTGTGGGTTTTTGTCTGGCGAGACCCACGTTGTCTTGTGAATCTGTTTGTGGGGGAACAGCGTACCCCCTATTACCAGGTTCGCGTTGGAGCAGAACTGTGTGAAGTATGTGCCGTTTTCGTTAATCTGCCCAACGCCGTTTTTTCCCATAATTTCTTCCAAATTCTCGTTTTGAGCGCCTACTTTCGCATTAAGGTCGCCCATGAGAATTTTTATGTCACCGCTGTTTACGTCTTTTATAGTTTTCTCGAGGATGTCATAGAATTCATCTTTATCCTCTTTAGAAGCGTTATTGGTTGGGGCGTAACATTGGATAAAAGTTACTTTTCTGAACCTGGTGTAGAATCTTGCTGTTATTACTCTTTCGTTTATTGGTGTCCATGAGATTAGACTCTTTTAGCATGTTTACTGAGTAGAAATCCTACACCGCTTTCGTGTTTTCCAGATTCATTACCACTAAAAGTAGTCGTTCTCCACCTTGTGTGGGATGTTCTCCTTTCCCCAACCAACGTACTTCTGATATACCTAAAATATGTAGATTATATTTGAGAAATTCCTTAGTTACCTGCTGCAATTTGGAGCTCTCGTATAACGTTTGCACGTTCCAGCAGCCGAAACGTATCTTGTGTTTAGTATTAGCCAGGGTCGTCCTCGTATTATCCGTCCGGGTTTGCTTAGTTGAAGTTTCAGTAATAGGTTTGATTTAGGGTGAGTAGGTTATTAGCCTTCTGCACCCGAGTTTGGTGCTGGGGCTGCCAGCTGGAGCGTCCAAACCCGCCTCAGTGTACCTGGATGTTTGACGATGTTGTTGATGTCCCGCACTTGACGTGGTGAAAGTGAGGTTATACCGCCTCATATTCGGTCGCCAGAGCCTCGTTTGTCGAAATCAGGGCGCACCACGTGAAGGGAGGTTGGCAGTTGGCACCCACGGCCCTTGCGCCCCATACTCAATTATAAACAAAAGATATTCTCCCCTTTGTACAAACAATGGATTATATTTTTGTAATATCATACAGTGTCATGAGCATATCCAGTGATGAATATTTACTGTATATTCCTTTTTTGAACCAGTTTATGTTGAGATGCAAAGATGTTGGTTTAATGATTAAATGGGAATGGGATACGTTTTGGACCGTAAATAAAATGGCTACAATAATTGGATATTTGGACAGTCGTGTGCCACCGAGTAAGCCTACCCAGTTGCAGTTTGATCATCTGCGTGCAGTATTTGGTATGTGGTTTCTTGGAAATATCTTTGGATTATTAGCATTTGCGTTAGAAAAATTATGGATGATGTCATTTTATAACATCACAAAATTTTAACTTTCTTAAATAAAATGTTAACTATAAATTGCTGATTTGAAGGTTACAATTAATTTATCAAAATATATATCTTTGTAATTTAAAAAATATTGTTAGAAAATATAAAGCTTTTTACATATTAAATTTTACTATATCTAGTGATTTGATGTTCATAACATACAATCTCTTAATAATGATTAGAAAAAAAACTTTTAAAATGCTCCGAATTTATATTGTAAATATTTTAAATTCATAATATAATGGGTATATTGGATTTAATTTCATAGGTACAAAACATATTATAAATCTATTTCCAATTTTTCCTGGGCACACGAATAGTCCCATAACAAAAATTCATTTCCCATTAAAAAAAGATTTATTTGCTCAACATAGATTATTTAGATTATTTGAAAGTGTAATCATCACGAAAAAATATACTTCTTAAATTATTTTCAATTATATTTCAATCATATTTGAAATTTATTCAGTTTTTTGGTAATGCTAATTACTATTACTCAATTCACCCAAAACATATTAGCACTCACTCATTGTGCATAATTAATTAACATGTCATGCACCAGTAATCTTAATCCTGTAACAAAGCCATAAAGAATATTATCGTAAAATTGCGTGGTACCCTAATAATTATACAACCAAAAACAGTATATAAACGAAGTGCATAGTTTACCAAAATATCACTTTACTTTAATCATTTATTTGATAAACACTATTAGTATCCTTATAAATATCAACAACAATGTTCAAACTCTTTGTTTTCGTTGCTTTGGTTGCTTGCGTAGTAGCTGAACACCACGCTTCTTCTTACGCATCGTTCAACAATCATGTAGATCACTCATATCACCACGATGATCATCATGATCATCATGAACCTCACGTAAAATAGCGCATCTATGAGTTTATTCTGTGTAAATTAATTTAATATTTTTAGCACCACCCAAAATATGAATACAAATATGGCGTTGAAGACCATCATACACATGACTTGAAATCTGCTGAAGAGGAACGCGACGGAGATGTTGTCAAGGGATGGTACAAACTGGAGCAGCCCGATGGCAGGACTCGTATTGTTCATTACACCGCTGACAAACACAATGGATTCAACGCTGATGTCAAATATTCCGGTCACGCTGATCATCCTTATCATTATTAATCGATTATATGTAATGAATTATTTAGTGCAAGATATGCTTTATATTTTCTAATAAAATTTCATTAACAGCAAAGAAATATGTTTTAATAAATTAGTAGTAACTTCCAAATCCACAATCTATAGTTTACATTTTATTAAAAAAATTAAATGTTGTCAATGGCAAAGTTTACCATTTTAAATATAGCATGTGATATTAAGTAACATCATCCATAACTGTTCCAACGCAAATGTCAGTAATCCAAAAGTATTTCCAATAAACCACATACCAAATACTGCACGCAGATGATCAAACTGCAACTGGGTAGGCTTACTCGGTGGCACACGAGTGTCCAAATATTCAATTAATGTGGCCATTTTATTTTCGTTCCTAAATGCATCCCATTCCCATTTAATCATCAAACCAGTATCTTTACATCTCACCATGAACTTGTTCAAAAGCGGAACATACAGTAAATATTCAAATCTGGATATGCCCATGGCACTGTACGATTTTACATAAAAGTAATCCATTGTTTGTATATAAGGGAGAATATTTATAAAATACTTGTCCAGCGAAGTAGATACTAAAATGGAATATAATTTTATGGGATGATGTATAAGAAAAAAAAAATCGAAAAAAAAGTATAAGAAAAGTAATGATAAATTAATTGAGGAACGTACATCTTGTAACAGTAATATAGTGTGCTATGGCCCTCTTATCATAAGGTAACTTATAGTTATCTAGTGACCATCGTGAGAATGCACGCTTTTCAGCTTCTGAAAGCGAATTAAGACGATACATATTTAACGGGTTATTTATCCAGTCCACCATTAGTTCTGAATCAGCAAGTTGTTCAATAGTTCGTACCTCGCCCTCGTAACTAACAGTCATCATACTTTTGACGATACCAGACGAAAACATAGACGATATCAACACTGCCATAATCAATACTGTCGCTATTAAGCAACGCGTTCGAACATTGCGTGGCATTTTATGATGATTAAGTGATTGAAGAAGCAGCAGACCTGTAATTGCTAAAAATCGAGGACAATTTGCATTGTGATTAACAATATTTTCAATCCAAAAGAAACATCCGATCAGAATATAACAGGAAAATATCAATAACCATAGTTTTAATTCAAACACTTGAAGTAATTCCAACCATTTAATAAGAGTCTTGGGTTTAGGTGTCAGAAAACTCAAATCCATCATTGAGATAGGATATGTGCCAACTCCATTTGGAGGACCAAAATATCCTACAGACATATGAAAATTTTTTGTCGAAATAGTTAAATAGTGTTAAACATTGTTTCACCTAAAACAAATATAGGTACATCTGGGTTTCCTTCATGGCGGATAATTGTGGTCATATTCATTGACTTTCCAAACTCAAACATCATAATAATCTCAGATCCTATTGATTTTTCTAATAAAAGAATATTTTTAATTGCTGCAATAGGTATACATAAAAATAAATACCTGTAAGAATAATTGGAACTTGGTCAGCCATACTCGCTATGTTTAACACTCCCCCAAGACGTTTCCGTCTTTTATTCGAAAAGAACTCATCTATATTATCATTTTCAAACTTGTTTGTTAAAATGCTCCAACGATTTAAGACACTATATGAGTTCAATTCCCAGTTATCAAAAGTGCTGATGACAAAGTCATTGTTGACTAATTTGATAAAAATTGAATGAGCTGCATAAATCGGCAATGTTCCGATTGCAAATTTATCGAATTTGTAATCATTAATGGATTCGTTTCCCAGAAAAATAATTCCTTTGAATGTATACTCTTTATTCAATGCTAGACAAAAATTAATAATGGCCTGGTGGTGGACAAGTGGGTCGGTGATTACATAATGATCACACCCGGTAACACATGACATGGGATTTACATATTGCGGAAGAGGGAGATCTGAAGTACTTATTGAAAAATCTTTAAAACTGTTGCTAAATTGTACCATACACCGTGCATTTTGGAAATGAGTAGATATTATAATATTGATCATGATCTGGAAGGACTTTGCCACATTGGCAATTGAGTTAAAGTCGCCAACAAGCATTATTAATTTGGATCTACGAGTATGATATCTATTGTTCAAGTTCAGCTCTTTTCACTTACTGACTTTTTATATTGAATACAAATTTCACATTTAATGTTATTATATTTTGAAAGAAATTAATGATAATTTAGGAAAAACTAAGTTGTACCTGTAAATCATCTGTATTTGATATATAATAACGTTTTATTTATAATGTCATGTTAATAAATCAAAATCAAACTATCAAAACATTTCTATGAATCACAGAACCCACATAAATTGTCCAATGTTCCGTAAATTTGAGAATTTTGTTATTTGTTATTTAAGTTTACTCTGGAAAGTATATGAAGGAATAGCATGTTTGAGAATATACCAGTTCAAATAAAAAAATTGGAACAATATTTTAAGCCTGAGTCAGCAGAAGATCCTTAGGTCGCCAAAGAATATTGGTCAAGTGGCATATTAGTCCAACATTGAACTTTGACTCCCATTTAGTGTCATTTCCATTTAATTTGTTATTCCTCAACTATCCTCTAATTCCTCATATCTATTTAATAGAATGTGACACATTGTATGCATTGAAATTTATTTAAATGCATTTCATTTATATGAAGAATGCTTTAATTAGTATTGTAAGAATACTAGTAATTCAAGTAGGGGAGAGCAGGTAGGATTCGTACATTTTTTACTTGACGCCATATTAAAACTAAACTATATAATATATTCGAATAAGTTTAATGTCCCTATATAGCCTATATATCTGCCTATAATTATAGTATGGTACAGCTCCGTCACAAATCACACAGACAGAATTATGATCAGTTTTCCAAAAAATGGAAATCGTACGAAAGTACCCCACACACGGGGTACCTTCGTGCATAGTGTGGGTACTTTCGTACATGATGGGGTACCTTCATACAGTCAAAGAAAATAAACAATTGTTGATTAAATTTAATCATTTATTGAGATCAATTTAACACAGAATCAGCATTTTTGTATTAAGAACCAAGATATATTATTTAGGTATTCATAGGTATCATATAATATGCATTTGCTTCATTATCAGTCTTTGTAGTTTTCTTTTGCTTCTTTAAATTAAATGACTCTTTCGATTGAGATTTCCTCTTTATTGAAGATGCGTTATCTGCATCTAAGACAAGATGTAGAGCTTTGATGGCCTTAGCTTTTTGTTTTTTCTCTTGCACTTGCTTCTTCAATAGTCTTCCTTTTTCTATTTCTGCCAGTCTATCTTTTTCCGGAGTATCAGTGTAAATTCTAGATTTGCCTGGTAGCTTTCCTTTCCTTGTTTTCTTTTGCATTCGTACACGTACGAATCTACCCCACCTACCTGTACGAAGGTTCCCCAACACCAAAAAACAATTAATATCGAAAATAAAAATAACCGCTGAAACTGGGCCAAAATCTATATTTACATGCTAAACTAAGTTATTCCTTCACAAACTGTGTACATTCACTTTTACAATAGGAATAAAGCGTGAATAAACAAAGATGTTTAAAAACATAACCAAAAATACTTACTTGGCGCGAAATCACGTTACGACTCGTTGCGTCGAAGCCGGCGGCTGCACTGACGTCTCACCCGCGAGTAACCTATGCGTGCGAGTGGGTCTCACGCACACAAACACAGACCTGTCAAAGTATTCTACAGTGGTAGGAATAAGGACTGTACGAATGCTCCTACTGTACGAATCCTACCTGCTCTCCCTAATTCAAATACTTATTACGTTGATATAGGAACTATCGACAGGCGCAAAAAGAATGTGCTTATTATGATACTTTTGATTTAATTAATATAGGTTCAACTTTATGTCTTTCAAACAATATAGTTCCATAGAATAGTATACATTGCAGTTGTTGCCTATAACGAAGTATCATTAAAATAAATAAATTTATTATTGAAAATATGTTGGAATATTATATTTTCGTGGTCCTGGTTAACAACGCAGGCAACCAGATCATCACGCTTTTTCGTAAGCTTGATTCAATAATCATACACACTCATCACTTCGTTGATTATCATTATCATAATAAAAAAATAAATTATTAAGATCATATAAAAAATAAAAAAACCTACCCAAAAACGGCCCTGTAGACAAGAATATAAAAATAAGTACGGCCCTATCAAAAACTGCTGGAACTTTTGTTTATTGACAGAAATAGCGCAGCTGGCCTGAACTGTGACACACTATTAGAGGTTAACATTTTATTATATTTTACTCTTTAGAGTTAATGAATTACAATTTGTGTGAATTTTAAATCATGAGTTACGTATTGGAAAAGGAAGATAAATTTAAAGGTTAACGGCCGATTTTTTTTAATTAGTGTGGTTTAGTGCGAGTGTTATTTATAAGTCTTATCAATAAAGCGTTATAATAACTCTAATATTAATAAAAATGCCGCCACGAAGAAGATCTAATCTCTCTCGATATAGCCGTAATACAATGAGACAACGTAAAATTAGGAAACAATTCACTGAAGAACAACGAAAAATCATACGAGAAAGGAGTCGAATTGGCATGGCCCGACTTCGTGAATCTCAAACAGAAGAGCAAAGAGCGACAGCCCGTGAAAAGGGTCGGTTGCTAATGAAGAAACGTCGAACTAAACTCAAATATGAACAACGAAAAAATCTTCTACGCGCAAGCATTGGGCCAATGGACGTGGTCTGCAAGTATTGTGGTGCATTGAAGTGTGCTGAAGAAATGCCTGGATCATGTTGCTTTAATGGCAAAGTCGAATTCTCATTATTAACTCCACCATCTGATCCATTGCATTCATTGACTAGTGATGAAACACCCAAATCACAACATTATCTAGGAAGCACTCAAAACTACAATGGTTTTCCAGTGATTTCACTTGAGGCAGATGCAGAGCATTTATTTCACAACGATGATCACCATGAACCACATGTAAAACATGCAAGATATATATTATTGTTATATAATTGAAATTATTGTGTTCATTTTTTAGCACCACTTGAAACATGAATCTGCTGAAGAGCAATGTGATGAAGAAGATGTAAAGGGATGGGTCAAAGTGGAGCATCCTGATGGCTGGACCCAAATTGTTCCTTACACTGTTAATAAACATAATGAATTCGACGCTGACGTCTGAAGAATTTTTCAGCTATTCTTCAGACTTCAGAATGTTGCAGATGTTCCTATGAAGTTTAGCACCAAAAATATAACTTGAAGGCTGTTAAATAAGGTAATAACCTTAATGATAACCTTAATGACCATTGGTATAGAAGTTGAATTGCAGTGATAGATTTCAAATGAGATTTGTATGAAAATTTAAAGATACCTCTGCAAAAATAATGTCCTATTAATACCCCATAATCATGTGGTCATCTGACACTGAGTTTACTTTAACTTGTATACAAAAGTAAATTATTTCCGTGCGATATCAGGATAGACTGCTAGTGAAATATAAATTTATAGACATATAGTTACTAATTATTTGTGTTTAGTGATTGTGTGAGTTACACATTAACTAATTTAATAAGAAATGTGTGGTAATAATATATTCAACACAATTTATGTAAAGAGAACGAGCGTGTTACATATATATTTGCGAAACAAAATGGAACCACCAAGAATATTGATCATTATTATTAATAAAGAAATACAAAAAAAAACGTATAAATTGAAGTTACAGATCAGTAAAATATATCAGTTTCAAACGAGCATTCTTTTGATAAACATATATTTAAAGTTAATATATAAATCACGCAAAATGTTCAAACTTTTCGTTTTCATTGCCCTGGTTGCGTGTGTGGCTGCTGAACATCATGCTTCCTCATACGCATCGTTCAACAATCATGTTGAACATTCATATCAGCACGATGATCATCATGATCACCATGAACCACATGTAAAACATAAAAATAAAAACTATTGTTTTTGATAACAGTATTGTTTATTTCAGCACCACCCAAAGTATGAATTCAAATATGGTGTCGCGGACCACCATACCCACGACATGAAGTCTGCCGAAGAGGAACGCGACGGAGATGTCGTCAAGGGATGGTACAAACTGGAACAGCCCGATGGCAGGACCCGTATTGTTCATTACACTGCCGATAAACACAACGGCTTCAACGCTGATGTGAAATTTTCCGGTCATGCTGACCATCCTCATCATTATTAAATGATTGTTACAGTTGTATTGTATTCAAAGGTGATAACTATGTCAATTAATTAATATGGTAGGGTATTATTGAAAATGAACCATTAATATAATGTCAAATAAAACTTGTGTTAATAAGACGACAAAAACGGTAATATATTTTGGAGTACCCATTCTAACAAATTTTTCTTCGCAGGCATTATTTATTTACACTTTACTTTGTAGGAATTATTTACTAACATACAATATAGTCTAAGAGCCCGTGACGGCCAGACTTTCGTCATTTTAGGAAAGATGAAAATGTTTCTATGTGTGTACCCAACCCAGCAAAGAACGACGATCCCTAATTATGAAACCTGGATCGTGGTTCCATTGGCAGTTAACAGCCAACAAAGATGTACCAATTATGATGTCAAATTCGTTATTTTAGCAAACTCCATTTTTGCATATTTTATTTGTAACGTTAATATAACATGCGATGCTCATTGCCAGACACTTGGTATTGTTCCAACCCCAGCCAGACACTCTTAAATTATAAGGTTTTTTTAAATATTCTTACGTCATATTAGGACTCCAATTGTTCATCAAGAGAATCTCTCCAAGATGGTTCTTATTTGTATGGGATAGCGTTAGAGTGAAGAACTAAAGGTCCCTTGTTCAATCCCTGGTTCCGGCACGTTGCTTTTGATAAAGATTTATCGTAATACTGAAAAATTTTGTTTTTATTGTGGTCTGCAAAATAACACCCAGTATCTCCCGAACTATATGACTTTTTATAGTTTCTCACCGTAATGTTAGAGTTAGAAAGTTTCCCTACACGATGCATACATTTGCAACCCCCTAGCACTTCTGAAAATGCTCAAAAGTGTTTTTTAGAAAGTAGCATTTTTCATTACGTATGTATATATGATACAAAAAAACACCCTGTATCTCGTGAACGAATTGACATTTTTAAAGTTTGACACCTCCATATTAAAGCTCGAGACTTCCTCTACACAGTCTACACGATGCATACTTTGTCAATCTACTAGCCCTTTTAGAAGTACCCCAAATTTCTCTTTAAAAATTGACATTTTCAAAAAAATTTAATACATGGCGCGCAAAACACCCTGTATCTGGCAAACTAATGGAATTTTTAAAGTTTGTCACGGCAATTTTAAAGGGCAAATGTGTCCCTACCTAATACGTACATTTCTTTTCAATATTCTAACCCCTCCGGAAGTGCCCTAAAATGCCCTTTAAAAATTGGCATTTTTCAAAAAAATTGAAAACATGGTGTGCAAAACACGATGAATCTCGTGAACGAATTGACATTTTTTAAGTTTGTTACCGCCATATTAAAGTTCCTCTACACGATGCATACCTTATTAATATTCCAGCCCTTCCGGAAGTGCCATAAAATGCCTTTTGAAAATTGGCATTTTTCAAAAAATTTGAAAACATGGTGTGAAAAACACCATTTTGCTTGAAGTTCGAGAGTCTCTCTACGCGATCCATATTTTTCTAACCCCCTAAACATTCCAGAAGTGCCCTAAAAAGCACATTGAATATAGCCATTTTTGTCCCAATAATTTCATTTTTTGGTTGAATAACAAGGTCGAACTTTTTTGTTAAATTTTTTTCGGTCGAAGAACAGAGTTCAATTTTTTTCTTTATTTTTTTGTCAAAGAACAAAGGCAAATTTGTTTTGCCTGAACAACAGAGTCGAACTTTTTTCTTAAAATTATCCCATCGAAACATTAAATTAAAAAGTTGAAATTTTGAATTCCTGAATGATAAAACAGTATATTTTTAAATTTAATAAAAGTCATTAATTATGATAAAATGGCGGAAGCACCTGACATTTAAAAGAGTTGTGTAATTAAATATTGAGAACTACCTCATTGTGCAGAGGGGCTCTTAATGAAACAATTTAAACAATTGTTTATCTACTAGCCGTAAGGAATTTTCCAGTAAATCTTATTAAGTGAATTGTGCACTCCCATCGAGACTTATTTATCAATTATCTCAGGAACTAATAGAGATAAACAAAAACCAAAAACACCATGATGTTTAGCATCAAATCCTAGATAAGATAACATTTAAAAAATTTGAAATATAACATGTGCCTAAAAAAATTTCCGCTGCGATTTCCTCCGAAAATAATAAAGATTGAAATGAACTTTCTTCATTTTGTTCATGCCGTGATATGGATCTATAAAGTGGCAGATTTAATTTTTCCATTTTCCAAAGTTGACCAAAGTCTTCTCAAAAACATCAAGAGGTTACACTTGACTCTTTTTGGACTCAAAAAAAAAAATTAAGCTAGAAGAAAATGGAAAACGCTAATCGATTGAATTTTCCAAGAGGATGAAAGATATCAAGTCAGTTTTCCAATAACATCAATATTTAGAAAAATGTGTGGTAAATTCAAAACCGATCAAATAAAACTACCTCTCCAATTTTCCCCAAACTTCCCAAATTGATGAAAAACAATACCAGGAATACATTAATTCAGGTTTGGTGGCGCTATCTTAATTAGTTTTTAAGTTATTGACCATTTTTAACTATTACATAAGTGTAGATAACTGTACATTTTAACATGTTATATAATGTAAAATTTAATTCTACATACAAATGTGAAAACCGTTTTTCTCTATCTCTAATGGTTTTCAAGATAAGTGCGAAAAACTGGTTTTCGTTTTCTCTATCATTTCCTAAGCAAAAAATAAAAATAGGAAATTACAACTTTTTATTACCAAATATAGAAGAACAAGTGATTCTACATACATTATTTTAATAAAATTTTGTTCTAAAATAAAGCTTTTGATGATAATAAGCCTAATTAAGTCTGGTTTTGTCGCTATTCAAATTACTTAAATTTTTTTATTAAAATTGAAAATAGGGCCTAAACGGTAAATGCTAGCCAAAAAGTTATTAAAATAATCAATATAGAATTAAATGATCTATCCGAATCTGCAAACAGAATTTTAAAATTCCAACTTTTAATTTCGAACATAAAAAAGAGAAATCTTTTGCCTTTTTTATAACAAAATGTTTTGTTAAATTTTTTATGCATTTTTGGTCTTTTTTTCCGTAACCCTTCTAGTTCTCGAGATAATCGCAATTTAATCTCGAGGCTTTTACGGGAAAATTAAAAAAAAAGTCCGACCCTGTTGTTCAGCCAAAATTTTTTTAAAGAAAATAAGTTCGACTAAAATTCGACCCTGTTCTTCGACCAAAAAAAATTTAAAAAAAAGTTTGACCCTGTTCTTCGACCGAAAAAAATTTAACCAAAAAAGTTTGACCCTATTGTTCGACCAAATATATTTTAACAAAGTAAGTTCGGCCTGTTCTTCGACCGAAAAAAAATTTAAACTAAAAAGTTCGACTCTGTTCATTGACCAATAATATTTTAACAAAAAATGTTGGACTCTGTTGTTGGACCAAAAATATTTTTAAGAAAATAAATTCGACCCTGTTCTTCGACAGAATAAAAAATTTTAACAAAAAAGTTTGACCCTGTAATTCGACCAAAAATGAAATTTTTGAGACAAAAATTGCTATTTTCGACGTACTTTTTACGCCACTTCTGGAAATGTGGGGGGGGTTAGAAAAATATGGATCAAGTAGAGAAACTCTCGAACTTCAAGATGGCAGTAAAAAACTTCAAAAAAGTTCAATAGTTCACGAGACACTGAGTGTTTTGCACACCATGTTTTCCAATTTTTTGAAAAATGCCACTTTTCAAAAGGCATTTTAAGGCACTTTCAGAAGGGCTCGAAAATTAAAAGAATATGCATCATGTAGGGAAACTTTTAAGCTTTAGAATGGCGGTGATACACTTAAAGAAAGTCAATTGGTTCGCGTGACACAAGGTGTTTTCCACACCATGTTTTCAATTATTTTGAAAAATGCTAATTTAAAAAGGGAATTTTAGGGCACTTCGGACAGGGTTAGATGATTGCAGTGAAACGTATTATGTAGGAAAACTTTCGAACTTTAAAATTGGCGTGACAAACTTTAAAAAATTCAATTAGTTCGCGAGGTACAGGGTGCTTTCCCTTGCCATGTATTAAATTGTTTTGAAAAATGTCAATTTTTAAAGAGAGTTTTGGGGAACTTCTGAAAGGGTGAGAAGATAGACAAGGTATGTATCGTGTAGAGGAACTCTTGAGCTTTAATATGGCGATGACAAACTTTAAAAATGTCAACTTGTTCACGAGATACAGGGTGTTTTCTATACCATATATACTTTATGAAAAATGCTACTTTCTAAAAAACACTTTTGAGCATTTTCAGAAGTGCTAGTGCAAATGTATGCATCGTGTAGGGAAACTCTCTAACTCTAACATTGCGGTGAGAAACTATAAAAAGAAATCATATAATTCGGGAGATACTGGGTGTTATTTTGCAGACCACAATAAAAATGAAATTTTCCAGTATGTATTACGATAAACCTTTGTCAAAAGCAACGTGCCGAAACCAGGGATTGAACCAGGGACCTTTAGTTCTTCAGTCTAACGCTATTCCATACAAATAAGAACCATCTTGGAGAGAGTCTCTTGATGGGCAATTGGGGTCCTAATATGACGTATAAATAATTAAAATATATTATAGTTTAAGGGTGTCTGGCTGGGGTTGGAACCATACCAAGTGTCTGGCAATGAGCAGCGCATGTTATAATAATGTTACGAATAAAATATGCAAAAATGGAGTTTGCTAAAATAACGAATTTGACATCATAATTGGTACATCTTTGTTGGCTGTTAACTGCCAAAAGAACCACGATCCAGGTTTCATAATTAGGGATCGTTCTTTGCTGTGTTGTCATCTTTCCTAAAATGACGAAAGCCTGGCCGTTACGGGCTCTTAGACTATACGGTTCTATCGCTTTATTCATTTATTTCTATAACGATAATTTATTTTTTAATGACATAAACATGATTACAATTTATGCAACACCTTCTATTGATTCATAATAGAGACGGAACCAAATTTACCTACATTTAACGATACCGCTAATGAATTTCAACAAATATAGTAATACTTGCGCATATTTATTAAATTTTATATTAGCTCTCTACTAACGCAAAGAGAATAGTCATATTACAAAACAATTTACAAATCAAAAAGAGGTTTATGTCATATGCACTTAAATATGGTATAAATTTGAGTGGTCTATTATAGAAAAGTATCAGTTTAATTCCACCATCTATTTGATACACATTTAAAACATTAAAACACACAAAAATGTTCAAACTTTTTGTTTTTGTTGCCCTGGCTGCTTGCGCTGTAGCTGAACATCATGCTTCTTCTTATGCGTCGTTCAATAATCATGTTGAACATTCATATCATCACGATGATCATCATGATCATCACGAACCACATGTAAAACATTCAAGATACATATTATTGTAATATAATAAAATACAATTCTTTTCACAGCACCACCCAAAATACGAATATAAATATGGTGTTGAAGACCACCATACCCATGACATGAAATCTGCTGAAGAGGAACGTGATGGAGATGTCGTAAAGGGATGGTACAAATTGGAGCAGCCCGATGGCAGGACCCGTATTGTTCATTACACCGCTGACAAACACAACGGCTTCAACGCTGATGTCAAATATTCCGGCCATGCTGACCATCCTCATCATTATTAATTTCATAAGACAATTACAGAATACAGATTAATATATAAAAAATAACAATAGGCAGTATATTTTTTCTAATAAAACATTTTTATTAGCATTATATTAATGTTATCATTTTAACCATTCCAAGATATAATTAATAACATAAAGTTGCAGGTCAATATGAGTATTTTAATACATATACGTTTTAAAGCTAATTAACCAGTTAATTTAATGTATTGATATCATGATTGATTAAATTTTGGTTTATTGGGTAGACCGTTTCAGTATTTAACAAAATCACTTTCCATTATTTCAATTACCAATAAACTTGCTTAAATTAAGCTGGCATGATAATAATTAAAATTGGAAAATTCTGCGATCACGTCAACAAGTTGCGTAAATTTGAGTAGAAAATAGCGTAACTAATTGCTTTCTTGTTTCTTGGAATTATAATGGTCTAACTCTATCAATAAGATTTTCAATTTTAGTTAAAACATGATAAATGTACTTGAGCTCTATTTTAATCAAATTATATAAATAGAATTATAATTAAATCTCCGTAGCATCTTTCAATCCTTCTTTTGACACCCTACCAGTAGTGTTTTGACAACACTAGTTTAGATGACTTTTCCTGATCAAAATTATTTAATTATCAAAATATAGCAAAATTAGTTCAGTGGTTTTCGCGTGAAAGCGTCACAAACATATAAACAAACTAGCTTTAACCCGCGGCTTCGCTCTTGTTGAATCCATCAAATAAATATTAGAAATCATTATACATAGTTGAAACGGATTGATAGAAAGAATGTATGAATGAAAGAATGTATGCCACTGCTTGGCTAGGATTGGCAGAGGTATTAGTGACTAAACAATTTCTTTATTTTATTTAAAAAAATAATTATTTTTATTAAATAAAAAGTAGCCTATAACCTATCGGGGACTACTAAGAATATGAGTACAAATTTTTATGATGATCTGTTAAGTAGTTTTTGCGTGAAAGCACGATAAACTTCAGGACATACGCATTTATAATATTACTAGCTTTAACCCGCGACTTCGCTCGCGTTGAAAACATCAAATAAATATTAGAAATCATTATACATAGTTGAAACGGATTGCTAGAAAGAATGTATATTTCACTGCTGGGCTAGGATTATCTATGTGAAAAAATTACTACATGCAATAAAGTTTTAAATTTTAGATGGAATGCTAGATGGCGTTAAAGTAGTCAAATAACCAGATGCAGAGGTATTAGTGACTAAACAATTTCTTTATTTTATTTAAAAAAATAATTATTTTTATTAAATAAAAAGTAGCCTATAACCTATCGGGGACTACTAAGAATATGAGTACAAATTTTTATGATGATCTGTTAAGTAGTTTTTGCGTGAAAGCACGATAAACTTCAGGACATACGCATTTATAATATTAGTAAGGAAGTAAGGATTCTCCTGTACAACTATCGGTATAGTCAGGATTTCATAATAGCGTAGTATTCGTAGCATTACTATAAAGTGTTTAATTAGTCGTTAAACTTCGTGGACATGAGTAAATCGGGCATTACCAAAAGTATTCTGAGTCTACAATTAATTAAATATTTCGTTCAGATTTCCGCATTCTCATTTGCCAATTGAAATTAATTAAATAATAAACAAAATAAATTGTCGATGTAAAGAATTTCATTCAGTTGCTTTCTTATGGTTTACTAACGTTATGACATTTGTATGTACTTTAGTATTAACATATATATTCTTATTACATATATAATTATATAGGAATTTGTCTATTCTCATTTAAATTAATATTGTTACGCATATCTAAAACCATTCGGGTAAAAATTGATTTCATTGATCCAAAACTTGGAAAATATATCCTACAGATTCTGAATGACCGAGAAAATTATTTTTGTCAATTGTCTGCTAAGTAATCTGAAAAATTGGCAAAATCTAAGTGCAGAGGTGCCGAGGTGCAGATTCATTTCAATTATACGCCAAATTTTTGAACGTTTATAACTTAAAATGTAGTTTAAATTGATTGCATTATTGCAGTTGCATAAATTAGTTGGATAATTTATTTCACTAAATATTTGCATTGAGTATTTTATTTCGTAGTATTATGGAATTCTTTGACTTTCATGAATAAATTACGTATTTTTGAAATATGTAACATCAATTCAAGCATTGCTTCAATAAGTACTATAAATATCCAGTACCTAACTTGGCAATTCATCAGTTAAACTGTGGTCTTCAGTCAATCAACATCCCAAAAATCATAAAATAAAACAAAGTAACAATGTTCAAACTATTTGTTTTTGTTGCCCTGGTAGCGTGCACTGCTGCTGAACATCACGCTTCTTCTTACGCATCGTTCAACAATCACGTTGAACATTCATATCAGCATGGCGATCATCATGAGCCACACGTAAAACTGGCAAATACCAATATGTTCCTGTTACATATTAAATCTCTTAATATTTTTAGCATCACCCAAAATATGAATACAAATATGGCGTCGAAGACCACCACACCCATGATATGAAATCTGCCGAAGAGGAACGCGATGGGGATGTCGTCAAGGGATGGTACAAACTGGAGCAGCCCGATGGCAGAACTCGCATTGTACATTACACTGCCGATAAACACAACGGCTTCAACGCTGACGTTAAATATTCGGGCCATGCTGACCACCCTCATCACTATTAAGTGAATCTTAAAACATGCAAATTATATAATATTTATGTCTGTTGATGAATCTAAAACCAATATATTCTATTGAATTATATCGTAATTACTAAATTTCGATATAAATCTGCATACATCGTACATAGTAGAAACTCAAAGGACACTATCAAGTTTTTGCTCTTGCATTTGTGTACCATTTTTTCTCACGAATTGTTGACATTTTCTTTATATTAAACCTCAAATATTACATTTTTACAACAAATGAATTTCTTACAACTATTTGTTTTCTAACTGTTTCTTAGCGGTAGTTTCCACGGGAAGTGCACCAGTTTCTTGCAGTAACTTCTTCTTTTCTTCAAAGTAATTTTCAAACCATTTGATATGCTCTTTCTTATCCTCAACACTCATGTACGGATTTTTCGAAAGGCCAACACATACAAGTTCCATGAAATGTCTAAGTGGTCCTTTTGCAGGACACCATGGCGAAAGATGTTCTTCCAAAAACACATGTTCAGTAAAATATACACTTTGTTCTTTTTCCATTCCTGTAAACAAAGGTGAAAAACTTAATAAGCATAATTTGAAAGAATATACAATAAATCTCCATACCTTGTTCATTATCAATAGGAAACTTCCATATTTTTCCCTGTTCTGTCCACAAAATTTGCTCTTCAAAATAATTTTGAGGTGGATGAGTTACAGCTAACTTCAACTCTCTTTCATATAACTTGTCCCAGGTTACATTCATTCTTTGCACACTTCCTTTATTTTCAGGATTAAAAATACCAAGTGGTTCAGCCCCAAATATATCCACAGGTTCTGCTGTGGCAGCATCAATCATTGGTTTGATAGTAGGTCTTGGTCCTCTAGCATTCCTTTGGTGAGGTGCAGATTGGTTTGGAGATGTCTCTAATATCTTTCTGACATGTTGAGCTTTTGATCCAACAGTTTCCGACTTGGATTCTCTGTCAATTTTCATACCACGGACAATATCACTAAAAAATATAAATTTATATGTAAATCTAACTCAATTAATAAAAATCGTTTATACAAGATCCAATAATACCTTAAATTAGCTGATGGCAGTTGTTCATCATTACTAATTAATCTATTTAACAACTCAGACTCTGTTTGCTTCTTATTGCCACCCAAAGTCTCAGCAACATCTTTAACTGCAGAAACAATTTTTTGTTCAACTGTTTCTACTTTTGCTGATTTTGTACCGGGTTCAGTCTTAGCATTTCTTCCCTTAGGCTTTGCCAAATCAAGAGTTTTCTTATTTTGTTGGTCAGCCTAACAAGCAGAAAACTGTGTAAAAATACATCATGAGGTAGCCACAAACAACTTACTTCAACAATTTGTTGTAATAACATGTTAAGTTTACTTATTGCCTCAGGATTCTGTTTACTTGACTCTGGTTTACTTGATTTACTTGGTTCTGCTACTATCTTTGAGGGTTTCTCATCATCTGAACTGCTACTAAACAGTCTAGTGTTTACTACAGAAATCGGAAGCACAAATGGCTTCGGAGCACATACAATCCTAAAACTTTAAAGTAATTTAGAATATATTTTATTGCACTTATTAGCAATTACCTTTGAAGAATTCGAGACATTTTCGAAAAATATTTATGTTCAAATCGACTTCAACTTTTTAGAATCCTGTAGTGAGGTTAGAAATCTAAAACACGAGTGTGAACATTTCTGCGCATGTTCAAAACAGCAAAAAAGTTTAAATTTTGTATTGTTTTCAATGGTATAATAAATAAACAATAAAGTAAAAGAGATATTATAATAACATTTATGTTTTATATAGAATTCAACTTAATTTAACAATAATATTTTAAATAGTGGCACTAACGTGTCTAAAAAATTGCCTGTACATTAAAAACTAAAAATGCATAAAGTAATTGCCTAAATATTGCGTCATGTTTTTTAAAATAATCAATAATTTCTTAAAAACAATACCAACTTATTTGCGATTACTGTCTGTGCGCTTCTTATGTAATTGCATGCTGAAAATAGAATGCTAAAAATATATATTGGTAAGTGTATGATATCTTTTTTATGCCATTAATCAAAAGCTTAGCACATTTGAAAAAAACTTAAATGCATACACTAGTAATATTGATATTAAATTACAGAAATACTTTCAAAAACCATTTTTGAAACTTATTACGGATGCCACGGATTTAAGCCGTTGACAACTGCTTGACATAATTCATATGTCAGTGTTTGTTTAGAAAAGGTGGATGAAAGTACATACACACGATAGCAGAGCGCGTAGTTTTTCTAGAATCGTGGGCAGAATTACGCAAAAATTGATCTAAAAATAATTGCGAATTACTTTCAAATGCGAATACACGCAGCTGCTGGCGCTGCGATTTGTTTCCTTCACGATCAGTTCCATTTTAGTGCCACTTAGATCAGTTTAGTATGTTGTAGTTGGCAAAAATACTAATGCAATTAACAAAGTAAGCTATGCACATTAAATATTCTAATCTAATGCTGTCTAATATGACATATTCTCCTTTACAGAATGTCAGAGTCAAAATTATAAACAAAAATACTCACTCTTTGGATTTTCTGTGATAAATAGTATTTGTATTGGTATCAAAATGGAGAAGAAATCAATCTTCAGGGGTATCAACAACCGTGCCTACAGGAGTGATGAGTTAAAACTCTATAATCATGCAAAGAGTATGCAATTTCAGTATAATTTTAATACAACTGGTTATGATTGTAAATTTTGTAGATAATTTAGATTTAGTGCAAAGACTTGGTTTAATGGAACGCCTGCCTGTGCATGAGGGATGTGTGAACACACTATCATGGAACAGCACTGGCCAGTACATTTTATCAGGATCTGATGATCAACACCTAGTCATTACAAATGCATTCAATTATAAAGTAATGGAGAGATATCGCACCAGCCATCATGCAAATATTTTCAGTGCTAAATTTTTGCCTTGCCAAAATGATAGACAGATTATATCATGTTCTGGTGATGGAATATTATTACATACAGGTGTGTTGATCAATTTCACAAAAGTGGTCTTTATTTATAATTGGGATTTTTAGATTTGGCAAGACCCACTGAAACACTATCAAACCAATTTAATTGCCATGATGGAACCACCTATGAGGTGATAACAATTCCCAGTGATCCAAATACTTTCATTAGCTGTGGAGAAGATGGCACGGTGCGATGGTTTGATTTGCGGATAAAGACAAAGTAAACGCGTATTGCTGTACTAGAAAACAAGATCTGATCAAAAAGTATTCTTAGTTTTCTAATGCTTGTGAAATATTGGTGTAAGTCTGCAAAATGAATGCATTGGAGTGATTTTGCTTGCTGAAATCATAAAGTTTTTGATCAGACTTTGGAGTTGTAGTATTTGTGTCAGTTGCTAATTTGTTTTATTCTAAAGTTGTAATAAGCAGGCATGCAGAGAGGATGTACTGATAAATAGTCAATCAGCAGTCACCGCGCTAGCAATAAATCCAATATCGCCTCATCATCTTGCTGTTGGATGCTCGGATTCAACGGTTCGGTTGTATGATCGCCGGTGTTTATCAACACAAAGTAGGTTAATCGTCTAAACATAACATTTTTAACATTCAAATCTTTACATTACTAATTGATCTGTTTTTCTAGGTGTTTACAATAGCAAGCCGTTTTGTAGGTTTATTGCACCCGACCTGGAAGACAGATCTTATAGAATAACATCATTGTGTTACAATGAAACTGGAAATGACATGCTTGTTAGCTATTCTTGTGACCATTTATATCTATTTAATGTTATGGTATTAACATTGCCATAGTTTTTGGTTAAAATTGCTAACAATTTATATATTTACAGGAGAAGAAAGTAAAAGAATTGCAAAAAGATACATCGAGTAACTGGAACAAAATTAGGCAATTAACAAATAAATTCGGGCTGAAAAATGATCGCCGATCACCGCCGCCAGTGCGGCGATTGAGATTACGCGGAGATTGGTCTGATACAGGTCCAGATGCGCGACCCGAACGCGAGACTACATCGAACGCTAACTTAATAAGTCAAGCCCGACCACAACTTCAAACTAGTCTCATGCAACGCATGACTGATGTGTTGTCACGCATGTTGAACGATCCAATGACACGCGCTGCATTAAGTGCTGGCGGTGAAGATTCACTCGATCGCGAAGACGATGCTCAAGTCGCAAGCCCACCTCCTGCTGAACCGCCTACACCAGCAAATGCATCTCAACTAAGTCAATCGGAACCGGAAGCCGCGCCTAGTATAGTTGTAGAACAAGCGGTAGAAGCAGAAACTGCATCAGTAACGCAAACTTCTTCAGCTCCTACTCAGGCATTAAGAACTGACGCCGGGGAGCATAGTCGAAGGTACGCATGCATGATGATTGTTCAACAACACCCAATACCCAAACCGCCAACACTTGATTGCCAATGTAAATTCACCGACGCATTGTTTTTCAGTTCAAGTTCAAGTATTACACCTGCATCCCTCAGTTCTGATAGTAACCAATCAGTCTCATCCAATGTAAACACATCATTAGTCACTAAGCAACTTCGTAATCGTTTGTCAATTTTGAGCAGTTTGCGGCAAGGCTTTATTGAGCAGCATGGCGCTGAGCCGTCGGTTAGCCTACGTTATTCGGACCAAAGCACCTCGAATTCAACGATTAGCTTGTCGGCAAGTAGTTATATTAGCGAGGAAGCGCCGCTCACGTCTGGAAATATCAGCGATGACCAGAGACAACCCGAACAAGTAATATAAAACTTTGATTGCTTCTGTATAATATTATTATGTATGTTTTATTGTAACAGATTGCCGTTGATGATTCTAATTATGAAGAATGTGACGATATAGGTCTTACTTCAGAACCCACATTGGCTTCCGAAAGGAGCGATACCGAAGGATACTTCACTGTTTACGAATCGCTTGTGAGACGAAAATATGTTGGTCATCGAAACGCGCGGTTTGTTATAAATATTTACATGGAAATATTATAAGTGATCGTAAATTATCCAACTTACTTGTAGTACAATGATCAAAGAAGCTACCTTCTGGGGCGACGATTATGTTATGTCTGGATCAGACTGTGGACATGTGTTTGTTTGGGATAAACACACCGGCGAATTGGCGATGTTACTGCAGGCAGATCATCATGTCGTCAATTGTTTACAGCCTCATCCGACAATGCCGTATTTGGCTACGAGCGGTATTGATCATGACATTAAAATTTGGGCGCCTATTTTAGAAGATAACGATTTTGACCAGGTGCATGCACATGGTGTAAGTAATTTATTTACATGTACATTGCTTCCAATAATATTGTTGCATTGTTTTTTTAGCTAATGAAACGCAATGAAATAATGTTGGAAGAAACAAAAGACACGATCACGGTGCCGGCCGCATTCATGATTCGAATGTTAGCGTGCCTTAATCAGATCCGATCAGGCCGACGAACAAGAAGGGACGATGAACAAGCTTAAACAGAACTCACACACACGATGTAATTGTGTACGTCAAACTTAAGAATGATTACTCTTGTTGTAGTTGTTGTAATCATTGCCATATATTAATAGCTTTGGAATAACATCTGTTGGATGTTTCAATTTCGGAATATTCCGGACAAAATATGAACAAAAACATGTGTTATAGTTGTTTGAGGTAACATTATACTGAGATTTATTTATTTATGCATCTGATAAATTAATGTATAGATATTCTATTCATATTATGTAATATGATCAATAAATTTGTTAAAATTAATCATATTCTTGTAAAATAAAAATACTTTAACTTTTAAGTTTTTGCTCGCGACTTCGTTCACGTATTATTTTGTAAAAATGTCGATTCCATCAATAAGACTTGCAATTTTATTTTAGAGAAACGAAAAATGCTAATTATGTCTATAATTTAGTCACAATTAAAATATTATAGATCATCGAAGCTTGAATTGTAAATGTTGTAACCCACACGACTTTATCGTAGATTTTCGCTGAATTTTATTTTTTGCTGAATAAAGATGTGAATCTCTGCAGTAATTATTTATTAATCCAATATTTTATTTCATTTGTGTAAATTATAACTAAGTTTTTACATGTGGTGACTAAATCGTGTAGCTAGAACACTATTTGACAATTAATCCAAAGTCAGTAAGCTAATAAATAGCATAAAAATAATATTTGTACTAATTATCTATTTAGTTGATGTGAATGAGCGACGACATAACCATACGCCATCAAATAAATACATACAACAAAATCGTATGTCATATAAAGTAATGCTATTCAATTAAAAAGTAAGTTGTGCTAAAAACTCATAGAATTATCCTGCCATTCATTGTTACTTCTTCAAGAAAATATGAAGTTCCCAGTTTATAAAATGCTTTACATACATATTGTCCAAAGATGCAAATTTGTGAAGCTTTCAATCATCTGCAAACAAACTTAATTAATTGAGGTTTAAGCAAAACAAATAGTAGGTAAACCATACATTTTTCAACACTCAGTCACATGTACAGATCCATCCTTGTTCACCTTGCAATCTTCATACTTTACATGTATATAAATTGAAATCTGAAACAGAAATTCCATGCAATTACTATAAATAACAAAGTAGTTACAATTTGCAATCAAATTACCTGCACAGCGCTTGTGGCAGTGAAGAAATAATCGGACCGTATCCTTGCGAATTGTCGTACAGTTCAAAGAGAGGTGCTGCTACTAACTTGTAGTTCTTAGGCACCGCAAACAAAGCTGTAAACAAAACGCAAACAATATTAGTACAGGCACTCGAGCACACATAAATACACGCACACGCTATAATCTTAATTACACTTATACAGTTCACAACAACTAATTTACAATATATATAGGTATTATTTGTTTTTATACGAGTATGAGTTTATGTACAACCAAAAAAATAACAAAAATATAATCTGCATATTAAAATTAAAATTCGTAAATCAAAATGATCACGTCAGTCACACACATTACAATAAAATCTCCTTTTTTGTTCTTTCAATGGTTAATGAACAAATGAACAACAGTACAGTAATTAGATCACTAGCCATGTGAGTAAAACATGTTTATATGAAACAAGCTAATTAACAATTCGCTAACGATTTCTTTTGAATAATCACCGCTGGATGTTTTGTAAATGTACAATTTTCAGTATTATAAGTATTGAACACATTGTTGAGACTATTGAATATCAGTTATTTAAGTAGCAAGGCATAACTCAATTATTATGTATCACCAAACCGGAAAACATAGCAAATACATTTAACTAGTATTTTGAAAATACAAGACTTTAACATTAGCATTTATAAATTTAAAATCAAAAGACAGTCGAGTGTTTATTTCGGCGCAGAAACCTACGTAACAAACACCTAAATATACAATCCTAATGTCCTACTGATAATTGTGTGTATTTTTTCGGTCAGATGTATCTGATTTGGCAAGAGCTGAGTAATATAGTAATTAAAGAGTGTAAATTCAATATATGTAACCTTTTTCTTGTAGTTGTACAAGGAACAATCGCTTGTGTTCCTTCGGTTTTGTTATATGCGGCGGTATGTAGGGATATTGCGGCGGTTCAAAGTTCGGCCTCCACCAGTTGCCAATGATGTCCTCGACGAGCCATTCTTGCTTGACGCCATCCTGCCTGCCCAGGGTCTGTAACAACATCTCACAACGTTTTCACATGTTCCCAATTTGCCCCAGTCTCGAGATTTTCTTTAACCAAATGCGTCGTCCTCTTGTTTAATGCATTATTACTTTTTTTTTACACGAAAAACTCGTTCAAAAAATGAAAACATATCGCAATAAGTTAGGCATAAGTTGTTACACAATGAGAGTCAAAACAATGAACGATTAAAATAAAATTAAGAGGGAGCTTCCCTTTGGATGTATGCAATAGTAGTGGTAGTAGTACAATTATATGAAGATATTATACATTGTGGGAACTGATTTTAAATAATTAATTTTGAATGTATCCGAAAAGGAAGCCCGAGTATTACACATTAATTGCCATTTGACGTTTTACATCATTTACAAGAATCAACTGAAGTGAGAAGTTACAGGGCGATTGAATTACAGTTAACAATCAATTGTAAAGCTTTTCCTTCACAATCAACAAGATATTTCCGCGCATGATAACAAATTTCAAACACGTTTACATAGATCTTTACAGTCCGATTAATCTTATGTAACAACACTTTACAATGAAGAGTTGTTTCCCAAATCAAACCAGCACTTAAATTAACAATTCTTTCATAAATTAATACAATCTTCCAAGATAATTTCCAGTTATCTGTTTGGCTTTTTCCACATTTTGTCCTATTTAATAGCATAAATTAATATTGGGTGTAATAGAGCTTATAATAGATTGTAACAGCCACAGAGACCCAGATTGGAAAACAATATACTAAACCACACATACCTCTGTTAACAGACGTTTGAGTCCTTCAACTTCATCTTCACCAGGATTCAGTTCACCTCCTGGTAGTTTAAAGAATGTTGTGCCCAGTTGAAGAAGTAAAACATGTGGGAGGCCATGTTCATGCACCAATAGAACTCCTTCCACGCTGCGTCGCATGCCGATACGTTCAAATTCATCTCGCATGCGTTGGAAACGCGCTGGCACGCTTGGATCTTTTTCGAAGAGCGGCTCCTTGGTGCCGAAAGTGTAATTCGTCAACGGATATCTACGCAGCGCAACAAGATAAAGGTTAAGTAAACAGTTTCGCGTTCTAGCGGCAAAAGTGATGAATGTGCTTACAAATTGATGATGCGATTGAGTGCCGCCGATGGGTATTTCTGATCGAAAGTGGATGAAGCTGTTACGGCGGCGGAGTTATTGGAACTTTGGCTGTTTCGACGCGGCCAACCTGTGCCTGTACCTGCCATGTTGTTTTGCTTCAATTGCGCGGCGTTCATAGAAGCCATTGACATAACACTCGGCCAACACTATACCCACGAATAGATGCCGCAAGTTAATATTAATTTAATACACACACTGATGCGGCCTATTAACTTGGCTAGAACGGTTACTGTTAAACTATGGATTCTTCGCGCAGATTTAAGTGAAAAACGCAAACGTGTGCTGGTAAATAATCAAGACCGGTTAAACAGAAGCGGTAAAAACAGAAACAGCAGACAGCCATTTGCTAAATGCAAAATGCTGAAGAAAGCTGAAGTGGGAAGCAGGGGTAGTGTACAAGTCACAATGCGCGGACTTATTGCGCACTAACTTTTACGGGTTTTTAACTTCTACTTCTTTTATCAAATGCATAGTAGGTAGTATTGGACAATTTTAATTGCATTGTATTAGAAAGATTTAATTAAAATAAACAAATATTTTATTAATTCTATATTTTGTTTGGCATCTTTCTACATGTTTACGTATTAGGCTTGTAGATGGCGCTACCTGTGTCATTTCGAATATTTTGTTCTTGGTTATTGTAATTTGAGTCAAATTTATTCTTTTCATCAGTCTATTACATATGTAGCCATACTTTACCAATTGAGGAATAAGAGCGGTTGATAGTACTCGCGAAAAATTAGGAGATGCAAAAGCTCCACATATGTACATAATCTAAGCTTCTTTTTAATAAAAATGTGTAAAGGAGATATAAGAATCACAGAAGAAATAAAACTCAACACAATTATTTCCGATTTCATTTGATTTTATTACATAATTGATATAAAATCACATGCACTCTGCATTAGTTCAGATGTAAATGCCAAAAATAAACTTAGATCAGCATCCTGCCTCTTACAAACACATATTCTATTTGTATTCCTTAACTTAAAAAATAATGAATGTAGTATGAATAAACCGAAGGTCGCGAACCCTGTGTGTGCACACTTAACGGCGTGCCCGACCTCTTCCACGACCACGCGGACCTCCACGTCCACCCCTGCCTCTGCCTCGCCCCCTTGCCGCCCCGCGAGCAGACTCCTTCTTTTTGGCCTTGGCTTTTGGTGTGTCATCTATCAACAACGTTTCCAACGGCAAGCTATCAGGCAGGATATAATAGCGGATGTTATTGCCTCGCACTGTTAATGTATCCAAAGTGACTGGATTTCTATTCTTAACAGTCATTTTGACTGCTTTCAAATGTGTATTCATTGCAACATCAACACCTGTGATTGTGCCATGTACTTGTGTGCCGTTTTTTAGCTCCATAGTCACTGTTTCATGGCTCAATTTCATAAGAAACCTAAAAATTCATGATATATACAGCATTTGAAAGTATGAAAATAATTGCGGTTTTTATAAGCGGTGTGAAATTTTTAGGTTAGTTTGGCGTAATAATGTTTTATTCACTATTTTTGCTATTAATAAATAGTGGTTGTGTATTTTTAGAAAAAGAAAATCATTTCTTACCTTACTAGCTTCATTGTTGTGTTGTTTTTATTGAATTTATTTGTGAAAAATGCCGGCAAATTTAACGTTGAGAATGCGTTGTGTTTGGCTTGGAAGCGCCAACTACCGGTGTATACGAAAGTAAAGAAAACATCGAATGATTCAAATTTGAAAATTCTTAAACAGATGCATAATGTATAATAATGTATATAATGCATATTATGTATAACAAATATATAAACAGGGAGATAAAATATTATAAGCAGTAAATTAGTTTTACATTAGAATGTGTTTTACGCAAAATTCTATAAAATGAAATGTAATGTGTATTTAAACATGATTCTAAAACTGGTTAATGTTAATTATTAAATTCTGCGTTAACAAGTTCATACTATTTTGTCTCTATGAAATTTATTATTACTTCTGAAACGCTCTAGTTCAACTTTCGCAAGCTTTGTTCAGTGGCGACGCCTGACGGCAAATAATAAAATGTAAAAAATAAACAACTTTCTTTTGTTTTGACACGAGCTTTTGTTTTAGAAAATAGTGTTTGTTGAATACACTAGAGGCGTAGCAGTCGTTAGATTAGCCGCTGAAAAATAAAATAAACAACCAGGTGCGCATTCAAAACTCTTCAACGCGCTCATCGCCATCATTCTAAACCAAAGTGTTTAAAAAAAGTTATCGCAGTTACACTCTATTTATATTTGTAAGTAGCCTCCACTCTTCCCTGCGAATCACAGACATCCGTGAAAACATACATTCAACGATGATTAATCTTATAACTTAGTTTCGAAAATAATCGTTTGCTGTGTGCAGAATCAAAAACTATCGCAAGTAATATCCGTTTATAAATTGCTGCACGGTCACCTCGACACTCCACGCTCCACACGTAATCCTTGTATAGAACAAAAATAAGAGTTAGCACGGCGGCGTGTTGCCAAATTGCATTGTAATTTGATTAGCCCTAGCTGTGTGTGGAATAGACTCATCGCCGTGCCGTAACATTATAAATAATGTTACACACACTCTCGACGTCTCAGCGCAACTTCGTTTATGGTAGTCGTATGCGAAAATAGAACGCAGCCAAACGCAGCTTTCCCATCGCGTTCGTTTTCGCCCCGCGTCTCGTCGCGTGTGTGCGCTCGCAGCTTTTTTAATTAGCTTCATTTTAATTTATAATGCGCGAAACATTGTAACTTCTGCTTCGGGCGCTCGCGCGTGCTGATGGGAAAAAGCGTTCGAACGCGCGTCGCAATCGATATATAATTTTCGCGTTTGTTGTTTTCACTGTTTTCACGGAAAAGGTGATGCAATATATTTTCTATCTAAACTATGTACAATATAATATTTAGATACGCCATGTTTACACTTTGAGTAGGAAAAAGTTTATTTTTCGCTTACTTTTGACACATTTTTCTTCAAATTTTTTTTTTATTACAAAAACTAGTAAGGGTGTGTTAAGCATCAGTTGGAAAATATAATAGATTTGAGTCATATCTCCAATGTTTAAGTTTTTTATTGTGTTGCTTTATAAAAACACATTGTAAACACCTGTCTCGCAAAATCGATTATGATGTTTCTACAGGATGAAATGTTAAAATTGTAGTTTTCATATAATTTCTATTCATTCCACCATTAAATTTATAACACACCCAGTAAATATTCTCTATGTACGCAAATGGTAGTTGTAATTTTTAATTTGTAGCTCATATTTCACTATAAAGGCGGATAGTCTCATTATAAAATGGAATGCGATACGTACTTGCCTACCTACATTACATGTGACAATAGATGTTTGCAAGTAGTCGTAAACTTGCTCGCGGTTTAGCTAATGGTCAATTTATTGCGTGTTGGTGACGATGAACAGTGGATGATTAGTTTTTCCCACTGGTTTCAACGTGAGTAAATTAATTCGGGGCGTAATTGTTTATTTAATTCGGATATAAATGTATTGATTAAAAACTTGAAGCTGGTGACAGTTGAAATTTTTAGTGACCAATAAACTCTTAACTTAATAATTTTATTAGTTAAAATAAAATTTATTTAATGAATATTTTTGCAAAGTGCAATTTATATGAGTAAGTTGAAGTGTCAATTTTAAACTAACTTCAAAAACATTAACGTCAGCTCTGTCAACAATAAAATAAGCTTTAAAGTGACATATAATTTAACACAGGTTATGTAAGTGTAAAATTTGAGGTTAGGTTACCATGCAAATCAGAGTAAAACAGAAATGAAACTTTAGTTTTCACATTCTGCATAGTTTTACATAACAATATGCAATATTCTTTTATTCCTGACCCTGTACAACGTAATCTTGCTTACTCTCAGTTAATTAAAGAATGTTTTTCATAAGAAATTCAATAAGAAAGCACAAAATGAATCCTTGATAACAGTGGCGCAATAAAACAATAAGTAATTAATATAATTTACCGCTGTTTCATTTCCGGCACTTTGAGCAGACGCCAAAATTAAATTTAATTCGCAAGACTCAAAGCTGACGCAATCTTGATACAATCTCGGGTGGTAGGATGTTAATTTTACTACAAAGGGTCCGTGTACATCTACACAAGTAAAATGTAAAATTAATCGAAGCGCGAGCGACTGTGGGGGATAGTATGTATTGTAAAAGCAACTCATGTGCGAGCTTGTCAGCATGTAAGCCGTTATTAGTGGTATAGGTCAAATTTAAATGCCGCGCGCCGTTCATCGAATGTTTTGCACATGTAAAGCCTACTACACACGTTGACGACAAAACTCAACTTTTGCTCGCGTTCTTCTACACATTCCAGCACTCGATATCAGTGCGAATCATCAGCTGTAATTTAATCCTGGCGCAGGCTTTAAATTGCTTTGATGATTTATAGATTGTGTAGGCCGTAATTAATATTGCAGAATTGTTTCTGTTTGTATTCGGCTTTACTCGCGGCCGGAGTCGCGAGCAGATGGCGAAAGCACGAGCGCTCGCTCACAGTGCGGCTCCGACGTCTGGCCGCGGCGCGCAATCGCACATCGCACCGACGTAAACATGGCGACCGTCCGGGTTCATTAGTTTATGTGTTCGCCAAGTGCTGTTTATTCAAAAGTTGACGGCGAATTTCCAATGCTGGCGACTGCCTGTGTGCACCATCAACGCCCTAGCGAGACTCCACGTGCAGATTATGTGAGTCCGGCCGACGCCATCGCTGCGTATCAACACATTTACGTGCTCATTCGCGAATCTTTCACGACTCCACAACCCTTCAGGAAGAATAACACACACACATTCGGTGATATACCAAACCTAACAAACACACAGCATCGCATATCTCTCTGGTTCGTAGATAGATGTAAACAGCGACGTGACATTTGTTTATCTTTTATCTAACAGGAATATTTGGTTAGCTGTCTTCACACTTAGGCCTTAATAGCAATAGTGTCTTAAAATGTATGCAATGTCTGATTGTATAATATTATTAGGGTATTTAGAGTTAAGTAGTTTTAAGTCACATCGACACATGTGCAACATGAAGACTTGGAGGAATATGAAGAGGAGTATTAGTCATCTGAATGGATTGCAAGAGGATAACCCAGCGAATGCAAAAGGAACCTGACACATGACACTATCTGGTGAGTGTTTGCTTTCTATTTGTATTATTTCGGTGTGTGAACACTAATGACGTGCATGGAACACATGCTTTTTGTTTTCGTTCATTATTATTAAATAAGTTGCTCTGTGCAGTAACGCAGTGCGGCTGGTTTGAGAATCATACAGTTGGGTGACATGCAGCGCAGTTCCCTGCACGAAAGCTCATCTGGTTGCAACGCGAACTCACAGAGTGCGCCGAAGGTTACTGTCCTTGCGCGGTAAAGATTTTCCCTCGGATGTACATCATCCTGACGCAGTAATTCATTACCCTTGAATTAATCAATTAGAACTCTGCGGCGTGGCAAGGTATTGATTTCATTGGTTTTGTTAATTTCCATTGACGTTCGTAAACATTTTTCATGTTTGTTTTATTTGCCAGGCGAAAAAATAACGGTTTTATTTGTCTGCACGCAATTTAACGATGTTATTTGGAAAGTGTTAAATGTTTCCAACTCGATTTTAGTGTTTTTGGTTAGTATCTATATAATCTATAATTATTTGCAAAGTTTTCGGCGTTTCAAATGTCCAATAGTTAGGATGTCGGGCGTGGGCGGAAATGTGAATGTGCATGTAGATGTGCCACATAGATTTTGCCGGTTTTGATCGTTTAACGTCGTGCTGCCTGCCCCTAATTGCAACTGGGGCGGAAAGCGTTCATTCGTTCGATCGTTCACACATTCGTCCACGAAGGCAAAGGCGGCGAGCACACCAGGCTCTTCATTAGCCGCACTTCCCATACTTCCCATCCATTTCAAGTGCGCTGATAGTGTAGGTGGTAATTAGCATGAAGTGCACATTTTATTTTTAAACTTGGTAAATAATCCATTCACCGCCCATCGCGATGATATTATAACGCTCCGAGGAGCTGCGCGACGTATAGGAAAGCAATAAAATATGAAAAAAGTGTCCTAGAATGTTGGGGTAGTTTGGATGTGAGTGTGTGAGGGAAATTGAAAGCACCCCAGAGTGCTGTGCTATTGTGGCTGTCGGGGTTTAACGGATTTTACAACGCACGAACGTGCTTTATTCTTCTTTATTTAGCTGGCATGTGCGCTCTGGGCAATAAATTCAAATTCTAATGTTAATCGCCGACTACCATCTAAGGTCAGACACGCAAAATAAATTTCACTATGGGAATCACATTAGCGCTGCGTTTGCATGCGTTCCAGGCGGAGCACCACAATATTCACTTGAATGTATTCCGTGATACAATCTTTGGTAATATGTGCACAGCTCAATTTAATGAATATAAAACATTTATTATAATAGAGCTTTGACAATGAATTTATGGGAAAACAGTTGTATTTATTATTGATATAATATGTTGTGATGTGACAAATTACAGAACAATGGTTAGTAATTGACATACAATCCAAAACTAGATCTGAAAGAGAAAAACAGTACTTGGTTAGAATTGCACACTGTGTTTGAATAATTAAATATTTCATGTTATTTTGTGCGTTGTAGCCATGCACGCGGATATTTATCGGCCACGTCAATACTTCTCCCACGCACAAATCTCTTTGATATGCGTCGAAATCCTGAATTCGTTTGGAAATTTTTTCCATGGATACACATAATGCCAGTGGGGCGCAATGGAAAAATGTGCAAGTACGATTTACGGTTTTTTTGTGCCCACCTGGACTGTCAGATTATTTTTTGCTTTTTTTTGCTCACAAAAAACTGATTCTATTTATCGCGTAGGCCCGGAAAATAGTTATATAGGGAGGTATTGCCAGTTATTTTATTTTTATTCAGTATTTTCGTCCATTTTATTGTATTCTTTAAAAGAATTTCTTTTATCATTTTAAATTAAGTTTTTAAAATCATGTCAAATCTAAATATGTTTTTAGTATGGTACATTTCCAGTACGAGTACACACTGTACCATGTTTTCAAACAATTTCATAGCCCAGAAACTATCAAATAGAATGGAAAATAGATCGCTTTTTCTCCCAGTGGATTTAAATATATACCCACCTAGAGGACTCACTCACTATTCGTTGGTACTCAATATTCTACATATTCTAAAATTATAAATTTTATAAAAATATAAAAATAGCGAAAATCTTAATCAAAAGTTATTAACGAAAGTTCTATAATAATTTTTATTGAGAACGCTGGTTAGAATAAAATGCGAGGGAGTATGCAGATTACTCTACGACCTTTTCATCGATTAGTTTGGCACGTCACGCAAGTTATATTGAAATATCTTTAAAAATTACCGTTATTTGTGTTTAATAAAAATTACCACAAAAGGAATGCTAATGGAAGTTCTACAGGTAACTGCTTATTTTTTCAATTACGTTTTCTTGTAAGCAGGTTTATTATTCAATCAAATTAAACTTTCCCTTTTGTTGTTCTTTGGCTATTCGAAACCTCATTGCACATAGCAGTGTGAAATATTAAGTGCGATATTTGTATTTACATTCAAACTATTCCGCCGTGTAATGCTGCACGCAAAACACGGACGTTTTTAAGGAATGCACTTTGACGTCATAACATAAACCATTAAGTATTCATTAAACGCGCCTTGAATGCGCGTCGAGTTACGCTGGCCAGCGCTGCGCAGCGGTGGGACGATGAACGAACGCGGGCGATAAAATCGTAATGCGACGGGCTATCTTCAAAGACTATTTACACGAGCATATTACAACAACAAATACGAATTTGCGTCAGGTCTCTTCTTCCCGGTTGCTGAACCACACCACAAGCAGCGGCACGCCTCTAACAGGCGCGAAATGAGGAGCTTGTAAGTTATAAGTGTCTAAGTTTGATAAGTTTCAGGCGTGTTTTTTATATTACTGCACTTGCAGAAGTTTTAAATCTTGTTTGCCGAGGTTTGCTATTAGTGTTTTATCCTACTTTAAAAGTATGTGTTTTTTTTGGGTGCGGAAAAATGTTTTTCGACGTGTTTATAGAGTTGCACTTGATATGATAAACAATATACCAGCGTTGTGCTTTCCACGAACAGCTTACGTTTATAACGTCATCATCTTCGCAATCTCAGCCAGACAGCCAGCCACACCTTTGGTATAATCACCTGCAAGCCATTAACGGCTTTATTTTCCTGCTGTCATTTTATTTTTTTATGCGGCAGATTACTACCTTTACCTTTTTAGTCAGAATTTTCATGAAAAAAAAATTAGGTTACGCGCGATGATAGGTTGAATACGTTAACGGGGATAAGAAAAACCGCCGGGCCATCGCTTAGAAAATACAAGCCTAAGAAAAGGGACAATTACGCTGTGTTGACAATAGTAAACAAAAAAAATTCGAAGGTTTATTTACTTGTTACAATGGCAACATTCGAAATAAAATGTTACTCGTATAATCTGCATTGAAAACCTTCAAGTGTAGTTTATACGTGTGAGCAATCAGTATAAAATCGAATGTTTTCCGGCGCAACTTGTACGACGTGCTTGGAGTGATCGCGATAAGCCGATTTGTCGCTTCGTTCGTTTCCCAAGCGCCATGCAATTCACTTCCGAACTTGACGGCTGCGAATTCTTCGTGCTCTCGAAGGGAACGTGCCACTTGCGAGACGCCCTCGATGTCGGATGCATTTGGCATTTGGAACGAGTGCACTTTCCGATGACAAGTTGGTCCGCTATCATAACATTTGTCAATGCGCACGCCGATCGCAAATTGACGATCGTCATATTTTACATTCGATTAGCCGCGTAATGTTATTCCGGTGGTGGGTGTGTAATTTGAAGTACGCGGGAACAGAATGATTACGCGCATTAGACGCAAGCTGCGGATGCGGACACCACTGACGGGTTCCGGGAAATCGATATGGATTAAATGCGCGAGGGGTGTGTTGAAGCGTGCTTTTCGGCGAGGGATTGCATTGAGGATGTGCGAATTGCCATGTTTCTGAATGTTCAATTATCCGAAATGGTTAACTGAAGGATCAGTCAAGTGCTTCCATCGGCGAGGCTAACGCGCAAGCCGATATATGCGTTGCCATGAGGATGGCAGCATATGTTGGCTGGCGGTGGTTGGTGGCGCGGGACAACACGCAGCTGTGGTGCATGTTGATTGACTGCAATTATTGTTAATGATGATCGTGTTATTGTTTTCGATTGGAAATTTTCAATCAATCACTGTTTCATAGTCAAAATCAATTAATCCCCTGATAAATACTCATTTTTGTGGTGGAGTTTATTTAAAATTCTAATCTCAGAAAAAGGCGTGTAGGTTAACCATTGCCACCTTTATTTCTGAGTCTGTATTTGCTGTAAGTTCAAAGAAAGCGTCTTCATTTACATTTATAGCATTCCACGATTTGCCGCTCGAAAGTGTCCAATTATAAGTGTAATTTACATGCGAATGGTCTTTTTTGCTTCGGTGCCTAATTGCAATTTGTTCAATTTAGCAATTACTCCTTTCATCTTTCCGCTCGCACACTGACTGTGGCCTCGTATTCCATTGAAACCATTCATTTCGTTTCAATTCTTTGCACTTTCATGCCGAGGGCGTTATCCTTCCTTCTTCGCTTTTACTATCACAATGTGCCATCGCATTTCTCCG